TGTTTCTCTATTATAAACCAGGTTAAACTGCTAGTCTGGTGCTTTCTCAGAAATTCCTTTTAATCTACAGTTGTATCTCTGTGCTTTGTTGCCTAGATCAATTATTTTGTTGGTACTGTTACAACCTTCTGTATTTTAAATTTGAAATCTCAATAAAAATAACACATAATTCAGAAACCACACAAAACTTAAGCATGTTGTTGACTAATAGGTTAAAATACAGCCTTTCGTATATAATTAGGTAGCAATTAGGGCGATTGTATTTTTCTAAATATTTGCCCAGAAGAACCCCTTAGGAAACAAAATGCATTCTGTGCCTTTCACCAGCATGTGCTCACAGCGTGCTGTTGGCCACACCGAGGTGGGCCATGCTCAGGGACAGGGTGAGTGTGCACTGCTCACCCTGGACGACAATTTTCATAAACTTTGGGAGTCTAGTATATTCACATCTAGAAATGTAGTCGAAGAAAATAAGCAGACATGCAGACAATGATTTATGTACTAAACCATAGTTAACAGTAAATCCCCAACAATAGAACGATGATTAAATAAACGATACACAGAACATTTAATGCGGTCATCAAGTCTAAATGTGATGCTTTCAATTATGTAGGAAAATGCTAGCAAAATAGTATCAATCCAAAATAGCATAATACAAAATTGTATTTACATAATCTCCCACTTAACAATGGTTCAACTTAAAGATCTTTTTGACTTTTATGATAGTGTGAAAGCAACCAGCACTCATTCAGTAGAAACTATACTGTGAATCTGGATTTTTTCAGGCTCTCCTGTGACCAGGGCAGAGCTGAGGGGCAGCTGGCAATCAGCCAGGAGATCAGGAAGGCACTGTACAGTGGACACTACAGTGGACCATTTTTGGATACAGATGGTTCCCCACTTAACGACAGTTTGACTTAAGACATAATGATGGTGTGACTTAGGATACTTTCAACTTATAATAAGTTTATGCAGATGGATGTAACACCATCATAAGTTGAAGAATTTCTGTATACCCTTAATATTAAAGGATATGCATGTGACTATTTACAATAGATATGGAAACAACCCAAATGCCAAAAAATAGATGACTGCATCGAGAAGATGTGGTATATATACATAATGGAATATTACTCAGCAATCAAAAAGATGAACTCATGCCATTTGCAGCAACATGGATGGAGCTGGAAGGGTTTATGCTCAGTGAAATTAGCCAGAAGGAAAAGGAAAAACATCGGATGGTTTCACTTATAGTGGGCTATAGGGGAACCAAATAAGGGATGAGGAGAAAAATAATCATAATAAAAAATTTAAAACCAAAATTAACAGGCAATTATAAACCAGAGACATTCTGCAGGGGAGAGGGAAGGAGAGGCATCAAAACAAGGGCACAAGGAACTATGGTGATGGCGCATGGGTAAATTGGTGGTAGGAACGTTATGGGGACTACACCTGAGAGGAGAAAGTGAATATTGTACAAAAATGAACAATGATATAAAATATATGTAAATAAATAAATTTGAAGAAAAAGAACATGTGCATGAAAAAGACTGAAAAGAAAAATCCTAAAGCACTAACAGCGATTATCTCTACACAGTAGCACTATGATTTCCTACTTAATAGATTTCTATATTCTCTGAAATTTCCACAATGTTATATTCCTAATTAATAATAAAGAGGTAAAAGATACAATAATATATTATTTTAAAAATAATAAATATGAGGTGGTGGATGTGCTAACTAACCGTATTGTGGTGATCGTTTCACAGTATGTACATGTGTTCAATCACCTTGCACACTTTAAACGCACAGGCTGGAAAATTTTTAAAGTAAAAATAACATTATAAATCAATATAAAAACTCAAAATGATACTTAAAACAAAATTTACACCTTCAGCTTACACCAAAAAAGGGAAATTGTTGCAAACACATATAAGACATAAGTATTACTTATGAATGTTTAGACCTATAGGTCTAAAATAAAAGTTGCCAAATACTTTTAAAAAAATAAAATAATATATGCCTTCATCAAGTAAAGTTTACTAGGGTGTATAAAGTTGAGTTTACTAAGGAGCTTTCAATTCATAAAAGACATTAATATAATCATTTTAGTTGACTTAAAGGACTAAAATTATATGATTATATCAAAAGATAACAATTCCCACTAAAAGCTCCCAAAGAATAGAAATAGAAGATGTTATTCTCTTTATAATAGAGAACATTTGTTTAAAACCAACAATTAACTTCATATTTAATGAGCAAATATCCAAAAATATCTTTTTATTACAATTTTATTTAACACAAAGACAAAACAGAAATACATAAGAAAAGACAAATAGTTCTGTAGCTATGATTTTATATTAAAAAAACAAATAGGCCAATTAAAAGAACAAAGACAAGTCACCAAAAGACAAATATTTTAAACATTAATAGCATTCTAATGATAGAGGTTCCCATACTGAGTAGCAAAACAAATGTTTAGCCAAGAAAGAATTCATGTAGTAAGAGCTATATAAGACCTAGACAAAAACAAGAACAAATTATAATGCAAGAAATCAAGAAACAAGTCAATGATGGAGAGTCTTTACCTTATTGTACATGTGAACATAAGTCTTAAAGAGTTCATTTTAGACCCAGGTGATTAAAGTTGAAACACCATAAAGACATTGACCTTATACAACACCTTCCTGGGGAAAAACCTTTTTGAATATTAAAAGTACATGTGGAGGGCCTCCCCGGTGGCACAGCGGATGAGCGTTGGGTTGAGGCTGCCCGCGGCCTCTGCAGCACCGGTTCGATCCCCGGCTGCTCCCCGGCCACCAGAGGAGGGTCCCCCATGGCGCACAGACCTCTCCTGCCGCCCGCTGCTCCCCTCAGCAGTGTACTTCGGTCCTTCTGCCTGCTCTGCTCCCCGCTCTGGCTTTGGTGAATTCTCTCACCCTCCCGCGCTTCTGACTGTACCCAGTGCTTGTATAAATAAATAAAAATAAATCTTAAAAAAAACAAAACATGATCTTAAAAAAAAAAAAAAAATACATGTGGAAAGAAAAAAGAACAACAAAGACCAGCATGATACTGATTCAGTGAATTGAAACGCTAAGTTTCACTCAATATATGGCAAAAAGTATTTAACTACCAAGTATGAGGATTACCAAGAAGAAATAACAGCTTTGCTCAAAGTTAGGGAATAAAAACACAAAGTAATGCCATGTACTGTAGCCAGTGCTGGGCTGGAGCTTTGAGAGCACCAAGAGAGCTCCGCTGGGGTCATGAAAGGCTAAAGGGCTTTTTTTTTTTTTAAGATTTATTTATTTATGCATATAAGAACTGGGGTACAGGCCAGAGGTACAGGAGGTGAGAGGATTCACCAGAGACAGAGCAGGGAGCAGAACAAGCAGATCTACTGAAATATACTACTGAGGGGAGCAGCAGGGGAGCCAGGAGAGGTCTGCTGTGCCATGTGTAGCAACTTGGCTGGGGATCAAACACATGCTACAGTGGCTGCTGATAGCTTCACAGTGCTGACACTTAACCCCTTTCGCCACCAGGGAGACCATTTTAAAAGGATCTAATTTTGCCAGGTTTTGAACCAGAAGGGAAGGAGTAGCTCTTACAAAAGAGGGAACATTCACAACCACAGGGGTCACGAGAAATGGCACAATCCAAGAACTGCAAGTAGGTCAACACATACAATATCGGTGTGCATTTTAAATATTCAGTTAAAAGTCAATATTTTAAAAATCTGAAATTCCTGATGCAAGTCTGGATTACTGGCTTCTTTCGACAAACTGGACAATGTGACAAGCTGGGCACACATTCCCACAGGCCCAGAAGGAAACAGAAGACAGCACCCCTTTCAGAGGGGACATTAGCACAGCATTCCCTCTCCCGTCACTTCTCTGACATCCAGCTCGGTCCACTTAATGCCCCTTTCCTGTCTCTGAAGGCGCTGATGTTTACAACCACCCTCCATAGGATGGGGGCCAATGGAGGTTATGGCAGAAAGAGCATTATGATTAGGTTTGTGTTTCCAAAGATCACCAGGCAGCAAGATGGAAAGCAGAGGGAGGCGAGGGCAGATAGGAGAGTGATGCAGCCTGCAAAGTGCAGTCAATTACAGATTACAACGGGGCTCTTTCATGAGGAACAGCAGGCGCCACCTAGCACCTCCCACCATAAACTCTCACCAGACATGACTTGAAACTACTGAGTTACCACTGAGTTACGTATCGCTGGAATATATGCCATCAGGGATGAAGGTCTGAAACCAGGCAGTATGGAGGGGTGGAAAGAAAGGGCAAAAAGGGGAAAAAAATCTCCAGCACTGGGTAACCAAATGATGGTGCGCGGGTGAAAGGGGAGAAAGAAACGTACAGGACAAGTTGCAGGTTTGGGGTTTAAGTCATTAAGTGGTGACACTCGAAAGGACGAACATGCCCGGAGAAAGGTTCATCATTCAATGTAGAATGTAAACTGCAGAGCCCACAGGCATGTAGCTTCTTCCCACCAGCCTCAATAAATTACCAAAGACCAGCTGGAACAGAGTAACTCTCTAACTGCTGAATCATCAGATGAAAACGACAGAAATGATGATATAAAGTGTCTCTGCAGAATGAATACCAACAGAAGACAAAAACGTAGTGTTGGAGAAAGGAATAAAATATCGTCACCAAAATTACATATACTTTGTATACGAGTATAATTATAAGATATATAAAAAGAACACTAAAATACAGAAGTCTCTCCATGTAAAGGATATACATGAACACGCTACACTGTTTCCATTCAGGATTTATGATGGCTTACCCAAAAAGTACACTTAGTAAAAGAATAAAATGTAAATAACAAAGATAATAATAAAATAAAATGCAAAAATAATTTTTAAAAAATAGCACCTATCAGAACTAGCAAAAAAAATATTGTTGTTGACGAGAGATAACAGAAATCGCATGAGTCTTACTGTCCATGAGGAGAAAACAGCAACTTCTCACTTTAAAAGGACATTTTTGCACATCTCCCCCAATGGAAAAGATAGCATTCTACAATAAACATTTCTCTAAATTAAAAAGAAAATTAGCTTTCCAGAAAAAAGATTACCTTGTTCCTAATTTCTCAAATGTTGCATTTTTGCAGGGCAGTTGAACTAAAAAAAAAAAAAAAAAACACTTTGCACACTGACATTTAGGGGTATTACTACAGCAAACACAGAGAGGGTTTCGTAAATTTGCTTCTCTGTGGTACATTTGATAAAGATTAAACATCTAAGTGTGACTGGGGATGGCTCAGAGAGAGGGAAGGAAGCAGCGAGTCAGCATGGCAGGGGTGAGGCATGTAGCTTGCTGATGGCCCCTCCTGAAGCACAGAAAAACTGGATAGAGCTTAGAGGGAGAGGAACTACACATCCTTCCGCCTGCAGCAGCTGGCTTTGGTTGAAAGTTTAGTAAGAGATGAAGAGAAGACACAGTGGGGTAGAAATCCCTGGCGAGCAGTCAGAGGATGGAGCCACAGGAACAGAGTATGGGTGATGTCCTACTATGCAAATCAAGGAGCCCAGCTGAAGGCAACCCCACAGCAGCACAGAAGGCCCAGGAATGAAAAGCAGGTACAAAATGCACAAAAGACACACAGAAAGCAGACACAGAGAAAAGTGACTCACACGTATGTTTGAAGGAACACATGTCGAAAGACAGTATCATTTAGCACCTACATGCTAAGCAAAAGCAAAGGATAACTTGAAAATTTGATATCATGTGGATTTTAAGAACTGTACTCAAGATTTGTTAGGAAAAATGGAAACATCCCAGAATAAGGGCAAGAGTTACGTAAATGATGATATATTAGTGTGTCTGTGCACACAAAGGATTATGCATGATAAATGTCAACCGACATGGAAAGATGTTTATAGAATATTAAATTTAAAAAGAGTATAAAGTGTAAGTACTCTGTGAATACCACAGTGCAAACTGTGGATAGAAAACACTGGTTCACTTACATCACAAATCAGTAGGAAACTGCCTCTTTCTGGCTCCACCAGCTTCGGGGAGCTCAGGGGCTGCACCCAGAAGAGCCACCTGCAGGGCTTGCCCTGGACCCACCACATCTGCACATGTGTTTTACCCACTCTTTGCCTCCTCAATGCCCAACCCCATCCCCAGCCACTCCTCCCCAATTTTATCCTCCACTGAGGAGGATTTTATTCTCCATTTCCATCTTCTTTAATTTTCACTACAGCCTGTGATGTAGGTATGATTGGGGCCATTATTAACCAACAATTATATCTAGGAACGGTTGCAGATGAAAGCTCAGAGGAAGCTGCGTTTATGACCTTCCAACTGGTCAAGCTGCGGCCTTTCTCACAGAAGGCCTTCACGGTTTACCTGCACCTGCCTTCTTGGGAGACTGAGCAGGGACAGAAACCAGAGGCCTGGCTTCCGCGGCCCCAGCTGCGTGCGCTCCTTGCTTCTCCAGGCCCAGTGACTGCTCCCCAGAGGAGGCTGAATTATCTGAAAAGAAGAAAAAGGTGAGCTTTCCTAAGACAGCCCTGGCATCGTTCTCAGTTTCTTATTTATGTTAGACTATGGCGCAGCTAATCAGATTTCAGACAAAACTCCCAACACGTTGATGTAGAGAGTTTGGAGATGAACACACACTCACAGCCCAACAGCAAAAGTCTCTCTTTTGTATGTAGGAGAGACCCACTACGCAAGGCCAGGAGAAAATGACGACAGGCCCCATGTGCAGGATAGAGAAGGGACCTGCCCCGTTTGGAGCTCCCTGATGGCCTCTGACTTTATGTGCAGAGTCCTCCCTGCCTTCAAACTGACTGCTCAGAAGTCAGCCACCGCCAGCCCAACATCGGAAAACCACAGAGGCTTAGCGGCAGCTCTGATGTTGTGAGTTGGTTTCCTATCACTGATTCCTCTCATGTTGTAGAAAGTGAAATTTTAAGACGCTAAACTAACTCATACTCTGACCACATCTGGGCTAGTATTTGCATGATAATGGGACTGAAGGGTCCGCCTGCAATTAATAATTACTGTGCACCACGGCGAGTGGAAGCTGACCATGCATGGTTCTACTCTCTATCTTCCAAATTTTTCTGTGATGTGGCTAAAATTTCTTAAAAGTTAAAAGAAAAATAACTTTAATTCCGTTTTATCGAGGAAAGCCATTCACACGTTATCCTGACCTTGCGATCCGTGGCCCATCTCCTTCCTATGTTTTCCCTCTTAAGGTTGTTCTCCCTATACTAGCGAGCTACTCAAACACTTGGGCTGATGCTATTAGCAGGCAGTGCTGAAGACAAAGCCCATGGCTTCCTTCCTTTGGTTAGTATCACCTTCTATATCATGAAATGTTTTTTTTTTAAGATTTATTTATTTATGCATACAAGAACTGGGGTGTAGGCCAGAGGTGTGGGGGGTGAGAGGATTCACCAGAGACAGAGTGGGGAACAAACAGACAGATTGAAATACACTGCTGAGGGGAGCAGTGGGCAAGCCAAGAGAGGTCTGCTGCACCATGTGGGTAGCTCCCTGGCCAGCCAGGGATCTAATTCGTGCTGCAGAGGCTGAGGACAGCTTCATAGGTTATGTCTTAATCCCTTGCTCCACCAGGGAGGCCCAATATATCATGAAATGTTGACAATTCTAAGCTTACGCAAGAACAGAGGAGCACTTCATGTACGAAGTGCTTCCCCCCCAGACTCACTTTTGGGTGAGACCTACGTGGTTGACAGTGCTTTGTCTGCCTCTGAGTATCTCACCATTGTTTTCAAGCATGTTGTGCAGCTTCATGTGCCTATAGGTGGAGATGATCTGAAAATTAACGACACTGGGAATATTCAGCCCTTGGTCCTGCAGCAACTGCAGGGCTGTGGCGTAAATGAGCTGGTGAGACCGCTTGCACTTCTGAAGCTTGCACTCTCCTCGCACAAAGGATTTGCACACGTGAAACTTGGTGCATTTGTCCTTGAGGTTGCAGTAGCCATAAACCGCTTCACCTCTGTTGTAGAGCAAACAGACCTGTACAGAAATAAGGCAACACTCAAAACAGTCATTTTCTCTATTTTTTAAATTTATTTATGCATACAAGAACTGGGGTGTAGGCCAGAGGTATGAGAGGATTCACCAGAGACAGAGTGGGGAACAAACAGACAGATTGAAATACACTGCTGAGGGGAGCAGTGGGCAAGCCAAGAGAGGTCTGCTGCACCATGTGGGTAGCTCCCTGGCCAGGGGATCTAATTCGTGCTGCAGAGGCTGCCAGCATGTACAGTGCTTCCCCCCCAGACTCACTTTTGGGTGAGACCTACGTGGTTGACAGTGCTTTGTCTGCCTCTGAGTATCTCACCATTGTTTTCAAGCATGTTGTGCAGCTTCATGTGCCTATAGGTGGAGATGATCTGAAAATTAACGACACTGGGAATATTCAGCCCTTGGTCCTGCAGCAACTGCAGGGCTGTGGCGTAAATGAGCTGGTGAGACCGCTTGCACTTCTGAAGCTTGCACTCTCCTCGCACAAAGGATTTGCACACGTGAAACTTGGTGCATTTGTCCTTGAGGTTGCAGTAGCCATAAACCGCTTCACCTCTGTTGTAGAGCAAACAGACCTGTACAGAAATAAGGCAACACTCAAAACAGTCGCATATAAGAGCTGGGGTGTAACTGCCAGAGGTACGAGGCATGAGATGATTCACCAGAGACAGAGTGGGGAGCAGAACAGGCAGATCTACTGAAATACACTGCTGAAGGGAGCAGCGGGCAACACAGGAGAGGTCTGTTGCACCATGTGGTCAGCTCCCTGGCTGGGATCAAACTCGTGCCATAGTGGCTTGATAGCTTGATAGCACTGAGACTTTAACCCCTGTGCCATCAGGGACGCCCCTCTTCTCTGCTTTTTAAGCCAAGAAATGAGAGGTTCTCTCAGTAGCAACTTCTGATAAATGGCTCTTACAATCATTGGGTTTTATCAGGGTACCCACCCCCACAATCTCACCCAGCCGCTACCACTCACAGCTTCCCCTCCCACACTTAGTCCCTCAGTTGACCTGCCCTCAGCTCCCAAAGCCTCTTGCCAGTGAGTGATTTCTCTGGAAACACTTGGTACCCAAAGCTGACCCCCTGGCCTCAAGGTCAGAACAGTTCTTCAGGGCACTTTGCTGCAGAGCCCCGGGTGAATCAAGTCAAGGTCAGACTGTGCTCTTCCTTCCCTGTATCCTGCTTCTTTCTTTTACCTCACAGAGTTTTCCCCAAGGACCCCTCCTTCAATAAATCATATGCACCTAAATCCCTATGTCAGGCTCGACTCCAGGGAAACCAATCTAGACAGGTGGCGCGAACAGATCATTTATCACCCAGACAAGGACATTTTTTGGGAAGCATTATTAATAATTACATTGGGACAACTGATGTAAACTGGATCTACCTAAGGCAAACCAAGACATAGCTGATGGGGAACTTTATGATATATCGAGCCATCAACCCTGAAACCACTAATCAATCAATCTTAAAATCACACTCAAAAAAGATGCTCAGATATTGCATGCCAGGTAATATAGCTGTACAAGTTTTAGCAGCAAAGTCTGACATCACTGTTAGCCCCCCAGTCCCAGGCAGGCAAGGAGGGTTAGCTACCTCATCGGTGCACCATGTATACAAAGAAATGTTACTATGAAATCAAACTTAAATCCAAACAAATCTTCACTGTTTACAATAATTTTAATTTACAGGGCCTCCCTGGTGGTGCAAGAGGTTAAGTCTCAGCACTATGAAGCTATCAGCAGCCATTGCAGCACAAGTTTCATCATCCCCAGCCAGGGAGCTGACCCACAGGGCACAGCAGACCTCTTCTGTCTCACCCGCTGCTCCCCTCAGCAGTGTATTTCAGTCAATCTGCCTATTCTGCTCCCCACTCTGTCTCTGGTGAATCCTCTCACCACTCCCCACCCCGCCCTGCACCTCTGGCTTGTACCCCAGCTCTTGTATGCATAAATAAATCTTTAAAAAAGTAGTAATTTTCACACAGTAAGTTTATATTTCATATAGTAAATTAAGGTAGTAGAAGAACATGCTAAATGATGTTATAAGTAATGCAATCAGTCAAATCTAAAACATGGGAAATTCTACTGGACACAAGTGACCTAGTTTAAAACAAAATGGCGCCCTACATGCCAATTTCCTAAAATGAACTCATAATTTTAGAGCAATTTCACCATCCACCACCAAAGAATTTCTGTAAAATATTTTTAGGGATTTAAATAATTCTAAAGCTTATCTGGAAATAGAAACAAGTGAGGATTAAAGGGAAAAAATTGAAAAAGAAGAGTAATAGGCACAGAGATGTACTATTATATATTAAAGCTACTTTAATCAGATGGCGTGATACTGGCTGAAGAATGTCCTGATCAAGAAAAGTAGAACCTAGACCTAGTCCAAAAATCAGAATATTCTGTTCCTTAAAGAGGTAACAGAACTCAGTGATGAAACTATCTGAGCCTGATGTTTTCCTGTAGAAGAATTTAACAAATGCTCCGGTTTTGTGGAGTTTTTAAAATGTTTATATTAGCACTTTTACCTTCTGGGAAGGAAAGGACTATTCTGGCTTTCTATTTCTTCTTCTCCCTCTTTATATAGACATGGACTCAAGGACTTTGGTTGACAGCATTTTTACCAGCACCTGTCAACATTAGGGTGAAAATACGGGATTCAAATTTTTTTAATACAAGAGCTGGGGTGTAGGTCAGAGGTGCAGGGGCTAAGCAGATTCACCAGTGACAGAGTGGGAGCAGAACAGGCAGATCTACTGAAATACACTGCTGAGGGGAGCAGCGAGTGAGGCAGGAGCAGTAGGCAAGGCTGGGCCATGTAGGTAGCTCCCTAGCCAGGGATCAAACTTGTGCTACAGTGGCTGCAGACAGCTTCATTACTGCTGAGATTTAAACCCTTGCACCACCAGGAAGGCCCTATTTTAATATTTTTATATCAATTTAATTAGTTCAGATAATGGCCTGATTTAACGTCATCTGATTATTCTAATAAGCAGAATTACACCGTGAAGTGGCAGGATGGAACTATATTTTACATGGACATGACTCTAAGAGACTGGACCCTGCCTCCTAACTGCTGCCATCCTCTCTCCCTTCCTGCCAACAGCCCGCTCCAGCTGCAGCTCCCACTCCTCTTAGGCCACGTGGTTGGAAGGTGTCAGGCTCCTCAGCACATGTGCCAAACCTGGCTTCAAAGCTTGAAGAAATTAGGAAAGACCCAGATGCCAAGAGGAAGCCTCTGGACTCCTAAAGCTGAGGCCAGTGCTGCCTCTGGGTAGGGATTCTGCAGGGCAGCCCCCTCAGCTGAACAAAAACCCAGCACACCTCCAGTGTTGCCACTGTCTTCCCTTCCAGACCCCGAAATACCTGGGATTTAAAATGAGGTCATGATGGGGCACTACTCTCTATTTTCCCAACACCGCCCCACCTTCACACCCTTCTTCTGTCAACCTGGGAGTCTCTACGCTAGAATCATTGTGCTAGATTACAAAATTCTACATTGAATCAAAAGTCTCTCGAATATTTTCCTCGAGGGCTCCAACTAGATTGTTTAAAAAAATTCTTTGTGTATAGCTAAACAGATACAAACATGCTAATTATGCCAGACAGCAGTTATAATGAGTCGTTTCAAGCATTTGGAACAAAGTCATGTGATTTCAAAGCAATTAAAATTAATAAATAAAGCCTCAATAAAGTAAATGGGGGAAATACTTGCAACAAATGTGACCAAAAAATTTATATCATTAAAGGCATCTTATTAATCAACAGGAAAGACAAATGCCTTAACAGTAAAATAAGTGAAAGCATAAACAGGCAAGCCACTAAAAGCAGTTCTCTTGTCAGAACTAAATTCAAATCTGTCGTTTACTGAGTGACCCTGGGCAAGTTGTTTAATCCCTCTGAGTCCAGGTTTCCTCGCCTGTAAAATGAGGACGGGTTATTAAGGACTAAGGTGCAGGAATTGCTTAGCATTCAGGAAGCACCCCAAAAGCCAGAAGCCATTCTTACTATTTCTAGACCACACAAACCCATGACTATGTGCATCAAAGCCCAGCAAAATCACAGCCTCCACAAAGATCAGCCCTATGCCTTCACCCCTCCCTGTACCCGCAGGCTGTCCTCTACAAGCAGACTTTTCATGTTCCCCACTGATTTCTTTCAGGCGTAGACAACACGGGGGTGACACTTTGGAGACTCACCTCAGGTAAAAGGCAGGGGTCATTCTGCAAAAGCAGAACTCGAAGCTGGGCCTCATTGAGGCCAAAAAGTCCATGGTTTTTCAGCACCTGGATGTTGACAGGTGTGTGGATATCATGGGACAGAGTGCAGGTAGACCTAGAATACAAAGCTCTGCATCAGATGCCCAGACGAAGAAAGTTCCAGTCTGTTGAATTCTTTGCCTAGGGCATTTTTTTTTTTTCGGTGTGCATTGCTGACCAAATGTAACCTGAGCACATGTTTCAACTTACATGTGAAATCAAATAATTTTTCATGAACCCACAGACAGCACAGCCTACTGAGCGCGCACGGGTAATTAAAAAGTTGGATAGAAGCAACTCCCCTCCAGGGTCATTTTCATTTCAAATGAAGTTGCTTTAAAGCCAAGGGTGCCTCCCCTCCGGGTCTCTGCCTTGACTGGGGTGCCCACCAGTGCAATGAGTGGCTACACTTCCTTCTCCACCCCAGACCGCTGCCCACCGCCACTGTCCACCAAGGTTACAAACAAAGCTTGCCCAGTCCTGCTCAGGAGGCCCCAGAGTCAACCACGGAGGCAGGCCTCAGAGGTGGCCTCAGAGGTGGCCTCAGGAGGCCCTTGCCCCACTGGCTGGCGGCCACATCCGGAGAGCACAGCCTCCCTCCAGGGAAACTCTGCGGTTATGAGGGGGCCGGCAGTCTCTCAATAAAGGGTTTAGGGGAATCCTCAAATGCACCCCAAAGGGCCACTGGAGTAAAGGCGCTCCATCCCCATTTATTCAGGGATCCCAGAGGCTGTTGCAGCTGCATTTTATTTTTTGACCAGGTTAAGAAATGCCAATTGAAACGACTTGCAGTCTCAGTCCGCTCTGAAGCTGGGGGTGCAAAAGAGGCCTCCCCCAGGCCTCGGTGGGGGCCCCTTCCAGAAGCTTCCCTCCCGCCTTTTCGAAGGGGCTCGCCCGCCCCCGGGACAAAGGGCCCCTTTTTCTCATTCCTCCGGGGTCCCGCCCGCCCCTGCTCCACCAGGCCCGCGGCCCGCGCGCGCCCACCGCGCCGCCGGGAGGCCGCCGGGTCCCCCGCAGCCGGGCGCGCTCACCAGCAGTCGCGGTTCGGGCACTTGCCCAGCATGTGGCGGCGGCAGAGGTGCAGCTGGTCGCAGGCCTGGCACGCGCCGCGCTGGTAGCGGGCGCAGAGGCGCGCGGAGGACACGGCCACGACCCGCCAGGCCCGCGCGCCGGGGCCCGCCGCCGCCTGGGCCTGGGCGCCCGGCGCGCCCTCGCCGGGCTCCACCTCGTGCAGCAGGAAGCGGTCGGGCCCGGCCTGGCGCAGCACGTCCCGCAGCCGCGCCTCCGACAGCTCCACGTGGGCGCGCAGGTCCTGCAGGAACATGCGGCCGCCGTGGGCGCACAGCACCTTGGTGAGGAAGGAGCACACGGTGGGCTCCGCCATGCTCCCTCCCTGCGCGCGGAAACCCGACGCGGCCGGCTCCTCCCAGTCACGTCCACGCTCCGGGCCGGATAGCTGGACCCGCCCGGGGGAGGGCGCGCCAGGGGCGGTCGGGGGCTGCAGCCCGGGCAGGGGCCGGGTGGAGGCCGCGCGCGCTCTGCCGGCTCCATGCAAGGTGAGCCCGGCCGGCCTGGCCCTGTGCAGTCCGGGAGTCATGACATCCGAGCAAATGAGAGAACTGGGGGCGCCGGTAAGGGCTGCAAAGAAGATAGGTAGTGTAGGAAGAGCAGGGCTGGAAGGCCTAGGGGACAGTCCGAGGGGGACCCGCTAGATCCAGCCATGGGGTGACCACCTGAGGGAAGCTGGACGTGTGAAATGCACATGCTGGGTTTTGAAGATTTAGAGTGAAATGATATGTAGGTGTGGGCCTCCCCGGTGGTGCAGCTTGAGCGCTGGGCTGTGAAGCTGCCCGCAGCCTCTGCAGCGCCGGTTCGATCCCAGCAGCCGGGCGAGGGTCCCACATGGCGCGCAGACCTCTCCTGCCGCGCCCGCTGCTCCCCTCAGCAGTGTATTTCTTCATCAGTGTGCCTGTTCTGTTCCCCCTGTCTCTGGTGAATTCTCTCACCCTCCCACGCTTCTGACTATACCCAATGCTTGTATAAATAAATAAATAAGCTTTTAAACAAAGAAGATACAGGGTCTCCCCGGTGGCGCAGTGGTTGAGCGCTGGGTTGCGAAGCTGCCCGCGGCCTCTGAGGTGCCGGTTCGATCCCCGGCTGCTCCCCGGCCACCAGAGGAGGGTCCCACATGGCGCGCAGATCTCTCCTGCCGCCCGCTGCTCCCCTCAGCAGTGTACTTCGGTCCTTCTGCCTGCTCTGCTCCCCGCTCTGGCTCTGGTGAATTCTCTCACCCTCCCGCGCTTCTGACTGTACCCAGTGCATGTATAAACGAAACAAACGAACAAACAAATAAATAAATAAAACATGCCTCTATAAAAGAAAAAAAAATTAAAAAAAAAAAAAAAAGAAGATACATAGGTGTGGCAGAGTGGTTAAGGCGATGGAGTAGAATGAAAGAATGTAAACTGACTCATCAAGATGATGTTAACCATGTTAAATTGATATTTTGGATCTATCCCATTAAATAAAATGTTACTACTATGTCATCTGTCTCTTTTACTTGTCTAATGTAACTTTGAAAATAAATTACATTTTATTTTTTTTAATTTTATTTATTTATTTATTTATATAAGCACTTGGTACAGTCAGGAGGGTGGGATAATTCACCAGAGCCAGAGCGGGGAGCAGAGCAGGCAGAAGGACCGAAGGACACTGCTGAGGGGAGCAGCGGGCGGCAGGAGAGGTCTGCGGCCATGCGGGACCCTCCTCAGGTGGCCGGGGAGCAGCCGGGGATCGAACCGGCGCTGCAGAGGCCCCGGGCAGCCTCACAACCCAGCGCTCAACCGCTGCGCCACCAGGGAGGCCCATAAATTACATTTTAAATGACGTATCTGGCTTACACGGTATTTCAGCTGGGCATTTATTAATTGGCTGTCCTTTTTGCCCAACACCTGCTCTTTGAATGAACATCTGTCCGGACAACTGACAATGCAGTGGCAGTTCAAAGACACGTGACACAGAACCTGGGACTCTGCCAGCTTAGCTGCAGGTTTGCAGGGTGGTTGTGAGGATGAAACGAATTAATATCTTCTGATATAAAGAGGATGACAACTGGCCACATAGTGGGAGACCATCTCAGCCATGCTAAGAAATTTGGATTTATGTGAAGACTTTGGGAAGCCACGATGGGGATTCAGCTGGGAAGTGACAACCCACGGTCTCAAAGCCTTTCCCCCTGATGTGGTGCAGGGAAAATGGAGTTACTCAGGCGTTTTCACCTTCCCACTGCTAGACTCTGAGGCTGCCACCTGTGGCCTTGTTTTCCTCCTAGGTTTCATTACCCACACGTGATAGCATGTTGTTGCAAAAAGTGCTGGGGACACAAGCACAGGGCTTGCACATTTATAGGACCCCTGGGCTAAGAAGCAAAGGATACAAGGGAGAGGAGAGAAGTCAGGGAGAGAGCAGGGAGATGGAGGGTGGGAACCATGAGCTCGGTTACTGCCTGCCCCCTTAATGCCTGCCTCCCTCATGCCCGCCTCCCTCATGCCTGCCTCTCTGCCAGCTAGTCTGCCAGCTAGTCTGCCTGTGTGCCTGGTTCCCTGCTTCAGCATTAAAACTATGTCAGATATACCAAGAGCTTCAAGATCCTTTTCCATTTGCTCTAATAAACCATGACCCTGCCCAGTCTGGGGTGTTTACCCCACATGTGGATGTCCCTTTATTGTCATTCGACTCTAAGCTAACGTCTCTTTACCAAGGTCTTCCCTGGCCTCCTAATCTAAAGTAACCTCCCAATCGCTGCATGGAAGTTATCACTGATATTTTTTTCCTGTTTATATGTATGTATTTGTAGGCTTCAAGCTTGTGAAAACAGGAAACTCATTTGTCTTGTTCACCACTGTATCCCCACACTATGCCTGGCCATGCTGTAGGCTAGGTATTTTAGAAAGATCCTTGGCAGCAATAGCAATGGATTTCTAGAAAAGCAAGACAAAATAGGAACTAATGGAAGAAACACAGGATTTGAGAGACTATAATTTCAATTTTTCACGTGTTGAGTTTGCAGTGAGCAATCCAAGGTAAGTCGCAAGGTGTGTGCGGCAATCAACAGGTGTGCAGGGCAAGGATTTAAGAGAGAGGGAGGTAATACAGATTCCCAAGATATCAAAGTCTTAAGTAATTGTAGTACAAGAGTTGATCAGATCAACTAGCAAAAATGAAGAGTGGAAAAGCAGAGGTGGAATGATAGACACTTGGGAAATATCAGCATTAAGGAAATAGGGATGGAAGAGAAAAATCAGAGGAGAACTGGCAAGTATCTCTTCATGCCTTGCCTATGTGCCTTGGGAACTCAGCGTTTACACTTGGACTCTCCACCGAGGGTCTTTTTCCTGCAGGAGGAGCAATGGACACAGGCTGGCATTACCAGGGAATGAATACCTCGAGGGAGAACCCTCAACCAGTGATATTAGGGAGTTAGTGATGTGGGAATCTACTTGCACTCCCAGAGTTGCTCTGACACGTACTTGAAACTAAAAGCATCTAAGATTCAACAGATACAGAAACCTAGGAGCCTCTCTTTTTCATTAAAAGCAAAAATCCTCTCCATGGGGCAGTTTTATGGCCTTGAAAAAAAAAAAAGTGGAGATCACAGACACCTTCATAAACAGAAAATGTCACAAATTTCCTTATTTCTCCTTTATTCCTCTAGGAACCTTTTTGTTCTATGGAAACATAGAAACCTTTTCTCTCCTCCACGCCCCCCCCCCTCATTTAGGGAATCTCTTCTTCCATGTACATAAATGAATTTTTTTTCCTCCTGTTCATCTCTTGTCAGTTAAATTCTCAGGCCCCCAGGAACTGAACCTAAGAAGACAGAAGAAAATGTTTTCCTCCCAGATGGTGCCTAAATATCACAGGACATCATTCCTCAGCTGGAGCAACTTGGAGATTTATATTCCATAGTCTCCCGGACATTCCTCAGTGGACTTGAACCCCAGCTGCCGGCAGCCATAATCTGTTCATTAGCAAACCCTCTATTGATTTTCTTTTCCTGTGTCAACTCCCCACTCTGCTACCAGAGTTATTTGGGGTTACCTCCCAAATAAACTGCTCACACTCAGTTCTTTTCTTTTTGCTTCTGGGAGAACCCAGCCTAAGATAGAAACTGGTAGAGAGGTTAGGAGGGGAAATGAGAGACTCACTCATGGATGCACAAAAGAATTTCCAAGGAGGAAATCATCAGCATTATACAGACTGCAATATGTATATTGCAATACATATACAAACTGCCCATGTTTTTCCACATGGGCACTGGTAAGTGAGGCGAGTTTATTTTAGAGATATGAGAATAGTCAAGTTTCTTTTTTTTTTAATTTATTTATACAAGAGCTGGGGTACAAGCCAGAGGTGCAGGAGGGTGAAAGGATCCACTAGAGACAGACTGGGGAGCAGAACAGGCAGATTGACTGAAATACACTGCTGAGGGGAGCAGCTGGCAAGCCAGGAGAGGTCTGCCGCATCAGGGGGGAAGCTCCCTGATGGGCCAGGAATCAAACCTGCGCTGCAGAGGCTGCGGACAGCTCCACAGTGCTGCACACAACCCGCTGCGCCACCGCCACCAGGGAGGCCCGAGAATAGTGAAGTTTCCATCGGTTAAACATAAAGAAGGAAAAAAAAAGAAGTCCAGAGGTTACAGATTACTTAAAAAAAAAAAAAATTATCTGGAAAGGTAAGGGAGTGATAATTACAGGAAGCCATAAAGGTGAGGAAGTATCTTGTCAGGAGGGACCAGCACAGGTGCATGCCAGGAGAGCCCGTAAGGAGGAAGGTTGACAAGATGGCTGCAAAGATGGGAACTCATGGGGGGAGACTTGCAAGGGAGCAGAAGAGAACAGGACACTGGGAGAAGGAACCTCAGGCAAAGGGAAAAACATCTCTTCCATTTAGACAAGAGGAAAAAGATGTTTATAGGTTAAGACAGAGACATAGAAAAGCCCCAGTAGCTATTTTTGCATTGCTGTTGTTGTTAAGACAAGACCAAGAGGGCCTCCCTGGTGGCACAGGGGTTAAAGACACATCACTATCAAGCTATTGCCAGCCACTGTAGCACTAGTTCGATCCCTGGCCAGGGAGCTACCCACATGGCACAGCAGACCTCTCCTGTCTCGCCCGCTGCTCCCCTCAGCAGTATATTTCAGTCAGTCTGCCTGTTCTGTTCCCCACTCTGTCTCTGGTGAATCCTCTCACCCCCACACCTCTGGTCTGTACTCCAACTCTTGTATGCATAAATAAATAAATCTTGGAAAAAAAAAAAGACAACACCAAGAACCGGTGGGGAGGGTCACCTGAGGAGACAGGGAAGGTTTGGCAGAGCTGTTGGGAGAAGGCTGAAGAGATGGATGGGGAGCACAGAGGTGAAGCCAGGAACTCATCGTGGCATTAATTCAGACAGCTTTGCAATTCTCACTCAGAATAATGTTTAGAAACATAATTTGATTAATCCTCTCTTAGGTTTGCCAAATGGATGGGACATAAGGTCAAAGGTTCTGAGTGATTGAATATAGTAATTGAAAGAGTGGGCTGAAACAAAAGCAGGGCGGGGCTGAAGTAGATGCAGAGAATGTAAAAGAGGAAGGCAAGGTGTGTCGGGTGGGCTGTACAGAGGGTTGAAGGGAGATGAGAGGGCAACTGAGTCAGAGCAAATCTTTGATGCCTGTGGAAGCAGGACAGGGCAAATGTGCAGGGGCTAATGGGGGCAGATTGGGGAGGTGAGAGCAAAGAGGCAGAGAGGTGGCAGAGCAGTGTGGTTAATGTGGGTTCTGGGCCAGAACCCCAGTGATTCATAGTCCTGGTTCTGATACTTATTGGTCCCGAAAATGGGTAAATGATCTGATCTTTCAGCAGTGGTATCGAGTCTGGGGCCAGAAGTGCATGAAATTGATATATGGGAATAAATGAGCTCCTTCATGGGGAGGTGTGGACAGGAAAAAAGAAAATCACAGAGCAGACTACGGGGGCCAGGGAGTGACATTATTTCAAGGAGAAAAGAGGACTTTGGAGTGAAGGCTAAAGATAACAAGCAGGTTCACAAGGGAATGGAAACTTGAAACGTGACACTAAGGTTGGAATGGTATTTCAGAAGTTGAGTTTGTTTTTTTTTTTTTAAAGATTTATTTATTTATACAAGAACTGGGGTACAGGTCAGAAGCACAGGGGGGTGAGAGAATTCACCAGAGCTGGAGCGGGGAGCAGAACAGGCAGACGGACCGAAGACACTGCTGAGGGGAGCAGCGGGCGAGGCAGGAGAGGTCTGCTATGCCATGTGGGGTTCTCCATGGCCAGCGGGGAATCGAACCGGCGCTACAGAGGCTGCAGACAGCTTGGCAGCACGGCGCTCAACCGCTGCGCCAGCAGGGAGGCCCTCAGAAGTTGAGTTTTTAGGATTTAGGGAATTCCTTGAAAGTTCTGATCTACCTTCCAGCTCAGATTCTGAAGCTCATTCTGAAACCAAGGATGACCACCCACGATCTCTAGCACAGGGTTTGAATAAGTCGCTCCAGGGACATGCACTGTAGAATGAGGCTTCCAGAGGGAGCAGGTGGGAGTGGGGAGCAGATGGGGTGGGCACCAAATGGGCTATGGTGGAGGACCATGGGTGCTTTGATGGTTGGTGGGTTTGGTATGGTGACATATATCTAAAGACGTGTGAACCTGTACCCCCAAAATTATATAGTGTGGCAAACCACTATTCCTTCAATTACAAAAAAAAAAAAAACTATTAAAATAATGTGTGGAGGAGTGACTGATAGGACATTCTGCTGATGATCATTTTTAAAAGTGGTGAGTTAGCACCTTCCAGCCGCTCCCTCTCAAAGCCCCAATGGTGGGCTTCTCCACCACCATCACCTCCTTTCCCTGGCAGTTTCCTAGACCTTCAGCCCTGGAAAGATGAAGCTGGAAGAGGTAAGAAACTTTGGTTACCCTTTTGGAAATACCTAGGAAATTGACCGAATAAAGACAGCAGAGCAAAATTTGTATTTATTTCCTTTTATTAGATCGTCTCAAGTAAGGTTTGAAGAAGGACAAGAAATGCAGCACAACTATTAAGGTGTAAGTAATTGAGCTTACTCTACTCAACAAAGCATTTCCACGTATTAGCATCTCAAAAGCTCAGCTTATTTATTGGAGGTTGCACAGAGAATAAAGACAGGCTGGCTCCACCCTCAGGGAGCTTACATTCTAATGCAGAAAGCAAACAACTTACAGCTGGGTAGAGCCTCCCAATGAACAAAGCAAGATGCAAAGTTACTTTGTAAATCTGGCGTTTGGAAAGCAAGCAAGCATCTGGCCTGAAGTCCAGAAGAACCTCCTTGTAGAAGCAGCAATTAAGCTAATCTAAGGATGGTAGTTACCATTGTTAGTGGTTCTCACTGTAGTATCATGGAAATGGATGGGCTGTTGTTTTCACCACACTTGGGGGTTATCACTGAATGCAGCTGGGGATAACCGAAGTGTATGGGTTCGTCCCATACAACGAAGAAGTATTCTGTATACAGTAACGTCTGTGGACACTTATGTAGAACCTACAGTTCATCTAAGAGAATACAATTTTATTTTTTTCCTCTTAGACAATCTGTAATATGTATTGTCCTATTATCCTATTTCAATTAAGCTACTTTCACACTTTCCCTTACCATGTACAGATCAGTTATAGGGTCTGTTAGGACTTACCCTAAGGCTGGTTTTCATTCTGGTGTGACCCCTATCGCTAATATTTTTCACTTTCCTGTATTTCTTTACAGAAAGTAGCCTCTAATCGACTCTTAAATCCAAACCTATTCAGTAAAAGTAGAAGTCAATGCCTATTTCACTGTTATGATGCCAGACAGGATAATCCTGCCTGAGTATTTACCTATTGAAATTCTTTTTTATCTCATTACAAAATTCTTTCCCTTTGTTTCTCTGTTGTAATAGGGCACTACATTTTCTTAAAGAAGTGTGTATGTGTGAGTAGATTGTATTATCTATGAATCCTCTCAGGACAGCAAAGGAGATGCTTTGAAAAGAATAGATCTGGTAAGATTTGGGGGAGGAGGGACTTCTGTAATTGGGGTAGGAGGAAGTGCTTCTGGCACTTAGTGTGTGAGCAGAACATCTTACAACACACACGACAGTTCCTTACAAGAAGGAATTACCCTGCGCTCTATACGAATTTTGAATGTCTCTCTAGACATTCATGTATGACCTACAGTTCGTCAGCAAAAATACAGTTTCTCATTTTCTCCATACCGACAATCTGTAGATTTTCTTGCATTAGTATCTTTATTACACTCTTTCTCTTATAGAAACAAGTATTAGGGCCTCCCTGGTGGCATAGGGGTTACTTTCAGTGCTATCAAGATATCGGAGGCCTGAGTTCGATCCATGGCCAGGGAGCTGACCCACATAACACTGCAGACCTCTCCTATCTCGCCCACTGCTCCTCTCTCTGTCTCTGGTGAATCCTCTTACCACCACCCCCAAACCTCTGGCCTAGACCCCAATTCTTATATGCATAAATAAATAAAAAATAAATCTTTAAAAAAAGAAACACTATATGTAAGTTACTGTATCACTAGTTTCTATTTTAATGTCCACTCATATCCCTGCTTTTTCATTTTCCCGTAGTTCTTTGAACAAAATAGTTCTGATCTCTACCTTAAGTTCATATGTACTCATTTTAAGTAGATGGAAAAATCTGATTACTTAATTAGGGCTTCTCATATAATAGGGCCCATGTTATATAGCTTATATTTCCCTTTTATGTTAATTTTCTTTCTAAAAATGTATGTAGTCGAGTATATTACCACTGAATTGCATTTTGAGTACACTAAGGTAGATGTTACAAAGCATTTTTCATTAAAAAGGGCGGGGGGTGAGAACCACTGGGCTAGATGAAAAGGGAACCGAAGAACTGAGCAGAAATTATGGTGGCTTGTGTGGGGCCATAATAATGAAGCTGAAATTTATTCTAAAGGCATGATCAGATGTGTGTTTGAAAATTAAGTAAAAAGTTAAAAAATATAACCATCTGGCTGCTAAGCAAAGAATAACTCAGAAGGGAAAAAACAAAGAAGAAAAACTGGACGTAGGAACCGCTCAGATATGTGGGGCGCGAGAGGAGTCAAGATGACTTGGGATTTCTGCTCGAACAGATGTATGGATGGGGACACCACTTACTATAGGTAGGATCTGGGGGACAGCGGATTCCTTCCCGGGAGGCAGATCAAGAGCTCCATTGTGGACATTCTAGTTGTGCAATGTCCAGCTAGAGATGAGTCAGAAAGAGCAAGCTGGACACATTTCTCTCTCTAATGAGAAAGATCAGGGAATAAAAACTCCAAAACGGAAGCTACCACGAAGAAAAAGGAGTGAATGAGAGAAAATTGTTGTGGCAAGCATCCCAGAGCATAATCTGACTCTAAAAGCCCCTCCATGTTTGTTAATGGTGGAGCCCTCCAAGCCAAGGAGGGGTGGGGATCTTTGTATGGATATAAAATCTGACTAATATGGCATCATCGCTAACGCTGATTGGTTGGGGGAGCATGTCTGCTAAGAGGAACTATTACAGGAACTCCGTGGGACTGGTTTGGAATTAAAAAAAAGGAAAACCTTGGGCCTCCGCTGGTGATGCAGCGGTTGAGCGCTGGGCTTCGAGGCTGCCCGCAGCCTCTGCAGCGCCGGTTCTGACCCCTGCCGCTGGCGAGGGTCCCACAAAAAAAAAAAAAAAAAAAGGAAAACCTGATTATACCAAGGAACGAACTCTTGTCAGACACCTCAACTGTCCTACAGACTATACCTACAATCTGCTATATTTAGAAAAAGAAGCCCCTTGCAGGCATGAGGACTGCTCGAGGCGTTCTCTTCTGATTCAGTGCTCACCAGGAAACTAATCTTGCCTCCTTAGGGGCCCAGCCTTCAATAGGGGTGGCCCAGCTTCTAACTCCTAGGTGAGCCTTATCTACTACAGCAAATGGCTACAGCGCTCAGGTTTATTAGTCATACTTGTGTGAATCTGGTTACTGTAACTCAGTGCCCCCCTCCACCACTAGATATAGACACATCAAGAAAGATGCACCTGAAAAAAACCTGCCCTGCAATCATATTAATGACAATGTGTCCACTGCCACCACTGTATACTGGTGTTGGTAACAGCAACTGCATATTGCCACTGCCAACACAGCTAAATAAACGGGCCGTTAACTCCATGTGGTTGCTTCTCCCTGAGCCACACCTAGTGGCTCTGCACAATTGCATTCCAGAAAGCCCTCCTAGATGGAGCCCCCTCATGTAGGGAACTGTGCCCTAAATCAGTTTCACCACAAAGGTAAAGTATAACCTTATCACTAGGTCTGTAATACCATTCAAATTACCTTTACTTTCCTAAATACCCCGCCCCCCCCCAATGTTTCACAGTCTTCCATCTAAGACTATGCTCTCTTAGGTCCTTATTTCAGAAAGCATTTTTAGATTTCTCCTGAATTAATTTTCTTTCCATTTAACCCAAACAAAACCACGCCACATTAAAAACTAGAAAGTGGTTGTAAAGGAAACATGGTTCCCTTAGAGAGCTTTAGAAATCACTTCCACTTGTGACAGTGGTTCCCAAACTTTAGGACACACTTGATTCTTCAGGGAGTTGTTTAAAAAAAAAAAAAATCATACTCCAGAAGTAAAAATTTCTAAACTTAGAAATAAATCACTATTTGGAGGTGCAAGCTGGACACCAGAATTTTGAAAAGTTTCCTATATGATCTAAACATGCAGCGAAGTCTGGGAACCACTGATGGAAGGAAGTTGATCTCTTGGCGAAGAAATAGAAAGGTTTAACCGCAATCTGGCGTATTGAACACAACAGCCATGGTTTCCTGTAGGTCACTGTACTGAGCGTTTCTAACTAATTATGCAGCCTTTGTCTATTTCAGAATATTCGATCACATACTGTGGGTAAATCTGATCTTTCTCAAAGATGACAAAAGTGGAGGGATTCACCCTCGTATCCACACAGCTGTCATAGTGGAGAGGACACGTCGTGTACCCCTTATTTCCTTCAGTGAAATTTCCAACCAAGACTCGGGCTACAAACATGACGGCGTGCTTGGGTTCAAACGGGTAATTCTTATGGGAAGAGATGGCATCTTTTGTGAAGTAAGTCCCTAGAAATAATCAGAAGGGATAAGAATTAATATAAAGAGAGGTATACAGTTATACAATTATTTATACACAATGAGGTCTCTGTAGATTCTTTTTAAGTTTTCTAAATAGACACATCCTCTTCAAATACAACATTTTTGTTTCTTTCCAACCACTTAGCATATTGATCAAAAATGCAGATCACATATGTAAATTGTATTTCTACTTTCTAGGTAAGTATTTGAGTCCTTACATAACTCTCCTGAGAAACTGAAGGGTTCAAATTTCACATGTGTTATTTCACTCAAGATGGTTACCCCACTTCCCCAAGCATTTCTAGGCAAGTTTTAGTGATTCATTTAAACTTACTAAACTTATGACATTCTCCAGTCACTCCCCCATCTTAAATCCTTCATTCGCTTCCCACATCTTTAGGGTTCAGTCCAAGTTCTACTGTGTGGCCATACAGCCTATATCACTTGTCCCTGACTCTATATGCTAATTCCACAAGGCAGGTGAATACCCCCATATCCCTTTCTCGGAGGCACCTCTCCAGCCAGGTTAGGAGTCTGAGGGCCTGATCTGTTCCATTAATGGCAGCCACATATTCATGATCACTTCATTAATTATGTCAAATAATTGAGGGTGGGGCTGTCCAACTTGTTCACCCCTGTGTCCCCCAGCATCTAACACTCCAAAATATTTGTTGACTGACTCACTGGCTTCTTGCTTACAGGTGATGTATGGATTTAATCTCAATTACCTGAGTTGGACCTACACTGAGACTGTGACAAATCTTATTTGTTCCCTAAAGATAAGCAATTATCTTATTTGTTCATTTGCTTTTTTAAGACTGGTGTGAAGGGGCCTCCCTGGTGGTGCAACGGGTTAAATCTCAGCACTAAGAAGCTATTGGTAGCCACTGCAGCACGAGTTCGATCCCCGGCCAGGGAGCTACCCACATGGCACAGCAGACCTCTCCTGACTTGCCCGCTGCTCCCCTCAGCAGTGCATTTCAGTCAATCTGCCTGTTCTGTTCCCCACTCTGTCTCTGGTGAATTCTCTCACCCGCCAGCACCTCTGGCCTGTACCCCAGTTCTTGTGTGCATAAATAAATAAAATAAATCTTTTTTTTTTTTAAAGAGTGGCATGAAAGTATTTAGAAGCACAAAGCTACCTCAGTCCCCAGGTGACCCTCGTGGCCTGAAATGGGTAGATGCCTCTTTGACTAGAACATAAGATTGGGAGAAGCTGCTATTTCAAGTAGCTTCCAGGGATGGGCATGGGCGAGAAAGAGGCATGGCTAGAAGTGAGTAGTACTGGACGACAATGTAGCCAACAGGTGGGGTAGTTTGCAGGTTTGCATGAGACTCTGGTCCCTCTCCCCAAAAAACAGAAGACAGGAACAGGGCTAAGGTGCAACAATCAAGTCCCACGTCAATTTCCTGCTCTAATTTGGGTCACTTAAGGTTAACCCACATATATAGTCTCTCCAGGACAGCAAAAGCCTGCACGTGCTGGTTAACACCTAATAATGGCATGTCTCTCCTTAAGAGAAGCACATGTAGACTTTGACTCATGAACTCCCCGGTGAGTCCTGATGAGTCCATCCCAATACAAACCTCTTCCATATTTGGTCTCATAAATTCCATGTAAGGTATAGTCAAAATTATCCGCACAGATTGTTGCTACATGGGCGCGGCTTGCTGCATAAAATAGGATTTCTTCATCCTTCTTCAACATGTTCATTTTTTTCCTAATGAAGGAAATGTGAGACTTATACCAGAACATTCCTTTCCCATTCCAGCTAATGATATTAATTAGGCTGAAATCTAATTGTCTTAAAATTTCATTCTATCACATTGCATTACGGAGCTAACAATTAGACAACAGCTGTAAAAAAATAAATATGTGAAATCTTTTTAATGATAGACACATGAAACAGTGAATTGTAAAACTAAAGCTGAAAAAGAGAAGCTCAAGTTTGAACAAAGAAGGAGCAACTAGAGCTTACAGACACTGTTTCACCAAAATAAACTGGTAAATACAAATCTTGAGGGATAAATCTTAACCAATCTTTTCAAACATTATGTAAAGAAACCTGATAATGTGGCCACCAACCTTTCAAATGAATTTAAAAGCTTCCTGTTTTGGATCTTCTTTATCTTCTCAATCTTGAAGTTTTTCATGGAAGCTTTAAAATGCTCACTTATTCTGGCATATTCTGAAGTCAGGTTACTGACCTCTAATAACTAAAAAAAATAAATAGAAATACATAAATGTTAAACAGGAAACATTTAAAGGACGATATGGCCATATGTGTAGCCTGCTACACCATGGGGAATCTAAGTGAGGTGGATAAGCTGGTTTAGGGTTTCCACAGCTGGCAGCGCATTCCAGTAATGAACATGGCCTTGGGCCCATCTGTCCAGGCTGACTTAACAAAATACAATGCTAAAGAGTCAAGGGAAACCCCTAACCTGGCAGGCATCTGATTTAGTTCAGTGAGTCCGTGGCTTGAGCTCAGTCCATGGGCAAAGGCAATGGAGGTGCCCAGTGAGCCCGAGCAGAGAGGCCGTGCCCAGCGCTGGAGTGACTGGAGGCTGATCAACCTAGCAAGGGTCTGGCGCCAACCAGGTGAGGTGAGAGGAGGAGCCACCCTTTGACTTTGGCAGAAAGCTCCTTCTCAACTCCCACTCATGAACAAGTCCCTTTTCCTCTGAGGTCAATTGTCTAGTCTATGGAGACACTATCTACCTCAGAAGGTCGCCCATGTGAGATCGTGGGTGGCGGGACTGTGGAGACCAGGCGGCGCCCATTGAACAGACCAGGTAGCTGTTCCCTGGGAAGGCGACATCACCACAGAGATGTGTCGACCTTAGAATCTCAAAGTTAGTATTGTGAAAGCAATTCATTCACTCAAAGACACACATTGGTAGCAAAGTATTTTTTCCCGCCTCTAAACAATTCTTCTGCCAAAAAGTAAAACCCAAGTACCTCAAATCCGCTGGAGGGCGGGAGGCCCATGCTTCTCTGAGGAAAAGGCTCTGATTGAGGAAAAGACTCTGGTTGAGGAAAAGGCTCTGGTTGAGGAAAAGGCTCTGATTGGGTCTTCGGGAGGCCTGTGCTCCTCTGAGGAAGAGGATCTGATTGGATGTTCGCTTGAAAATGGCTACAAATAAAAGTAGGAAATTCTCAGGGCACCCTGTTTCTGCTACCCCTAGGACTTTCTGACTTAACTTGCAACCATTAAGTCAAGGTTTCTCAGAGAATTTATTCTTTGTACTACATTCCTGCATATTTCTGGTGAGTGTACCAGTGATCATGCGTTTCTCTGCATTAATTATTCATGATTTGGTAAATTAATTAAATGTTCCTTCCCTCTTGCTTTAAAATGCAAAAGCATTGATTCCTTTTTATAGTTTTGCTCAGTCTCCAAAGATCCTAATGCATTAGCCTTAAGTGTTTCTTCGAGACTTCTTGTCAAACGATAAACATTTAAATTTTAGGGGTACAGGGAAAGAATTCCACCACTCCTATATGAACTGTATTTCAGGATAACCCTACATGACCCCCTCCATGAACACATACATAGAGGCTTATTGTACAATTCATAATGAAAAATTTAAATTAAGAAAATGCTTTAAGGAAAAAATACTTTTAAGCCATCCTTTCATAAAATGAAAATTATTTTTTTTTTTTTTTTTTTTTTAGAGGCATGTTTTTCTTTATTTATTTGTTTTTGCTTGTTTGTTTGTTTTGTTTATACATGCACTGGGTACAGTCAGAAGCGCGGGAGGGTGAGAGAATTCACCAGAGCCAGAGCGGGGAGCAGAGCAGGCAGAAGGACAGAAGTACACTGCTGAGGGGAGCAGCGGGCGGCAGGAGAGGTCTGCGCGCCATGTGGGACCCTCCTCCGGTGGCCGGGGAGCAGCCGGGGATTGAACCGGCGCCGCAGAGGCCGCGGGCAGCTTCGCAACCCAGCGCTCTACCGCTGCGCCACCGGGGAGGCCCAAATGAAAATTATTTTTGAAGAGAGCTACTGGGCCCCATATTTCTGTACTCCAGGTTCAGATTTCCTCCATATTGGAAAATTGGATTTATGCAGAGTAGAACAGATTAAACCGGTCTGTTGTAAGGTGCCCAGCAGCAGAGAGGCATGCGCTAGTTCACTTTCCTTTTGACTCTTCAGGATAGTGCTCAGCCCATATTCTATCCTAAAATGGGTGTGTCTCTGGATTAGTGGTGACAGGAAGAGCTGACTTCTATAAACCTCCAACTAACATGGGTTTCTCAATGCACTGTATTCATTCACCCACTTAGCTATCTCTTTAGTATAGCTAGATACCTACTCATTATGCAAAACATTTTTTAAAGATTTATTTACTAATGCATACAAGAACTGGGGTGCAGGCCAGAGATGTGGGGGGTGAGAGGATTCACCAGAGACAGAGTGGGGAACAGAACAGGCAGATCTACTGAAAAACACTGCTAAGGGGAGCAGCGGGTAAGTCAGGAGAGGTCTGCTGCACCATGTGGGTAGCTCCCTGGCCAGGGATAGAACTTGTGCTGCAGTGGTTGCGGACAGCTTCACAGGTTGCATCTTAACCCCTGCGCCACCAGGGAGGCCCTTAGCAAAACATTTTTAAGAGCTTTGAGGTGCTGATAATTGTGGTGGGATGGAAGGATTATGCTAGGAGAGAGTCAGAGAAAAATTGTCGTGAGGTGGAATAGGTAAGAGCACAAGGGACGTACAAACTGGAGGGCAAAGGGATGGGGGCTTGGAGGGAGTCACCAGTGGAATCGGTATGGGAGCAAAAGCACTGGAACTGGGGGGTGAAACAGTCTGGATTCATGGGTGATAGAAGCAGAGTTCCCAGAGAAGGGGAAGAGCAAATGGAAAAGCATGAGGCAGTTGTGAAATTACTAAGTCAGAAAATGGATTGAGGGCCTCCCTGGTGGTGCAAGGGGTTAAGCACCACACTATGAAGCAATCCACAGTCTCTGCAGCACGAGTTCGATCCCTGGCAGGCCAGGGAGCTACCCACATGGTGCAGCAGACCTCTCCAGTCTCACCCGCTGCTCCCCTTAGCAGTGTATTTCAGTCAATCTGCCTGTTCTGCTCCCCTCCCCTCTCTGTCTCGGGTGAATCCTCTCACCACCAACCCCCCACACCTCTGGCCTGTACCTCAGTTCTTGTATACATAAATAAATAAATTAAAAAAAAAACCAAATTGTCAAGCTTTAGTCAGAGAACAGTATTTGGGGATGGATGGTTAGTCAGTCAGATAACAAGGATGGGATATATAGCTAGACAAACAGACAAACAGACAGGGTCACTGAGTCTGTTGATATCAGAGGAATAAAAATAAGAGTCACTAACAAAGTACTGAACCCCAATGTGCGGGTCATTTTGAATACCTTTAATGTATTCAATAAGCAACTTTTATGAATTAATACTAAGCCCATTTTATAGACGAGGGGGAAGCAGGATTGTTCATGGAGTAGAGGGAAGAAGCTAAACTAAGGAGATGTAGATCCAGCATCTAGATTCCAGAAAGGATCTGGGAGCCCAAACTGCTCAGGTTTTAAGGCAGAATTGGAACCAACTCCCATTCCTGAGGCCCCGGATTATATTCAGTTTCCATCCTTGGAGTCTCACAAAACATCATTTTCCATATTATACCATGTTTATCCTTGGTCATGAAATGCCTTAATCCGTACAACCAAAAGACCCTCATGAGAACACCTTGATTTTACACCTGCCTTGAAAACTGTTTTACATAATCACACCTCACCCAGGAAAAAAACCACACCAGGTGCATGAACAATGTAGATTTTACTGAATCTCATCAGCAGGCAGAGGGTTACATTGAAAGCCCCACAGCAAAATTTCCTTTGAAAATTCCCTTTAATCAATTTTATCCCCAGAGTCCTTGCTCAAACCACTGCCTCATGCCTTACTCCTCTCCATTTCTTTTCCTGTGTCCCACCCCCTATATTTTCACTAGGCAAAATGAAAGCTACAAAGAACAATCCAAAACAAAGGAACCCCGGCAATCATTCAGGTGCTGATCTCTTAAGCACAACCCACGAATCCAGCCACTCACAGCTGAAGCAGAGGCCCAGATGTTTGAGGGGCTTGCCCAAGAGCCCCAAGAGTCAGAGGAAAGGATAGCTCTCCTACACTCGTGCTTCCAGTCACACTGTAGAGCACCGCAGTAAGATAATGCTAAAGGAAACTGCGGTGTAATGCAAGCAGGAACAATTCATGCTAATGGTCCAGGGGAGTGCGTGATTCGATGAGATGGGCGTGAACAACTCAGAACACCTCCCGACAAGCAGCACTGCAGAACACTTACTCTGATCTACGTTTAATCTGCTCCACATCCGAGTGAGACACAAATGTGGGTCTTCTGATGACCACCCTTTGGGTCCTGGAAGCTGTGTTTGTCTGAATCATCCCTTTAGATGGAAAAAAGAAAACAACCAAGAATCAAGAATTAGTCCTAGAAAGTGATTTATTGTTATTTTCAAAGCTAGTAATACCATAGATGTTCGTGACGGAATTGTACACACATGAATAGAGAAATTCCTTCTGATGGAAGTTACTCATGATAAAATCCAGTGCTTTTCACTGTCCTTTTATAAGATCCAGAAAACAAAGAGGGAAATGAACATTTATTAATCAATCTAATCTCTAATAAAAGTCTGATGGTAAAGAGCAGGGCAGTAAGATAACAAGACATCATCCATTTAAATTCCCCTAAACCAGGCATCAGTGATATGGGTTGAAACATACTAATTATAACTTGAAGGGATTTTTTTCTACATCAAACATGAAAGGTCATTTTCAGCTCATGCGTGTTGTGGAACTAAGGGCAGGCTGCATCCAGACTGAGTTCTTTAAAAAGTTACTAGTTGGGCCTCCCCAGTGGTGCAGTGGTTGAGCACTGGGTTGCAAAGCTGCCCACAGCCTCTGCAGCACCGGTTCGATCCCTGGTCGCCAGGCGAGGGTCCCACATGGCGCGCAGACCTCTCCTGCCACCCGCTGCTCCCCTCAACAGTGTACTCGTCAGTCTGCCTGTTCTGCTCTCCGCTCTGGCTCTGGTGAATTCTCTCACCCTCCCGACTTCTGACTGTACCCAGTGCTTGTATAAATAAATAAATAAATCTTCAAAAAAATAAAATAAAAAGTTACTAGTTATAGCACATTGTTAGCAAAAGTGTCACTGGGCCCATGTACTTTGGAAAACAGGCAGGTTTTTACAAAGTTAAATATACACTGCTAATGTGATCCAGCAATCCACTCCTAGATATTTATCCCCAAAATGAAAACCTGTATTCATACAAAGACTCACATTTGAATGTTTCTAGTAGCATTATTACAATAATCAAAAAAGCAAAACCAATCCAAATATTCATCAACAGATGAATGGATAAACAAACCATAACATAGCCTTACAGCAGAATATTACTCAACAGGGGCTTTCCTGGTGGCTCAGGGGTTAAAGATAGCACTATTAAGCTATCACCAGTCACTGCTGTGGCTTGAGTTCAACCCCCGGCCAGGGAGCTGACCCACATGGCACAGTGGACCTCTCCTGTCTCTTGCCCGCTGCTCCTCTCAGCAGTGTATTTCAATAGATCTGCCTGTTCTGCTCCCCACTCTGTCTCTGGTGAATCCTCTCACCACACCCCCCCCAACTCTAGCCTGTACCCCAGCTCTTGTATGCATAAATAAATAAAATAAAATCTTTTTTAAAAATTTAAGTTATTTTTTAATTTCACCATCCAACAGAAGATTTTTCTCTATTGCTTCTAGTCTTGGTCAACAGACATTCTTTGCTACATCCTATTCATGCACATGAAATTAATTTCATCATCTGAAATGTAACATACAAACAGAAAAGTACAGAAACATAAATTTGGGTTTCCGCCTTTGTCATAGAATAATGTCATAGAATAATGTCAAATTTTGTTTTTACTACTTAGTTTTCATGATCATCATTTTTAACAGCCACCTAGTATTCCACTGAAGTTTAGTGTCTTAATTTTTTAGTCACTCCTCTATTGGGACACGGGCTAGTCCTCTATGTTAGTTGTATTTAACTTACAGATGAGGCTGCCACAAAAATCTGCATGCCCAGTTATTTTTTCCCTTCTGTGTGTGTGTGTGTGTGTGTCAGAGCCCAGCTCCAGACTCGAAACTTACCTTGGAAGCTCAGTTCATAGGTGCTGGAACCTGCCTGAAAAGGCACAACTCCCCTGGGACAGGTCAGAAACAAAGACTCCAGGTATGAAGACTCCACGTCTGCAACTGGATGAATGCTTTCCTAATTAAAAGGAAAAAAGCAAAGATGTCAGGTCTGGCTTTTAAGAAATCTCTACCATTATGTCTTTCTCCTTTGTCCTTTTTTATTGAAATCATGCTGGTTTGCAACACTGCATGATTTAAGTGTATAAATCCACACCCTGTTAGATGTGTGCTGCCACACCACACCCACCATCAAAGCACCCACAGTCCCCATCACAGTCCGCTGGATGTCTCCCTACTTGCCCCACCTCCACGCCACCACCCCACTGGTGGCCTCATTTTATAGTCCGATTTCTACGGTTTATTTTGATTTCGTTTCGTCAGTTCCTTTATTTTGTTCCTTTATGTTTCTTTTTATTTCACTTAACATCATCCTCTCCAGGGCCTCCCCGGTGGCACAGCAGTTGAGCGCCACGCTGCGAAGCTGTCCACAGCCTGTGCAGCGCGGGTTAGATTCCCCACCAGCCAGGGAGATACCCACATGGCAGGGCAGACCTCTCCTGCCTCGCCCGCTGCTCCCTTCAGCAGTGTCTTCGGTCCGTCTGCCTGTTCTGCTCCCCCCTCTGTCTCTGGTGAATTTTCTCACCCTCCCGTGCTTCTGACCTGTCCCCCCGTTCTTGAATAAATAAATAAATCTTTAAAAAAAAATGAAATAGCATCCCCTCCAGTTCCACACTGGTTGTCACAAATACCAAGAGTTCATCTTTTTATTTATAACTGAGTTGTATTTCACAATTTAAACATACAATATCCTCTATATTCTACCACTCTGTCTTATATAATTTTACTTTAGGCATGGGGTTTATTTTTTTTAAGATTTATTTTATTTATGCATACAAGAACTGGGGTACAGGCCAGAGGTGTGGGGGGAGAGAGGATTCACCAGAGAGTGTGGGGAGCAGAGGAAGAGATGGGAGAGGTCTGCTGCACCATGTGGGTAGCTCCCTGGCCTGCCCAGAATCGAACTCGTGCTGCAATGGCTGCCAATTGTTTGATAGAGCTGTCTTTAATACCTGCACCAGCAGGGAGGCCTAAGCATGAGGTTTAAACAGAAATGCATCTGCCTCTAAAACCAGATTATAGGGCCTCCCTGGAGGCACAAGGGGTTAAGATGCAGACTATGAAGCTGCCCACAGCCACTGCAGCACAAGTTCTATCCCCGGCCAGGGAGCTACCCACATGGTGCAGCAGACCTCTCCTTTCTCACCCGCTGCTTCCCTCAGCAGTGTGTTTCAGTCAGTCCACCTGTTCTGTTTCCCACTCTGTCTTTCGTGAACCCTCTCACCCCCCACACCTCTGGCCTGTACCCCAGTTCTTGTATGCATAATAAAACAAATCTTTAAAAATAAAATTAAATTAAAAAATAATTAATGTACACTTTTTTATCATTATAATTGGAATACATACTTGCTAAAAAAAAAATGCAAATGCAGAAATGCACCACTTCCTTTACCAGATCTCTCCCAGGGTAACCACATAGGGGCCAAATGTTGCATTAGTTTTCTCCTAGAACTGAAACATAACCTCCAAATGGGGGCCTCCCTGGTGGCAAAGAGGTTACGACGCAGCACTATTAAGTTATCCACAGCCACCGTAGCACGAATTCGATCCCTGGACGTCCAGGTTGCTACCCACATGGCGCAGCAGACCTCTCCTGACTTACCCGCTGCTCCCCTCAGCAGTGTGTTTCAGTAGATCTGTCTGTTCTGCTCCCCACTCTGTCTCTGGTGAATCCTCTCACCCCCCACACCTCTGGCCTGTACCCCAGTTCTTATATGCATAAATAAATAAATCTTTAAAGAGTCTCCAAATGGAAGAAAGGTACTCACCGCCCCATATTCAACACATTTGCCAGAATCACTCCTCCAGTACCAGATCCACTTTGTGGTGAAGACAGAATTTGTGACTGGTGTGACAGATGAAGGCGTGGAGATACGTCGCATGGGATTAAAATTACAAGTCATTTTCTCAAAATTGATGGTAAAATTTTCAAGAGCAAATCTGAGAGGGAAAAATTTGGAGTTAACAAAACATTTCATGGACTCCGTTTCTTAAAACTTAATCTTCTAGAACAAGAGCACAGAACTTTAGGAGCTGAAAGGGATCTTCATCTTTTCCTTATACAGCTCCAGGTCTTGCAACATAAAAGAAAAAGCAGGGATACGGAGGTGTAACCCACATATTTAATGGTCTCACAAATGTATTCTTCCCTTAAAATATATACCACGATAAAAGTCTGCACAAAATAATTGATTAGCAAGTCTCCCTGGTGGCCTAGGGGTTAAGTCTTTGCACTGTCATTGCCATGGCCTGAGTTTACTCCAAGCCAGGGAGCTACCCACATGGCACAGCAGACCTCTCCTGTCTCCCCACTGCTCCCCTCAGCAGTGTATTTCAGTAGATCTGCCTATTCTGCTCCCCACTCTGTCTCTGGTAAATCCTCTCACCCTTGGTCCCCCACCACCATATCTCTGGCCTGCACTGCAGTTCTTCTATGCAAAAACAAATAAAACTTAAAAAAAAAAATAATTGCCTCAATATTCAAAAACTCAGTTTGGTTTTTTCAATTATTTAGTGTTAACTAAATAGTTATCCAAATGTGGTCAGAGACCTTTTAGGGAGCCAGTGAGGTCAAAGTTATTTTCATAATAATGTCAAGACATTATTTGCCTTCTTCACTTTCATACTCTCACAAGGACACAATGAGCGGGTTTTCCCAAAGACTACGTAATAAGTAATTTCATGACAGATTGGGGAGATTTCCCAAAATATCAAACAATGTCATTCTTTTCAATGAATGATTTTGCTTTTGAAAAGTTACTTGTATAGCTATACATAAAGACATAAAAATATATAAACATAGTTCTAGAAAACATTATTCATGTTAACAATGAGCTTATAATTGTTATCTTTGAAATGAGTCATTAACATTTCGATTTCTTGGTTTTGATCTTTTTAGTATATTAAATATTGGTAGCTATAATCCACATATGCAGAAGTTTCTGGGGATTCTCAGTTTGTTTAAGTTCTCCGAGGTGTCAGAGGCCACGAAGGTTGAGAATGGCTGAGCTAAAAAACGGATTTCCTAGAGACCAGCGGCTCTCAACTAGGCAAGATTTTGCCCCCTTGGGGCAAATGTTTGAAGACATTTTTGGTTATTACAACTGGCATCTCATGGAGAGAGACCAGGAATGTTGCTAAACAGCCTACCCCCCCAAAAAATACTTATTTGGTCCCACAATGCCAAGGTAGCAAAGCCCAGCCTCAGATGGCAGAGGGGGTGTTGGGGAGAGGCACCCAGTAGCAAGAAAACAGCTGATGCCACCCTCTAGTGGCCAAATGCAGAAACACAGAATTGCCACCAAAAATTCAGATGATGAAATGAACATAATTTCCCCCAAACAATTTCCTTACAAAAGTAGGATGCATCTTATAAATAAGGCCATGTGTGGTATGGACCCAATCCACTTGGGTCCTGGACAGGAGGAGAAATGTATGGTAATGTCTTTGATAACTCCAAGAGAGAAAAAATAGCCAACAAGAAGGTATAAAATGCCAAACCAGACAACCAAATTTTACACTAGAACTATATGAAATGACTCAAATCAGCTGTTTAAGTATTTTTTTAAAGATTTATTATTTTATTTATTTATGCATACAAGAGCTGGGGTGTAGGCCAGAGGTGCAGGGAGGTGAGAGGATTCACCAGTGACAGAGTGGGGAACAGAACAGGCAGACTGACGAAATACACTTCTGAGGGGAGCAGTGGGCAAGAAAGAAGAGGTCTGCCTCGCCACGTGAGATTCTCGAAGGCCGGCCTGGATCGAACCTGCGCTGCAAGGCTGCGGGCAGATTCACAGTGCGGCGCTCAACCACCTGCACCACCAGGGAGGCCCTGTTTTAAGTATTTTTAATTTGTCCTAGGATGCTCTGATAGAAATACAAATTGACCTGCATGTCGTGTTTTTCTGCAGGACACATGGATAAATATTAACTAAACAATCATGTCACTGTTTATTTTACCTGAGTAGACAAATACTCCCAGAATGCCTAGTACTAGCCAGGCTCTAAGCAACTTCCAGTCTTTCCAGCTTGTTTTTCCTTCATTAACTCAGCAGGCATTTGCCACTTTTATCTCAAAAGTTAGCTCAAGGCCTCCCTGGTGATGCAAGGGGTTAAGCACTGCACTATGAAGCAATCTGCAGCCCCTGCAACATGAGTTCGATCCCCAGCCGGCCAGGGAGCAACTCACATGGCACAGCAGACCTCTCCTGTCTAGCCCGCTGCTCCCCTCAGCAGTGTATTTTGGTCAAATCTGCCTGTTCGGTTCCCCACTCTGTCTCTGGTGAATCCTCTCAACCCCACCCCCCCACCCCCCGCATCTCTGGCCTGTATCCCAGCTCTTATATGCATAAATAACTAAATCTTTAAAAAAAAAAAGATTAAAAAAAGAGTTAGCTCATACTTAAATGGGAATCTGAAGGAAAATTAAGATTAGCCTTCCTTTGATGATGTGGTGGACCTCAGCAGACAGAGTCCAGCCAGCAACTTACACGATGATTTGGGGATCACAGTAAGCCTTCTCAATAGTCTCCATGGGCTGGAGGTTGGTCCAGGTGCCACCGGTGAAACTCTGCCACAGGTAGGGCAGGTGGAAGTGAACATTCTTGCAACTTTCTACAAAGACAGAAAGGAAATCTTGAGGGTCTGATGGTTGGCGGGGGTCAAACCAATACAACCATGTTCACTGCTGACTCCCCCATCAAGGCCAGCCCCATAGCCCACCAGACCTGCAAGCCAGCACATTTCCATCTACACCTTTGCTCAAGACGCCCTCACCTGTACTGCCCCAATCCTGTATCTCCAGGTTTCTCTGTTATCCATAGAGACTCATCAAAAACAAAACTTCCTGGGGCCTCCCTGGCAGTACAAGGGGTTAAGTCTCAGCACTATGAAGCTATCAGCAGCCACTGCAGCACGAGTTCGGTCTCTGGCCAGGGAGCTGACCCACATGGCGCAGCAGACCTGTTCTGTCTCCCCACTGCTCCCCTCAGCAGTGTATTTCAGTGGATCCACCTGTTCTGCTCCCCGCTCTGTCTCTGGTGAATCCTCTTACCACCCCCTCACACCTCTGGCTGACACTCCAGCTCCTGCATAAATAAATAAAATAAATCTTAAAAAAAATAGAGCAGGTGTAGGCAGCACAAAGAAACCCACAGAGCGACACTACTGGAGCTATGACTGACTCAAGAGTAGAGAAACACTGGTTATAGGCCATACCTCACATTATAATGGCTGCTGTTAAAAAAACAAGTGTTGGCAAGGATACGCGGGAAGTGAGACCCTTGTGCATTGCTAATGAGAATGTAAAAAGTACAGCTGCTATGGAAAAACATGTGGCAGCTCCTCAAAAAATTAAACTTAGAATCACCTTATAATCCAGCAATTGTGCTTCTGTATATACATATATATATATATATATATCCACCCAAGAGAACTGAAACCCAGATCTCAAGCAGGTATTTATACACTCATGTTCATAGCAGCATTACTGATAGTAAGTAAAGGTAAAACAGAAGCAACCCAAGCGGCCATCAACAGAAGAACGGATGAACAGAATGTGGTACATAGCAGCGTGGTGGAAAATTTGTAGCCATTCAATAGCTCTTCATAGTCCCCTCCCACTCCCCGGCAGCCACCATTCTGGGTTCAGTTTCTATGAAAACATCTACCCTATGGCCTCCTATGAGTGCGATCACATGCTGTTTGTCTTTTTGTGAGGCAGGCTTAGTTCACTTAGCATAAGGTCCTTAAGATTCATCCATGCGGTAGCCTGAGCACTCATTTCCTTTCTCTTCAAGGCTGAATAATATTCCACCACATCCCAATATTCCCCATTCTGTCCCAAGCACAGCACATGGGAAATCAACATAAAGCAGGTCTAGGCAGCACGGGGAACCCACAGTGTGACACCACTACAGGGGGCCTGTGAGGTGGCCGGAGGGACAGTGAGTGGTTTGGCCCCGTGACAGGAACTGTGAAGCACAGGCTGAGAGCCCACAGAGGAGACAATGTCCAGAAGAGCCAATGCCAAAATCACCACCAACAATGAGCTTTGAAATGTGTCCCAGGACACTTTCATTTTATGCATTTGTTTGTTTGCTTCCAGTATGTGAAAGATACTTGATGAATCATTTCATCTACAACTGAATTGCAGAAGGAGAAAGCTCAATGCTGTGCCGCAGCAAATCACAGGGAGGGGGGGTTTAGGATCAAACCCAACACAGCAACTTGTGCATGGGAGGCCTCCAGTTTCCACGTCTGTGGAATGGGTTTATAATAGAAGCTACTAGGTCACTCTGGTGGCACAGGGGTTAAAGCCTCAGCACTATCAAGCAATCACCAGCCACTGCAGCACAAGTTCGATCCCCGGCCAGAGAGCTCCCCTCATGGTGCAGCAGACCTCTCCTATCTCCCTGCTGCTCCCCTCAGCAGTGTATTTCAGTAGATGTGCCTGTTCTGCTCCCAACTCTGTCTCTGGTAAATCCTCTCATCCCTCACCCCCCCAACCTCTGTTCTTATATGCATAAATAAATAAAATAAATATATTTTTTAAAGATTTATTTATTTATACAAGCACTGGGTACAGTCAGAAGCGCGGGAGGGTGAGAGACTTCACCAGAGCCAGAGCAGGCAGCAGAACAGGCAGAATGACCGAAGTACACTGCTGAGGGGAGCAGCAGGTGGCAGGAGAGGTCTGTGCACCGTGTGGGACCATTGCCTGGTGGCCGGGGATCGAACCGGCGTTGCAGAGGCTGTGGGCAGCTTCGCAACCCAGCGCTCAACTGCTGTGCCACTAGGGAGGCCCTAAAATAAATACTTTTTAAAAAATCATAGAAGCTACCTCTAGGGCTGATGCGAAGTTTAAAGAAGATAGATGTGAGATTCTTTATCATTGTGCCTGACTTCTAGAAAATGTCGCTATCACTATGACTAAAGTCTCTGCTTCTAGAATGTCTTTAGGTTACTCACGAAGTTGACAACCCTTGTACAGATGGTCAAGGCAAATTTCCTTTGTGCCACGATCGTCCATCCTGGAAGATGCGGCACTTCTAACGTCATCTATAGAATCTGTAAAACAAAGAGGAGGCACAGATGCCAATCTCATGTTTCCATCAAAAACCAAGATACCCAGTGACTCTGGGAAAGAATATGAGAATCTGGAGTCATAGTCAAGAAAATCCCAGTGACTCACGGTGGGCGTGAGAATCACGTAACAGGTGTGTCGATTTCTTAAACTGGAGCTGAAACTTCCCTTTCTCAACAAACAGAGCCACTTAACTCATTCGCTTCTACTGGTTGGTCTTTCACTTGCCGTTCCCGCCCCTTCCCCCAAACCCTCTACTTCTAAGCCCTTAACTGGCAAGAAACGTCCAAAGGGGAACCACAGCCGCATCTACTCGGCTGCAGACACAAAACACAGGCCCCCTTCGTTCTTCTGTGACTCATGCAGAGCACAGCCCGGGGTAACCCCCCGCTTCTATGCTCTCTGGCAGAGTTAACGAGACTTGGGCATGGTTCTGAGCCTGGTCCCCTACACTGTACCTCTGTAGCTCAAAGGTGGTGCTGTGGGCTGAACCGGGGTTCCCAGGTTCTGGCTGCCAAAGTGTACCGCATCTTTATCCACTCTGGTTGCTGAGAATAAGCCAAAAGCATCGGATTTATCTCCGCAAGAAGCTTCCTCCGTAACTTTCCTAGAGCCGTTGTGGACAGACCTACTAACGCCAAGTGTCTCCGCGCCAGGTTGCCTGTTCACGAACGCCACTGCTGGTGGGTCGGTGTCATCTGGGATTCTGCCAGTGATCTCAGTACTCTGAGTCCAGGCTTTTATTGTCTTGTTAATGATTTTGTCTCGGTAATTTAAAGATCCTGTGGAAATTCTCTTTGTGGCCATTTCCTCCTGGGCATCATTGAACAGAGAGAAGTTCTGGCTCTCTGGATTCCCTCTTGTGCCCTCATGCTCCCGGGACATGCTCTTCTGGATGGGTCCGGCTGCAGGTGTTTGTGGAGAACCAGAAGCGCTGAAGGCTGCCTGGCTTGGAGGAAATGAAGCCTCTCTCCCTGTGCCTTGGCCATTCGGCCAGGAGGGGAGGCACTTCCAGTTGGAAGCCGGGGTTGGGCTAGACAACTCTTGATAAGCGTTTTTTGCATTTCCAGAAAAGACATTCTCTGATTTGCCATTCTCTGACAATCTCTGACTTTCTTCCGCTTGACTTTTTCTTACAGGACTGGCTGGCTCTGACGAAATGGAGGCCGAATCATTGCTCTTCAGATGCACAAACTGGTGGGCGAGGTCCTCCACGGACACATCATCCAGGGGAGAGCTGCGGTCACTCTGTTCTGGACTGGATGCCCTGGACCTCTGAGCAGAAGTTGAGGTCGATGGAAAGAATTCTTGACTTCTGTGAAATGGCGGGTTTCGGCTCCTGTTTCTGCCTCGAGACGCCACACCTCTGGGGTGTGAGGGAGGAGCTAGGACAAGAAAAACAATGACAGAGTTAACATGCCTGCATGCTCACCCTGCTCCTCTTCAGTTTCTCCAGGTTTGTATCCAAATTCTATCAAATTCTTTGTCTGTAAAAGGTGTGCAAAAATCTCAGGAAAGGGATTAATGGCAATAAAGGAATCCTGCTCTCCTGCTGGGCCAACAGAAAAGCCATCCACAGCCTAAGCTGGGGTGTCAGACCTGGCTCTTCCTGGCTTCTCTACTGCGAATCAGATGTATCCCCAAGCTCTGAGGTTGGGCTGTCCACTTACCCCCAGTTCGGATCAACATTGGCCAGTATGGTGAAGGGAGAGTACAAACCAGGGAGAATTTCCAAAAAATCATTCTGATTTTGTCAATTTTAAGATATAGGCATGCCCAGTGATTAAGGATGCATACTACTCGAACCGAAAATGGGGCCTCCCAGGTGGTGCAAGAGGTTGAGCACAGTACTGTGAAGCTGTCTGTAGCCACTACAACACGAGTTCAATCCCCAGCTGGCCAGGGAGCTAACCCACATGGCACAGCAGACCTTTCCTATCTTACCAGCTGCTCCCCTCAGCAGTGTATTCAATAAATCTGCCTGTTCTGTTCCCCGCTTTGTCTCTGGTGAATCCTCTCACCTCCCACACCTCTGGTCTGTACCCCAGTTCTTGTATGCACAAATAAATAAATCTTTTTTAAAAAAAAAGTGGAGGCCTCCCCTGGTGGTGCAGTGGTTGAGCGCTGGGCTGCGCAGCTGCCTGTAGCCTCTGCAGCATCAATTCAATCCCCAGTCCCTGACGAGGGTCCCACATGGTGCACAGACCCCTCCTGCCACGCCCTCAGCAGTGTATTTCGTCAGTCTGCCTGTTCTGTTCCCCGCTCTGGCTCTGGTGAATTCTCTCACCCTCCTGCACTTCTGACTGTACCCAGTGCTTGTACAAATAAATAAATAAATCTTTAAAAAAAAAATTTTTTTAAATTTTTAAAAAAGTGAATCTCCGGGCCTCCCCGGTGGCACAGTGGTTGAGCGCTGGGTTGCGAAGCTGCCCGTAGCCTCTGCAGCGCCGGTTCGATCCCTGGCTGCTCCCCGGCCACCGGAGGAGGGTCCCACATGGCGCACAGACCTCTCCTGCCGCCCCGCCCGCTGCTCCCCTCAGCAGTGTACTTCGGTCCTTCTGCCTGCTCTGCTCCCCACTCTGGCTCTGGTGAATTCTCTCACCCTCCCACGCTTCTGACTGTACCCAGTGCATGTATAAATAAAATAAATAAATCTTTAAAAAAAAAAGTGAATCTCCAGTCTAAAGATGTGACTTCCTTCACTCTAGAAATTTTCCCAGAATTCTTCATCTACCCCAAATGCCCAAGGTTAAGTGAATAATATCAGAAAGAATTAGTCTCTCTCTAAAAATTTGATGAGTCAAATCTGCTGGGAAGCAGAGAGCAGGCAGTGAGTGAGTGTGTGTTTGTGAGTGTGCGTGGAGTGAGTATATGTGATGTTTACATGTAGTGTGTGCTGTGCTGGATGTCTGCGCTTGCACAAGATGTGCGTTAACAGGTGCATGTGTGGTGTGTGTGCAAGGTGCATAAATACATAATGTGTATTTGTTGTGTGAGGTGTGGTACAGGCGGTGTGCATCAGTGTGAGGTATGAAGGAGTGTTGGTGTGAACTCAAGCATGGGTGACACATGTTGATTCCTGGATGTGTGTGATACCATGTGACATGTGATGTTTGTGCATGAGTGGCACTGCACGTGGCATGTGTTTGTGTTTGCCATTTAAGGGTGTGTGAGTTGTGCTATCGTGTGTGGAGGCAGAGGTCTCTTCTCTTTCAAATCTAGGAAACAGCAGGAATACAGTAAAATATTTCTCCTCCTGTTAACAAAATAGTTAACTAAGTAGGTTAACTAGAAGTGATGATAAAGATTTTTCTCACATACAATAAATTCATATTGGGAAACTATATCAAAAACCATCCCTCCAGATGTTTCCCTGTTCAGAGAGCATTGTGGGTGAAGAAAAAAAAATTAGCTATGGAATCGGAATGCATGAAGGCTTGAAAACATGACTCTTATTTAATCATGGTATTTTCCCCCAATGTTCTAAAAATAGTTTCAGGCTGCTCGCGATAAAATGTCACTTAAAATTTCCTAGCCTCAGTTCCTCTTTCATTAAGTAAGGCTAATAATATAGCCTCCTTTCTTCATGGTTTTGCTGTAAAGAACAAAGATGGGAATTTTTTAGGTGAAAAATCCCTTGAAAACCACAAAGCATTTCCTCAAACACGAGGAGGCATAGTTATATATTAACTCTTACAGAATCTCATTTATGTATTTACTTTATAAAACTCATCTCTTCTAAATCTACTTCATAAAGACATTAAAAGCTGCAAGTATTAATACAATACCATTAAACAATGTGAAAAAGCTAAAGGAATAGAACAGATCACCTCTCACCCATTATGATGACTATTATCTACCAAAAAAAAAAAAGCCCAAAACCAGAAAATAATCTTGTGGTGAGGAGGTAGAGAAGCTGGAACCTCTGTGCACTGCCAGTGCAAATATGAAATTGTGCAGCTACTATGGATAATAGCACGGCAGTTTCTCAAAAAATTAAATATAGGAGCTTCCCTGATGGCGTAGGGGTTAAGTCTCAGCACTATCACACTATCACCTCTGTGACCTGAGTTCAATTCCTGGCCAGGGAGCTGACCCACATGTCTCAGCAGACCTCTCCTGTCTCACCCTCTGCTCCCCTCAGTAGTATATTTCAGTCAGGCCACCTATTCTGCTCCCCACTATGTCTCTGGTGAATCCTCTCACCCCCTGCACCTCTGGTCTACACCCCACCCCAGTTCTTCTATGCATAAATAAATAAATAAATCTTTTTTTTTTTTTTTAAAAATTAAACATAGAATGACATGATGCAGCCATTCCACTTTGGGGTCCATACCCAAAAGAATTGCAAGCTGGACTTAATGTCATTGAACTGCATACTTGAGCATAATGAACATGGTCAGAGATATTTGTACACCCATATTCATAGCAGCATTCTTTACAGTAGCCAAAAAGAAGTTGTATCACAAGTGTTCATCAACAGATGAGCAAAATGTGGCCAATACATAAAACAGAGTATTATTTAGCTTAAAAAGTAAAGAGATTCTAACAAAAGCTACAACCTGGATGGACTGTGAGGCCATTATGTTCTGTGAAATTAGCCCATCACAAAGAGATAAAGATGTATGATCCTGCCTAAAAGCCACCTAGATCTGTCAAGTTCACAGAAGCAGAAAATAGAAGGGGGATTACCAGGGAGGGAGCCATGGGGAGTTGATGCACTAGGTGAAGGTTTTTCAGTTTTGCTAGATGAAAAGAGATGTTGGTTGCAAAAAAAAATGTGAGCACATTCAGTGCTATTGAACATTTAAAAAGGGTTAAGATGATACATTTTATGTTATATGTATTTATCACAATTAAACACATTTATACATATATGTGAAAGAATATATACATATTCTTTTTTTCAATATATATAGAAAAGAAAAGTGAGTGGCAGCTAGGAAGGGCTTAGAGGAAGAGCAACTGGGGAGTCAGCATTTCATGGGGACAGAGTTTCAGTTGGGGAAGATGAGAAAGTTCTGGAAGAGGGATGGTGGTGATGGTTGTACAACAATGCCAATGTACTTAATGTCCCTGAACTACACTTGACAATAGTGAAAATAGTCAATTTAAAAATAAAAATAAAGGGGCCTCCCCGGTGGCGCAGCGGTTGAGCGCTGGGTTGCGAGGCTGCCCGCGGCCTCTGCGGCGCCGGTTCGATCCCCGGCTGCTCCCCAGCCACCGGAGGAGGGTCCCACATGGTGCGCAGACCTCTCCTGCCGCCCGCTGCTCCCCTCAGCAGTGTACTTCGGTCCTTCTGCCTGCTCTGCTCCCCGCTCTGGCTCTGGTGAATTCTCTCACCCTCCCGCGCTTCTGACTGTACCCAGTGCTTGTATAAACAAAACAAGCAGACAAATAAATAAATGGAACATGCCTCTATTAAAAAAAAAATAAATAAAAAAATAAAAATAAAAATAAAAACTCTTAAAGGGGGCCTCCCTGGTGGCCCTGGGGTTAAAGACACAATGCTATCAAGCTATTGCCAGCCACAGCAGCATGAGTTCGATACCTGGCCAGGGAGTTAACCCACATGGTGCAGCAGACCTCTCCTGTCTCGCCCACTGCTCTCCTCAGCAGTGTATTTCAGTCTGCCTGTTCTGCTCAATACTCTGCCTCTGGTGACTCCTCTCACCCCCTGCACCTCTGGCCTACATCCCAGTTCTTGCATGCATAAATAAATAAATTAAATTAAATTAAAATAAATCTTTAAAAAAGTCTTAAAGAAGCAAGACTAAAGACTACAAATCAAATTTAGCATTGGTGCTGAATTTCCTGTTTCAGCTGCATTGTGCTGATGTAAGAGAACGGCCTGTTCTGAGAACACAAGTGTGAAGTCTGATGACGTGGAAAGCTGTAACCACAAAAACATTACGTGTGTGTGGTCACAAGAGAATTGTGACTAAATGTTAAGGTCTTGTGTTTTCCTCTTAAAAAAGTTTTATCAGTTTTTAGAAAAATGGTAAACTTTTTTTTTAATCTGGGGGGGGTGGGATAGTGCTTAGCCTGAAAATCAGACTGTATTAATCACATATATACTATGATGATAATTATGGAAAAACTGCATTTGCAAATGACCATGTCCCTTTTTTTTTTTTTTTTAAGATTTATTTATTTATTTATACAAGCACTGGGTACAGTCAGAAGCGCAGGAGGGTGAGAGAATTCACCAGCACCAGAGCGGGGAGCAGAACAGGCAGAGTGATGACGTACATTGCTGAGGGGAGCAGCGGGTGCAGCAGGAGAGGTCTGCACACACCATGTGGGACCCTTGCCGGTGGCTGGGGACCAAACCGGCGCTGCAGAGGCTGCGGGCAGCTTCGCAGGCCAGCACTCAACCGCTGCGCCACTGGGGTGGCCCATGCAAATGACTATGTTCTAAAAGGGAAAATAACGGGAGTTTTATGTAGTATGGTAGAGCCCTTTAGGTAAAAACTTTTCCTTTTTTCCCATTTCTGCTTGGCCTATCAATTTCAAAAGTAGAAAGATTTACCTCTCCAGCCCGAGGGCTTCCTGCGGAGGTGCTTGCTGTTGCAAATGTCCTGGATGTTCTGGACCACTTCCGGATTCAGGCCATGTTCCCGCATGATGTCCAGCACCCTTCTGTCCATCAGGTTATGGGACCTGAGGCAGTTGGGGAAACCACAGTTGCCTCGAGTGAAGTGTTCACAGATGTGGAGCCTTTCACAGGGTGGCTGCTGGGCACAGATCTGTCTTCGGCCTTCTCCTTTATAACTTTTGCATATCTACAGGATGGAGAAGCAATAGCCACATGCAAAACACCTTCCTGGAACTGCCACACAGTCATTAAAGCAATATGAAGGATACAAAAATTTGGAAGCAGAGATACACCAAAGGGGGGGAAATGCACACGGATGCCACAATCTCTGGTGAGTTGAGCAGTTCCCCGCTATTGCAAAGTAGCTCGCACCTGCTTGGTATGATTTTATAGGTGATTTTGGGGTTCTGGGAATGCTCAATATTTTTTTCTATATATATTAGTGTTAAAAGCATTCCCAGATGCCAAAAATAACCCACCAAATAGAAACAGTCTACTTTCTTGATAGCAGGCGGAACCTGTATCGAACTGATGATTTATTTGGAGGCAAAAGAGGGCTGAAGACTAACTAAAAGAAACTGATAAATTTCATCACCCTTCAGAAGAATCAAAATAAGATGGTTAGCTACCAATGACAAGACCCAAAGTGAACCCCATATTATAAAAGTCCAGGGCCTCCCTGGTGGCTCAGGAGTTAAAGTCTCAGTGCTATCAAACTATCGCCAACCATTACAACGTGAGTTCAATCCCCAGCCAGGGAGCTGACCCATATGGAGCAGCAGACCCCTCCTGTCTCACCGATGGTCCCCTCAGCAGTGTATTTCAGTAGATCTGCCTCATCTGCTCCTCACTCTGTCTCTATTGAATCACCCCCATCTCCGTACCTCTGGCCTAACCCCCAGCTCTTGTATGCATAAATAAATCTTAAAAATAAAATAAAATAAGTCCAAAGTGGGAAGCTTTATTTTATTTTTAAATAAAATAAAAATAAAGAGACTTAAAGAAGCAGGACCGAAGACTATAAATCAAATTTAGCATTAGTGCTGAATTTCCTGTTTCAGCTCGATTGTGGTGATGTAAGAGAACGGCCTGTTCTGAGGCTACAGGTGTGAAGTCTGATGACGTCTGTATACACTGAAGGCTGTAACCACAAAAACATTATATGCGTGTGGCCTATACATACATACACCTCAAGATGGGCCCATGGGATATAGTTTGATGACCCCTAGTCTAGACAATAAAGTGATAGAAAAATAAAATTATATGCTACATGAGCCACTACATTTTGGGGTATCTTTGTTACAATAACTTAACCTAGACCTGTAACCAATAAACCCTCTCGTCTTCCAAAATCTTGATTCAAAGCCCACCTCCTCCAGGGATCCACCCTGATATGAAGCATCCATTAGGCCTGCTGCTGTGTATTCAGATCACACTTGCTCACACAGGGTTCCCTACAGCCTAAAGGAGGGGAACTCCAGATTCAAATTCTTATAAAATCTCAAATAGGAAGGAAATTACTAGGATCTCTTAGGTCACTTAGCAACAGCCTTGACTGCCATCTGAAGAACCTGGCCCTGACTTTTGAGTTTTTCCTACTCCCACGCCAACACTTCCATAACACAACACTGCCTATTATATTCCCCCTGCTTTTTAAACTAAGGCATCATGACTTACCTCAGGCATAAAGAAAGGGTCACTTTGGACGAGAAGCACTGCTAATTCCTCTTTGTTAAGTCCAACGAGCTCATGATCTTTCAGGATTTTTAAGTTCTTTTCTGAGAGAATGTCATGAGAATATTTGCATAAATTTCTGAAAGAAAATATAAGTATCATCAGTGTTGCCATTTCACAGAAGAAAAAGACATCAGGGAAATAAGCCAACGAATATCAGTGCCCGTTTCCTTTGGTAACTAATACAGGTTGGTCCTGCTTAAAGAACACTTTAAAAAGATCAACCGATGAAACAGCTAGAAACAGGGGGAAGAGAAATCTGTATTTTTTTCCACAAATTACACACAGGTTGCAACTTTTCTCTGCAGGGACAGGCATAAGGGTGCCAGTAAGCAGGGGAGTAGCGGGGAGACAGGATGTGTGTGGGGTGGGCCTCCCTGGTGGCACAGGGGTTAAGTCTCGGCACTGTGAAGTGATCCACAGCCTCTGCAGCACAAGTCAGATCCCCGGCCAGGGAGCTACCCACATGGCGCAGCAGACCTCTCCTGCCTTACCTGCTACTCTGCTCAGCAGTGTATTTCAGTCAACCCACCTGTTCTGCTCCCCACTCTGTCTCTGGTGAATCCTCTCACCACCCTCTACCCCGCACCTCTGGCCTGTACCCCAGTTCTTGTATGCACAAATAAATAAATCTTTAAAAAAATGTAATTATTGTCATTATTATTTTTCATTTATTTGTCACTAGTAAACAGAAGTGCAAATGACTGCAAAATCATCTTAATGAAATTGATCTTTTAATGTAAATATCTAGGTAAAAGTTATTCTCTAAAAAATTGATCTTTAAGTCACTTCTTCAAATGTCAATACCCGTAAGTCATTTCTGAAACCCTCTGGAGTTGACTTAGATCTAGCTGTGGAACCTCATAATTAAGAAAAATCACAGAATCAACAATCTAGTCAGTTACCACGCAAGCCCTTGAAGTCCAAACAGCCCTCCCAAGCCCCTAGCTTCATGGCAAAGTCAAGGGCAGCTGGTGACCATCTCTGTCCCAGCCATTTTCCTAGGTGGGTCTTCTTGCTTTCTCCACTCAGTGTCCCTGGCTTCTAAGGTGTTTCTGGAACTCCCTGATAAAACTGACTTCAGTTTTCTGCTTGTTTGGGGGTTCAATATGTGGTTTCAGATAACAACTCCCTAGGGGAGCTCTTGGCAGCTGGGATAGGACTCCACCGTATCACTCCCCAACCTCCATGGAAGGGATGCACTGAAGAGATTAGAGTGGGGCGGACCCAGCTGTGGTAAGGGCCCAGCCTCCGACGCCATGCAGAAATCCCCTCCCTTACAGCATCACCAGACAGGTGTGAGCCTATTTTCCCCCATGATCTGAGCGACCATTGCCAGGAATGTGCTCTTATTATGGGGTTGAAACCAACCTCATGAAACACCCAAACAAGGAGGTATTGACAACAGATAGTCGGAAGGAATGAAGAACTTTGCTTCTGTTTGCTCCAGTCCAGATATCCTAAACTTAGAGCTAAGACTGTGACTCCTCCCCTGAGAGTAAGTGAGGCTCAGATGTGAGGACAAAGACCCTTTCCAAGTCACAGAGAGATGCACAATTGTCATGTCTGGTCCTAACCCGGTCCTACCCCAGGAGGAGTGTGGCATCTCCAAGGTCCCAGAGCTCGCATTTCCTCTAAATCACCAAAGGCTGACCAGCCTACAGTGGGCTCCTCTGCCTGGACAACCCTGTGTCCAGGTCTTTCGAAGCCCATGTCACACCTGGAAAACAAATCCACCTAGTGGGCCTCCCTGGTGGCTTAGGGGTTAAGTCTCAGCACTATCACCACTGCAGCCTGAGTTCGATCCCCAGCCAGGGAGCTGACCCACATGGCACAGCAGACCTCTCCTGTCTCCCCTCTGCTCCCCTCAGCAGTGTATTTCAGTGGATCTGCCCGTTCTGTGCCCGCACTCTGTGTCTGGTGAATCCTCTCACCCCCACCCCACTTCTAACCTACACCCCAGCTCTTGGATGCATAAATAAATAAAATAAATCTTTAAAAAACAAACAAATCTACCTAGAACACTGACTGGCTATGTCTTCCATGCAGCCCACCCAATGAGCCCAGCTTCAATTTTTACAGCTCCACATGGAATTAGGAGGTGTCTTGTTCCTTGCCCCCACTTACTTCAGCCCCTGAGCTGCTGGGAACTAGGGGTGGAGCTGAGCAGCCAGGGGAAGCTCTATGACATGGGAGGCAGGACAGCTGAAATAGGCCTTCTGTTCCTGCAGCCCAACTTGCACCCTGGTCCTGCTGAAGGACTTGGAAGGAGACATGTGGAGGAGAGACATGTAGAGACACTGATTTTTTTAAGACTTCTTAAAATTTATTTATGCATACAAGAGGTGCAGGCGGGTGGAAGGGTGGTGAAAGGACTCACTAGAGACAGAATGGGGAGCAGAGCAGGCGGATCGACTGAAATACACTGCTGAGGGGAGCAACGGGCGAGACAGGAGAGGTCTGCTGCACCATGTGGGTCAACTCCCTCGCTGGGGATCGAACTCAGGCCTCAGCAGATGGCGATAGCTTGATAGTGCTGAGACTTAACGCCTGCTCCCCCAGTGAGGCCCATGTAGAGACACTTGGAAGAGACACATGGGTGAGAGGCCTGTGGAGAGGCTGACTGGCAGCCATTATCTTGATTTGTACTTTGATTTTGCTCCTTTTGTTTTGGACTTGCTGTTCCCATTCACCCCCTTTCTATGGTTCCCCACTAGTAGGTACTTTAGTGCAAACTTTTGGGCTTCAGTGGCCCTGCTTTGAGCAGACCCTGTTTGACTAGGCATTTGTCCCTAAGGGGGTGTTTTATTGGAAAATTATTAGTAGTAATACCCTCTGTCCTCTTCCCTCTCTGTGCACACTAATTCTACTTAAGATCTATCTACTAAGAGTCTGCTACTTTTGTCTTTATGCACTGGATGGCAGGAATCCACTTTGGAGCACACACTCCATTTTGGGGGTCCGTGGGCACCCCTCAGTAGCATACTAGTAACTTCTCATTTCTCATCTCCATCCTCAGCAAACTGCTCCTTTCTCTAGATTCAACAACACTCCCCTTAAACCTCACTTCACTCTGCAACATATGTCTAGCCTGGGTTTCTAACCTCAGCCCCTGGCCTGTAAGGCCTGCTCAGTTTTCCCATATTCTCTAGACTCCTCCCAACTTCTTTTTAAATTTTTTTTTTTTTAAGATTTATTCATTTTTGCATACAAGGGCTGGGGTGTAGGCCAGAGGTAGGGGGGGAGGGGGGGAGGTCAGAGGATTCACCAGAGACAGAGTGGGAAGCAGAACAGGCAGATCTACTGAAATACATTGCCGAGGGGAGCAGTGGACAAGACAGGAACGGTCTGCTGTGTCCTGTGGGTCAGCTGCAAACTCATGCTGCAGTGGCTGCCAGTAGCTTCATAGTGTTGAGACTTAACACCTTGCACCACCAGGGAGGTCCGCCCCAACTTCTTAAAGGCTTTATCTTTGACTAATTCTAGCATTTTGATCTGTCACAAGGGTGGGCTCGCTTGTGTTCCTCACCTCTAAGGAGTAGTTAAGATCAGAAGTATAGCAACTAGCATTTATTGTGTGTCTGCTAAGTGACAGGAACTTTGCTTCTGATTTCATCATCACAATAATCCTAGGAGGTAATGGTTTATTTTTACCTTGGGAAACTGAACTGGATAAAACGAGACATTAGAGGTGACTTAAATAAGAGAAAGCCTTGAGAAAATGAACCTGGATCTCCAGAAACAAAACCCCTAATCTGAAACACACACACACACATACACACACACATACATCAAAACAGATCTGAATGGTTTCCAAACCAGAAAGAAAAAAAATTGGCGTTAGGAATTAAAGCCAGTTCCTCAAGACTAAATGAACTTAGAGAGCAGGACACAAGGAGAATGCACATAAATTGTCAAAGTGACAGTAAAGACACAATAAAACCAGAAACAATTTCTTGCGATTGGCTCAGCAGCTTGGGTGGAGTTTCAGATTAAAATGCCGGAAGTTCCCTCCCACTTTCTTCTGCTCACTCAGCCCCAGCTCCGGGGCCCTAATATTGACTAGAAGACTTAAGACAGGAAATGTGAAAGTTTCCTGTGGCCTCTTTGGGCTGTCTGGAACCCCAAGCGGTTCTCACAGTGTGGTCTCCAAGCCAACCATCATCTGAGTTTGTCACAGAAATACAAATTCTTGGGCTCCATTCTAGACCTACCAGGTAAGTCTCAAACTTTCATCATCTAGACCTACCAGGTAAGTCTCAAACTTTCATCATCTAGAAGGTTTGTCAGAATACAGAGAGCTGGGGCCACTCCCAGAGTTTATCAGTAGGCCTGGGGTGGGGGCTGGGAAGTCACATTTCTAACTAGCTCCCAGGTGATTCCCAGGGCCTGATGAGTATACTTGGCCATACTGCAGGTTCAAGGCTGCCTCTTCCAACAAGGCACCATGCAGAAGCTGGTTGGCAGCCACAGAAACTCCCCACCTCTCAGCACAGCAAAGAGCTCACCCACAAACCATTTTGAACTCCTCAGGGAAAAACAAGTTTGCAGAATCCTGCCTGCCCTTGGAGAGATAAACTTCAATGTGAGGGAGGATTTGAGATAAGTTTGGGAGTAAGGGGGAGGGAGAAGATAGCCTTGAAAGAGGCAGACTTGTCTCTTTTTCAGGAATCTCAAGCCAAAAGCTCAAAAACAGATGACCTTTTCACTTTTCTCTCTCAGCTATAGAACAAAATGTTATTGTAACCCTGATAATAAATCCTCCCACATCACAGATGAATTCGGGCCTGCAGGGTGGTTCTTATCCCTGGACACACAGAACAACCAGCTGGGAGTGTTTAGAAATTCCTAAACCTGGGCCACGCCCAGGAGTCTGATTTAATTGGCAAGAGGTGGGACTCCACGTGATTCTAAGGTGCAGTGGCACTGAGAATCACAGGTCCAGGTCGGGCTTATCAGGTCAGATTTTAAGTCAGGTTCCTGAACTACATGCTCACCTCTGGCTTCTTGGACTCTGAGCTCCACACCAGAACAACAGGAAAAGACAACCTGTCTTTGACAGTAATTTGCCTTTTACCCCCTCAGCCTCTCTGCTCCCCAATACCTCCCCAATACACAGGTACAGGGTTGGATGATAAAGACAAAGAGAACTGATTTGTACAGAAAACAGGAAATAGCTCACCACAGTATAAGCCAGGTTAAAAACGAACCAGGACGTGTGAAAGATAAAATCTAGAAAAACTTGGCCTAGAGAATAAACTGTCATCCACCAAAAAGAAGCCTGAAAAGTATTATTTTAACACTACAAACTCCTGAGTTGGTACTTATAATGTTCAATATTAAATTGCCTCATTACTAGAAGTAGGGGTGTTTCACTGAATCTGAAGCCCTCATAAAATGGGAGAGAGCAGGTTGAGGAACAATATGGGGGAAGTAGAAGGGTGGAGCTAAAGGACTAAATGGGTCACTTCAACGCAGCTGTATTACCCAGCAACGGTATTATCCAGAACACACCAGGCACAAAGACCAGCTACCTGTGGCAAGAGGTGAACCCAAGTCTGCAGGTCTTGGCCTGGGGAGAAGAGATGTGAGGAAGGCAGCAGGACTGGGTAACAGAGGGCAACAAGAGGGGGCAGGTCCGCTGAGGGCGGAAGGTGGTAAGCTGAGGATCTGTGCATGGTCTATAGTTGCAGCAAGAGTGAGGCACGCAAAAATTCTATTATAGAAGGTAATCTCAGGCCTCCCTGGTGGTGCAGGGGGTTGAGTGCAGCGCTGTGAAGCTGTCCGCAGCCTCTGCAGTGCATGTTCCATCCCAGCCAGCCAGGGAGATTCCCACATGGCACAGCAGACCTCTCCTGTCACACCTACTGCTCCCCTCAGTATTGTGTTTCGGTCAGTGTGCCTGTTCTGCTCCCCACTTTGTCTCTGGTGAATCCTCTCACCCTCCTGCACCTCAGGCCTGCACCCCAGTTGTTGTATGCATGAATAAATAAATCTTTAAAAAAAAAAAAAAGGCAATCTCCCCAGTCTTGATTTATTTCTCCAGCCCCTAGAGTGAGGGATTCCCCAACTTTGCTGACAATTAGGACCACCTTCATACTTTAAACAAGAGACTTTCTGCAGTGGGGGAGGAGGGAGTTGGGTCAAAACAGGGGTGGGAAGAGCACAAGGGACTATGGTGATGGTACATGGGTGAATTGACAGTGGGAATTCCACAGGGACTATACCCGAGATGATAAAGTATATACTGCATAAAAATGAAGAATGATGTAAAAAATATATAAAACAGTAATTTTAAAAAGGGAAAAAAAAAAATGATTCCTCAAGTGATTCCAACACGCAGCAAGTTTGGGAACCATTGTCCTAACTGCACATCAGGTCTGAGCAAAAGCCCAGGAAGTGAAGAGAGTAGGGCAGGAGATGGTGGTGGTCTCCAAGTCTTGCTGGTTAGTAAAGCTACATAAGTTCCTCTCCCCCGAGATGTCCCTTCACCCCCTGCCATATTTCCCAACATAATTATCTTCTGGAAGAACATGAAAATAGATGAATTAACAGTGTTTGAGGATTCCTTTAGTGAGAAAGGGGCAGAAACCTCTAGAACAATCCACTATTTGACAATGAGCTTAATTAAATATTTGTTAATAGGGTAGCTGCAATGACCAAGCTTTCCGTATGCCTTATGGTTTTATCATATAAAAGTAACAGAGCAACACTTTTGTCATCTTTTGCTTATGCTGCACTAATAATCCATTCCTTTTGTATCTCACCCTGCCAGGAAGTGAGAAAATGTGGTTCCCGACCCCTACAAAGGAACCCTTGGTTAGAAAGCAGAGTCCCCGGCCCTGACCGAGAATTTCTGGTGTGACTTAGCATTTTATTTTATTTTTCTAAAGATTTATTTATTTATGCATACAAGCAATGGGGTACAGACCAGAGGTGCGGGAGGGTGAGAGGATTCACCAGAGACAGAATGGGGAGCAGAACAGGCAGACTGACTGAAATACAATGCTGAGGGGAGCAGGGGGCGAGACAGAGAGGTCTGCTGCACCATGTGGGTAGTTCCCTGGCCGGCCAGGATCAAACTCGTGCTGTAGAGGCTGTGGATTGCTTCACAGTGCTGTGCTTAACCCCTTGTGCCACCAGGGAGGCCCGACTTAGCATTTTAATAATCTCCTCCCCTCAGTAATTTAGGGGCAGTACTGTCCCATAGCTGGGCACCTTAACTCTGGGGATCCCCAAGATTGAACCACCAGGACACGGGGGAGTATTACAACCCTTTATATCTTTTTTTTATCGAAAAAAATGATTGCCTGAACTGAAAGGGATGGAGAAGTTGGGGATGAACTGGTTAACACAGAAGAGGCACAGGAGATCCTTTAGGACTGAGGAAAATGTTCTTATCTCCACAGTGATGCATATGGGTGTACCCATATGCATGTCAAAAATCTTCAAACTTTTACTTTAAATGGGTGCATTTTATTATTTAGGATTTTTAAGGTGAAAAATTAGTAAATATTTAACATACAGATTAAGATTCTATGTTACATGACTTTTTAAAAACTAAGCAGATAACAGAGTTCACAACATTCTGCACTGTCAAGGGTGAGGAAGCAAAAGGCTTGGAAACTACCGCCCCAGGGATCGCTCTGAACCCGATGTTCTGAGGTGGCCTGAAGCGTATTATGTCTTCTGGGTGAGCAAGTATTACAGGATTGTGAACCACTTTTCCCTACTCTACTCCCAGCCAGAGTCCAGCTCTCTTGCTTGTTTAATCTGATTTCTCGCTGAGTCTGAAATCCTGCATCTGTGTGATTTTTTGGCTCCTCTTCTATTTCCTCCCATCCACCCCCACACGACCATTCAACCCAGCAATTCCGGTCTTAGTGATCTGCCCTGGGGAGCTCTTGCCACACGCACCCAGAAGCTTGTATGTTCCTGGCAGCATGGTCTGTTGTAGGGAAAAAGTGGAAATAGGGGCCTCCCTGGTGGCGCAGGGATTAAAGACATAGCGCTATCAAGCTATTGGCAGCCACTGCAGCAGGTGTTCAATCCCAGCGGCCAGGGAGCTACCCACATGGTGCAGCAGACCTCTCCTGACTCGCCCGCTGCTCCCCTCAGCAGTGTATTTCAGTAAATCTGCCTGTTCTGTTCCCTACTCTCTCTGGTGAATCCTCTCACCCCACCCCACCCAACCCCTGCCACCCCGCACCTCTGGCTTACATCCCAGTTCTTGTATGCATAAATAAATAAACCTTTTATTTTTTTAAAAAGTGGAAATATCCCAAATGTCCATCATTGAGCAAACAGGTAACTAAAGGATGGTATAAATCCTATGATGAAATACTATGTGGCTGTTTACACGAATAACTAGATTCTTATGTATCAACACCAACAGATAAACAGAGTATTGAGTAAAAAATCTAAAACAATACACATCTGGCAAACAAATGTACAATTTGTTTAATTGTAAGGAAATTATAAAATAATGGAAAGTCAGGATACATACCCAAATCATGATTGAGGCTGCTTTGGGAGAGACAAGGGTATGAAACTAGGGAAGAAAAAAATAATATCCGTAGACCTGTTATGGTTTTTATTTATTTTGGGGAAAATGGGGAAGGAAGAGACAACATTCATTCTGGGAAGTGAGTTATATATACAAGTTTATTATTCTTTTTTTTTTTTTTTTTTAATTTTCTAGAGGCATGTCTTATTTATTTATTATTTGTTTGTTTGTTTTGGTTTATACAAGCACTGGGTACAGGTGAGTGAATTCACCAGAGCCAGAGTGGGGAGCAGAGCAGGCAGAAGGACCGAGGTACACTGCTGAGGGGAGCAGCGGGCGGCAGGAGAGGTCTGCGCGCCATGTGGGACCCTCCTCTCGTGGCCGGGGAGCAGCCGGGGATCGAACCGGCGCCGCAGAGGCCGTGGGTAGCTTCGCAACCCAGCGCCCAACCGCTGCGCCACCGGGGAGGCCCAAGTTTATTATTCTTTATGTTCTTTTAGCTTCAACTTTTCCAATTAGCACTCTGTGCTTGTTATATGTTCCTTTGTACTTTTCAGGGTTTTTTCAGTTTATGAACTAGTCAACTAATTCTCTTCCTATCTACCCACACCCACCCAAAGTCTCAATTAACCCCGGGGAAAGGCATACAAACAGGAAAGTGCCTGGAGGAAACACCCACATTTGGCAGAAACCACAAAGCCAGTTGAAGACATTCAGACAACCTACTTTGAACAGTTGAACAGAAATCATACTTTCAAGGACTTGAATTATGGAAAAATTATATTTATATAGGTACTCGACAACACAAATAGCTAAGAATCACACAGATCTGGATCAACACCAACTCTGTCAGCTCTATGTTGTGTGAACTTCGAGAAATTTCTAAACAGCTCTAGCCATGATTTCCCTATGTGAAGTGGGATTTAAATAATTGGGATAATACCTATACCTCAGGAGCTAAGGTTAAAAACTAACGTGGCGGGCCTCCCCAGTGGCGCAGCGGTTGAGCTCTGGGTTGCGAAGCTGCCCGCAGCCTCTGCAGCGCCGGTTCGATCCCCGGCTGCTCCCCGGCCTCCGGAGGAGGGTCCCACATGGCGCGCAGACCTCTCCTGCCGCCCGCTGCTCCCCTCAGCAGTGTACTTCGGTCCTTCTGCCTGCTCTGCTCCCCGCTCTGGCTCTGGTGAATTCTCTCACCCTCCCGCGCTTCTGACTGTACCCAGTGCATGTATAAACCAAACAAACAAACAAACAAATAAATAAATAAAAACATGCCTCTATAAAAAAAAAAGGGCAGAAGAGCTAAAAAAAAAAACAAACTAACGTGGCTACCATCTCTAAAGTTGCTGTCATTATACTTGGTTAAGATTTATTTGGTCAGTAAAGAGTAGTTTAGTGGGCACTAAAATATTCTCCCAAGGGTTCTTATTATGAGGGCCACAATGTACATTGGTGGGTTAAAATTTTGTAATTCCCTGGGCCTCCCCGGTGGCGCAGTGGTTGAGCGCTGGGTTGCGAAGCTGCCCGCGGCCTCTGCAGCGCCGGTTTGATCCCCGGCTGCTCCCCGGCCACCAGAGGAGGGTCCCACATGGCGCGCAGACCTCTCCTGCCGCCCGCTGCTCCCCTCAGCAGTGTACTTCGGTCCTTCTGCCTGCTCTGCTCCCCGCTCTGGCTCTAGTGAACTCTCTCACCCTCCCGCACTTCTGACTGTACCCAGTGCATGTATAAACAAAACAAACAAACAAACAAATAAATAAAACATGCCTCTATTAAAAAAAAAAAAAAAAAAAAAAAAATTTTGTAATTCCCAAAAATGATGTCAAAGGAAATATAAAATATAACCAGACCAATTAATGTAAGAAATAAGAATGGGGCCTCCCCGGTGGCGCAGCGGTTGAGCGCTGGGTTGTGAAGCTGCCCACAGCCTCTGCAGCACCGGTTCGATCCCCGGCTGCTTCCCGGCCACCGGAGGAGGGTCCCGCATGGCGCGCAGACCTCTCCTGCCGCCCGCTGCTCCCCTCAGCAGTGCACTTCAGTCCTTCTGCCTGCTCTGCTCCCCGCTCTGGCTCTGGTGAATTCTCTCACCCTCCCGCGCTTCTGACTGTACCCAGTGCTTGTATAAATAAATAAATAATCTAAAAAAAAAAAAAATCTTCAAATCTTTAAAAAAAAAAAAAAGGAAAGAAAGAAGAATGAATCACTCCACTAAAAAAATAAATAAATAAATAAATAATTTTTTTTTTTTTGGATTCCCCAGAGAATCCATCAAACTTGTGTGGCTCAAATTATCCCAATTTTATACAGCGCCAACCACCCAATTTATGAGTTTAAAATTGTTTTGATGTTTCACACATCCGTCTGAAAAATTTCACAACAAAAATATGAAAGCGGGGCCTCCCCGGTGGCGCAGGAGTTGAGCGCTGGGTTGCGAAGCTGCCCGCAGCCTCTGCAGCGCTGGTTCGATCCCCGGCCACTGGGCGAGGGTCCCACATGGCGCACAGACCTCTCCAGCCGCCCGCTGCTCCCCTCAGCAGTGTACTTCGGTCCTTCTGCCTGCTCTGCTCCCCGCTCTGGCTCTGGTGAATCCTCTCACCCTCCCACGCTTCTGACTGTACCCAGTGCTTGTATAAATAAATAAAAATAAATCTTAAAAAAAAAAAAGTTAAAAAAATATGAAAGTGTTTCTACACTTATTGTGTGTAACAAACTGAAACAAAGTTTCTAAATATATTAGATATGTAACTAACAGAAAAGTTTATAAATTATATCTGTGTAGGTTTTTGCTGAAAGTGTAATTCAGACTGTAACGCAATCAGAAATTTTAACACCAAATGGATATTAGATAAGACTAAAACTGTGATGGATATATATATATATATTTACACACACATATATAGAATCATTGTACTATGATTTTGTTAATAAAATAGAGTCCTATCTTTTGGTATTACTAAAATATTTCCAAAGCAAATGATCTCTGGGATTTGGCTTCAAAGTAACACGGGTGGAGGTAGGGGCTGGAATGGGGACAGAAGAATAAATGAAAGATGGACCATATTTTGAAAATGATTCAAGTGGAATGATGGGTAGTTCTCTCTTCTGGTGAAAATATTAAAGGGAAAAAGTTAAAAGGGGCATATGTATTTTTCATTACTATTGAAGTAATGCTGGTTCATGATACTATACAGGTTTCAGATGCCAGCATTGTAATTTGATATCTGTCTATAGGATATTATCATCCCCACCAAAAGTCTAGTTTTCATTCTCCAGCACACAATTGATCACGAAGTCTAGGTATTTATTTAAAACTGGACCTTCCTGGTGGCCTAGAGACTAAGTCTCAGCACTATCACTTTACCAGAGGCTCCACTCAGCAGTGTGTTTCAGTAAATCCACCTGTTCTGCTCTCTGCTGACTCTGGTGAATCCTTTCACCCTGACACCTCTTATCTATACCCCAGTTCGTCTATACAAAAATAAATAAATAAATAAATTTTAAGTAAAAATAAAAATAAAAGCCAATACTAGTTGGTGGGGAATTTTTCATAACAGAAGAGGAAAAAGGAATAATAAAGCCTTCCTGCTGTTAGTCAGCATAGTGCTAGAATGTTCTTCTACTTTCCCTCTGCACCCCCTCCCTCCCTCCTTTCCTGATTTGATTGGTTGCTGTGACATAGACTGATTCCTTTTCTACACAATCTTCCTGCAACTCAGAAATACTTCCTAATTTTTGCCTCCCAACCCGTTCAATTAATTTTTTTTAATAATGGAGCATATGCAAACACTTTGCTTTTTTTTGTTTAGCTCTAAACATATTTTAAAAGAAATACTTCATCTACCTCATCCATTTGAAACATCTGCCTTTCATAGTTTTTATTACACATACATAGGCGGGTGAGGAATCTAAAGTTCTTGCAAATAAAGTGCGTGATGAAAAGTGTCTGGACCACCATTTTGGACCTTAGATCACCACTTAGAGTTTTTAGGGAGAGGTGATGTGTGAAAAGTACTATATCATGAAAAATACTGGTGCTGAAGCGCAGAGGAGCAGAAAAGACTTGAGATAATAGAGAAAAATCATTATTTCCACAAGGCATTCATTTAGAAGCGCGATGGGGAAAGAGGAACTCGACAGGGGGTGGGAGATTTCATTAAATGAAGGGGGAAGGGGGGATTGGGGATAGTGTCAGAGACCCTGCGCTGGGGGAACATGAATTTGACATGGATTGGCAGGATACTCAGAAAGAGGTGTTTCTCAGGCAGAAGAGCCTGGACTCAGTAGGAAGACCTGGGCAGAAAACACAGAGGCTGGGGAGCCATCTTTGTAGATGTGACAACTGACCCCCACAAGAGAGCTCCGCGACCTAAAGAGAGCGCGGTCTTAAGGCAGATTTGCAAGTCCCTGGCTCCAAAGGCTTAACCAAACTTTGCCGCGCCCCTTTATCTAGGGGTTAAAGAAAGAACAAGCTGCTTGAAGGCTAAACCACACCGTTTCAAATCAATTTTTAAAAGCAGTTCCAAGAGTGTGCGGTCAAGGGTGCGGGCCACAGAGGCGAGGCAGGGTCGGGAAGCAGCGCAGGAAGAGGTCACTACATCGCTGATAACCTTGAAGAGATCCACTCTGGTCAGGTGGCGGGGCCTGGCGTCAGGTAGCAGCAAAGTGACGCGACGGCATGGCGGCGCGCAGAGGGAGGCCCCGCAAGGCCCCGCAAGGCCCCGCAGCGCGCTGCGGTGAAGAAGCCCGCGGGGCGCAGCCAGGTCGCGCCGGGGACTAAGAGAGCAAAGATTTGAGAATCCAGACCCTGGAGGCCTCTGCCTTCGTTTCCAGCCCTGCCTTCAACTTCCCTAGACCCTGGGCTGGCCGGAAGGTACTCGATTCTGATGCCGCCACCCGCCCAATGTCACCTAAGCCTCCCTGCGCGCCAGGTCTGGAGGCGCTGGAGAGAACCGAAAGGATAGAAGTGCAAAGCCAGCAAGGGACGCCCAGGGGAGCGCAGCAGCGCGAGGCTGTGCCAAGAGGCTATCGGGCTTGAGGTCGGCGAGGGCGGACCCCTCCGGAAGCAGCCAGACCCGGGGGAGCTGCCCTTCCCTTCCCAGCGCACTCACCGCTCCGAATAGTGGCACCGGCCCAACAGGTTGAGCTTGCAGAGGTGCAGGTTTTCGCAGAGCGTCTGGCACACCTTCCGACGGCAGATCCGGACTCCAGTGTTGGCCACCACGGACCGGGTGACCCCGGCCCGGCCGCCCGTCTCCAGCATCACGAAGCGGTGGGGCCCCGCCGCCTCCAGCACCTCGCAGAGCTGCGCCTCGGGGAGCGCGATCTTTTCGAGGAGCTCGTCCAGCGCCATGCGACCCCCATGGGCGCACAGGATTTTGGTGATGTAGCAGCACACCTCCGGGTCCGCCATGGCGCGTCGCTCTGGCCCGGCCCGCGCGCGGGACAGCGGGGCGCGGAGAATCGAAACTTAAGCCTTTGGGCCGGGCTGGGCTGGGCTGGGCTGGGCTGGGCGGGCGGGGCGCGCCCGGGGCCAGGAGCGAGCGCGCGCTTTCTGCCCGGGTTAGCTGAGCCCAGAACTTTCGGTTTCCTTCTCGGCTGTGGGTCCAGAAGCCAGATCTCACCAAGCCCGTCCCTGGAGCGAGTTTAAAGTCAACCGCGCCCCGCAACCGAATGGCTAGACAGCTGCCCCGCGCGCGCCGGGACCGCCGGGGGGGCTCCCTCGCGGCTCTGGACTCCGGGAGGACGGAGCGCCAGGCACTGCGAGGCTTCCGCGGAAGGAAGAGAAAGTAAAAATGATCTCGGGGTTCTGGGGGGGGTTTAATACCGCGAGTCGGGGAATCCCCCTGGAGACGTCATCTGTCCCCACCCCACCCATCCCGGAAAGGACAGACCCTGCTTCGCCCTGGAGGGAGCTGAGTATTCACGGTATTCACGCGTCGCAAAAAGGCTGTTTCCTCCCCGGGCTGGAGGAAGGAGCCGGAGCGAACAAGCGCGGCTCTCGGGGCGCAGCCCGGAGGTGCCCAGAGTGGGTGCGCTGCGCCCGCACCTCCACGCCCTCGGCAAGAGCTGCGACCATTTCTCTGCGTCATTTTTGCCTCTGACGAGCCTTTTGAAGAACCACTTCTTGACACAGTCTTGGCCCGGCCGAGATCGCCCTGTGCGGTGCGGTGCCCACACCCCGGGAGCGAACAATGCCAGACCCGCGAGTTTAGACGTCTCTCAAGACCTTCGATGGGGAGCTCTCTTCAGATGCTTGGACAAGACCGCTCCTCCTTCGTGGGGACCCACTTGGACCCCCAGAATTAGCATAAAGAATATTTTAAAGTGAAAACATTTGAGTTACAGAAGAAATTTTATTTTTTTAAAGATTTATTTGTTTGTTTGTTTGTTTATTTATTTGTGCAAGCACTGGGTACAGTCAGAAGCGCGGGAGGGTGAGAGAATTCACCAGAGCCAGAGCGGGGAGCAGAGCAGGCAGAAGGACCGAAGTACACTGCTGAGGGGAGCAGCGGGCGGCAGGAGAGGTCTGCGCGCCATGTGGGACCCTCCTCCAGTGGCCGGGGATCGAACCGGTGCTGCAGAGGCTGCGGGCAGCTTCGCAACCCAGCGCTCAACCGCTGCGCCCCTACAGAAGAAATTTTAGATGAATTTCTCTTCATCTGCCCAGCAGGATCTGCTCCTAGGACAGACCCTTCCTCCTTCTCACCCCCTTCCAAGGGCGTTTCCAGCTATTTCAGCTGCCGGAGGAGACTGGCAGCCAATGTTATTAGCATCAAAAAGCTAAAGAGAACCTTCCACTCTCTCATTGAAGCCCTTAAAACCTCCCTTTTAAATTGAGATACATAGTTACTTCAGAGTGGTTTAGGACATTTCCTTTACTGGAAGATTTCTCCCTTTTCCAAAACAGGTAAATAAATCTTATCTTTTCTTCTGTTAATTGTGTACTGTCAGTCGACTCGCACGCCCCCAGATACTGGACCCAAGGTGAAAGAAGAAAACGTTTCTTCCTCCCTATACTCCCAAGTAGAGTAAGTGGGTCACTGATTAAACAGGAAATTTTTTTAAAGATTTATATTTATTTATTTATGCATACAAGAACTGGAGGTGTTCCTCACTCACCAGAGACAGACTGGGGAACAGAACAGGCAAATTGACAGAAGTACACTGCTGAGGGGAGCAGCAGGTGAGTCAGGAGAGGTCTGCTGCACCATGTGGGTTGCTCCCTTGCTGGGGAATGGAACTCATGACGCAGTGACTGACAATAGCTTGATAGCGGTGAGACTTAACTCCTACACCACCAGGGAGGCCTGGAAATACTTTTGTTTTTTTTTAAGTGGCATTCAGTTGTCAAATTAGAAAACCTTCAAAATGATTCCTGGGAGTCCTCAGTTTGGTGATTGTAGTAGATGAACTGTTTCAGGAATGCTCTGGTATAAAAACCATCCATACTGGAGACACACGGGGTCATCTAATTGTTCCCTGTAGTGGTCACTTCCGAGGTCTTTTAATCTGATTGACTTTAGTTGTGGTCTGACAGGTTTCCAGGAACTCAGCTTTTAAGACCGAATCAATATAATTCAAGTGAGTATCTTTTGGGTGGCCCTGACATTAGTAAATTACTTATGAATTGCAGAAGTTTAAGAAGTAGTCCGCCAGTTCGATCCCCAGCTGCTCCCCGGCCACTGGAGGAGGGTCCCACATGGCGCGCAGACCTCTCCTGCCGCCCGCTGCTCCCCTCAGCAGTGTACTTCGGTCCTTCTGCCTGCTCTGCTCCTCGCTCTGGCTCTGGTGAATTCTCTCACCCTCCCGTGCTTCTGACTGTACCCAGTGCATGTATAAAACAAAAACAAACAAACAAACAAATAAATAAATAAAGCATGCCTCTATTAAAAAAAAAAGTTTAAAAGTATTAAAAAAAAAAAAAAACCGAACCCCCATCCCTTGCTCAACAGGAAAGTTTGGGGGCTTGACTGGATAAAAGGAGTAGATGAAACTGCCATGGGAACCCATCTGAAGAGCTGATTATCCTCTATGCTAATTTAGGTCGTCAGTCAGGACACACCCAAGACCAGTCACCCTAGCCAGTCAATGATGCCTGGAGCCTCGGACCCCTCCTGCCTCTCGCCCGCTGCTTCTCTTAGCCGTGCCAGCAAAACCACCTGTTCTGTTCTCTGCTCTGTCTCCGGTTAATTCTTTCACTCCTATGCCTGTGGTGTACACCTGAGTCTGCCCCACAACAGTTACATGGTGTGATGGGTCTTTGGATATTGGAGAGGGAGGAAGTTTAGCTAGAGTGCTTGGAAATGGAAATAGAAAGTTCCCTCAGTTTGGACTATGACAAACAATTTAAGGGCTTGTGGAGGAGAAAGAGCAGACACTTGAGAAATTTTGAAAGTGTGCCTTCGAAGTTCTCCAGGAAGAAATACTGAGAAGTAGGTAAGAGCACAGATTGCCTGGGGTGTAACTCAAGGAGGTCAAAGGATTTCAGTCTGGTGTTGACCAGGCAAGATCTAGGGGTGGAGGTGGGGCTGGGAGCAGGAGCTTAGACTTTGGCAGAAAAACCTAGGTCCATTGCCACTCTGGCCTGTGCATTGCTGGGTGGTTGGCAAGCTCACTAAAGAAGGGCCTGATGTGAACATATTGCGAACATTCTAGGAGACCACTCACTGGCCCAACGGGCAAGAGAGCAAAGTGACCTGCATAAACTTAAGGTTGAGTAGTCTTGTCCTGTTCTGTGAAGCAGCCCTGCAAGAATCTGGAGCCTGAGGAAAAAATAACATTTCACCCTACATGAACGTCCAAGGACTCTGTTGAAGAGATTTAAACAATGGGTACCTAGGCTTTACGTCTCCGCAGTGCATTCTTCAGAAGTCAGGAAAATGATTAAACCCTGGCATTGTCCTCCTCACCACGTAGATAGCATCAGCATTGCTTTAGGTCATGATAACTTAGGAAATCTCAAGAGGTCTACTCTTTCTTTTCCCACAAACTCTTAAATTATTTGTCATGCTTCAAATGAAGGGGACTTTTATTTATTTATTTTTAAGAGTTATTTATTTATGCATACAAGAGCTGGAGTGCAGGCAAGAGGTGTGGAGGGTGAGAGGATTCACCAGAGACAGAGTAGGGGGCAGGACAGGCAGATCTACTGAAATCCACTGCTGAGGGGAGCAGCAAGAGAGACAGGAGAGGTCTGCTGTGCCATGTGGGTCAGTTCCCTGGCTGGGGGTTGAACTCATGTTGCAGTGGCTGGTGATGGCTTGATAATGCTGAGACTTAACCCCTGCGCCACCAGGGAAGCCCAATGTCCCTGATTCTTCATGTCCAGGTATGGACACCAGGCACAGAATTATGACTTGCTATTGGGTGGTCAGCCTCCTTGTCAGCCTGCTTATTGATTCTTGTTCCTTTTGGATTATAAATACGAAGCAGTACTTTTTTTTTTTTAAAGATTTATTTATTTATTTATTTATACAAGAACCGGGGTACAGACCAGATGAGTGGGAGGGTGAGAGAATTCACCAGAGACAGAGAGGGGAACAGAATAGGCAGACTGACTGAAATACACTGCTGAGGGGAGCAGCGGGCGAGACAAGAGAGGTCTGCTTTGCCATGTGGGATTCTCGCAGGCCAGCTGGGATCAAACCAGAGCTGCAGGGGCTGCACACATCTTCACAGCATGGCGCTCAACCATCTGTGCCACCAGGGGAGGCCCTGAGGCAGTACTTTTTTTGACTTCTGATCTCTTTTCCTTCTATGGACTCTCCAGGTCAGGGTCATTGGCTGCCCCTGACTTTGTGATTCTGAATCCCTGGCTTCTGTAGTGAAAGGGTATTACCTGGCATCTATGGTATTGAGGATCTGACATCCCATTGTTACCAGTGAGCCAAGCTCCAGGATAGCCTGTCCTTCCATCAGCTGTTACGGGGGAAAGTGCCACCGAACTTCTAGGTGACATTGGTGAGTGCCCTTGACATACGCAATTCCTCTGAGCCCCTCTGTGGGGCCTAATCTTTTGTGGATCTTCTGAGAAGATCCACAACATATCTAACATATCTATCCTAGCACGTTCTCTTTTCCAAATCCTTTAATACTTTTTTCTACTGTCAGCAAGAGAAATTTAGGTATTTCAACCTTGCTCTTTGTGGGTTCTCACCTTCCTAAGCTTCTGTGAACCACCTAGAAGCATTTTACTGCGCATGCGCTTCCTTACCAGAATGCTCAGTGGTTTATCCAATGGTAGGGACTAGGGAGGAGGTGAGCAGGCCACCATGCATAGTTGAGGAATCTGCACGTACACACATTGCTTTGTAACAGGGTAGTCCCCAGGGAAAGGAAGGTTCCAGTTTCCCTGCCCCACCCAAGGTAGGGTGGAGCCAGGCAGGGAGGGGAAGCTGCAGACGACAAGGAGAAGGAAGCAAGGGATGCAAGGAGACCTGGAGGAGGCACCTGGAGCAGAGAGACATGTGAAGAGGCCGTACTTGCTTCTCAGCCTTGGACTTGTACCAGGGACTTGGACATGGAAGGAAACACTTGAAACAGACATGGTTGAGAGACCCGTGGAGGCTGACAATGGCAGACTTTACCTTGACTTGGATTTTGACTTTTGCTGTTTTCTTTCCAGACTTGCCCGGGCCTTTCTGTTCTGCCCCTTTCCTATGGTCCCCACCAGACAGTGCCTTTGACTTGTGGCAGGCTTTTGGGCCTCAGTGGTCCTGCTTTGGGCCAACCCTATTTTTTTAAAGATTTATTTATTTATGTATACAAGAACTGGGGTACAGGCCAGAGGTGAGGGAGGTGAGAGGATCCACCAGAGATAGAGTGGGGAACAGAACAGGCAGATAGACCAAAGTACACTGCTGAGGGGAGCAGCAGGCGAATCAGGAGCAGTCTGCTGCACTATGTAGGTAGCTCCGTGGCAGGCTGGGAGTCGAACTCGTGCTGCAAAGGCTGGGGACAGCTTCATAGCACTGCACTTAACCCCTTGCATCACCAGGGAGGCCCATTGACTGGGTATTTACCCACCAGGGGATCGGTAACTTTGGGCGCTTGATTTGGGAACTATATTCTTTCTGTTCTCTTTATTGCACACTAAATGCATTAAAGTTATTTTCTATTGAAGGTCTTACACGCAGGAGTAGGTTTTGTCTTGATGGGACAGATGGCAGAACCCAATTATAGCAGGCAGGTTTGGGGGGCCTGGGTTGTCCCTCATCCTGCCCTATAACAGATTGACCTATGACCTGTTTGCTCTAAGTTGACATCCCAGGACAGGAGGCACCTGGAAGAGTAGTGGACGCCATTTCTGTCAGAGACTGAGCCAGCCCAGAAGGAATGAAGTGCCCTAAATCCAGATGCCAGTGAAAGGGGGGCTGCCAGGGAGAGGGGGCACCATAAAACTCCCAGAGGTTGTTAGCTGCCTGGAGTAAAGCCCCGCTCACTGGTATTAGCTGTCTTTGTTTAGCTCACTATAAAATAGCCAATTAGAGATGCAGTGTTGGTATGATTTCTTTGGAGCATGATGCTCAGCTGTTCTCAGATTAGCTTGCTGATCTAATGAAAATGCATATTAAAGATTTAATCCCTGTTCTTTATCTTTTAGTTTCCACAAAAGAAAAGATTCTTTTCTGGTGGCCGGCAGAAAAGAATCCAGTATTTCCAGGCAACACCAACAACAGAGAGCTCTTATGTCAACAAACTCACCTGTGTACAGACATCCATTTCAGCTGGCCGGATCAAGCAGTGTTCTCAGAATGGTGAGACCGGAAGTTAAAATAGATTGCTATTTTTTTGAGGACCGATGAGAATAGAGGAGAGGGGAGGGAAGGCACTATTTATATAGCTAGAGAGAGATTTTTTTGTTGTCTTATTTATTGCTGTTGTTTTACTAGAACATCCAGGCATGTGCAAAAATTTCAAAAAAATAATGTGAAGAGGGGCCTCCCTGGTGGCGCAAGGGATTAAGTCTCAGTATTATGAAGCTGTCCGCAGCCACTACAACACCAGTTTGATCCCCGGCCAGGGAACTGACCCACATGGCACAGCAGACCTCTCCTGTCTCGCCTGCTGCTTCCCTCAGCAATGTATTTCAGTGCATCCGCCTGTTCTGTTCCCCACTCTGTCTCTGGTGAATCCTCTCACCCTCCACACCTCTGGCCTGCACGTCAGCTCTTGTATGCATAAATAAATAAATATTTAAAAAAAGAAACGTGGAGAGCATACAAAATTGCACAAACTGGGGCACATTAGTGTGTGCAGCCTCAGCTACAAGCTTGCCGAGTTCTTCGTGGTAGCAGATGTGAAAACAGGTCATCGCCCATATGCGGGGCCAGGAACAAGTCTATTGCAGCAACAGGAGACACACAGGTAGCAACAGCATTATCTGTCTGGCTGGCCTGATAGAAGCAGCCTGGCCCATGGCTTGGGCAGCGGAAGCCTCCGCCAGCCCAGTGGGGTAAGGCCCCTGGGCACCCCTCAGGCCCCCTTGGGCTCTCTTGGATCCCCGGCTCCCCTTGGGCCCTTCACCCACCCATCAGTGGGTGCCCTCTTCCCAGGACCCCTATTAGCTTTTTTTTTTTTTAAAGATTTATTTATTTATTTATACAAGCACTGGGTACAGTCAGAAATGCGGGAGGGTGAGAGAATTCACCAGAGCCAGAGTGGGGAGCAGAGCAGGCAGAAGGACCGAAGTACACTGCTGAGGGGAGCAGCGGGCAGCAGGAGAGGTCTGCATGCCATGTGGGACCCTCCTCCGGTGGCCGGGGAGCAGCCGGGGATCGAACCAGCGCTGCAGAGGCTGCGGGCAGCTTCGCAACCCAGTGCTCAACCGCTGCGCCACCCGGGAGACCCCTGACCCCTATTAGCTTTTATGTGATGTACAGACACAGCTGGCACAGAGCCAAGTTTATGCCTCATATGTTTTTTTTTGTGCATGCAAACTCTGTTATCAAAGTCACATATTAATTACCACTTTCTGCACATGCAGATGACATCTCAAGGCTACATGTTATCTACTAGGCCACCTGTGTGGATGGTCACAGTGAAAATCAGCCTGAGAAACTCTAAGGAGTTTCTGCTACGTTGTTTTATTCTCTGTTTTATTCTCCCCACAAAGTGATATCAGCCTGGTGAATCAGTTGAATCACCAATCAGAGAAGAAAGCAAAACATACACAAGGCAGCAATGACTCAGCTCTACTAAGTCACAGAAATGAAAAGCACATAAACAGCACGGGGTTCAGTCAGATGGAATGTCCAAAGTCCGTGGCAAACAGCTGTACCCCAGGAGATATGGAGCTGTTCTCCAGGAGATATTTGACTAATGGGAGGCAATAGGCAAATGATCAGACAGGAGGGAGGGCAGAGGTAGGGAGCAGGCAGAAGGGGTTCCCCTAGATTGTCAGGGCATGCCGCAAGGTATACTGGGAAGAACTGAACTGGGGTAGAATGGAGCTCTAGGTAGTGGTGCTGGGGTAGACAGAGTGAGAAGGGTCATTTTCCTCTATAAGGAGGAATATATAGACTTTGCTTTGGTGGCATGAAAACAAGGAGCTTCAGGCTGCTTTTCTTCATTCATGAGCATCATCTGCAGGCAGACACAACCGGCATGTAGTAACACAGGCAGGGCTAACTCGGTGCTGATGGCCTGATGGCCCCCTCGAGTTTGCTCCTGACATCTAGACCAGTGTATTCCTTTCCCACATTGAATATACTTATCAGTATATTCCAGACAGAATATTCCAGAATATTCCAGACACCGTAGTGTGAGTTCCAAGCAAGGTCACAAAAAACATTGACTTCCTCATTCACCCGAGTGGGTCAGGGGCCCAGGGAAGCCAACTGTGTTACGTTCGCTCAAGAAGCCCTGTGGAGGTGACCGTGTGGCAGGTGATGAAGACCCCTGCCAGCGACCAGCTCCAGCCTACCAGGCGGGTGGGTAAGCCACTTGGAATGGGATCCTTCGGTCCAGTCAAGACAGGAGATAACTCATAGTCAGAGACCTGAGTCAGAACCCCCCAGTCACGTCATTCAAGTGGGAGATAAAGCATATTGATTGCTTTAAGCTATTAAGTTTATGGTAAGTTGTTATATAGCAATAGATAATTCATACATTTTTAAAAAAGATTTATTTATGCATACAAGAGCTGGGGTACAGGCCAGAGGTGCTGGGGGATGAGAGGATTCACCAGTGACAGAGTGGGAGCAGAACAGGTAGACGGACTGAAATACACTGCTGAGGGGAGCAGCAGGCGAGACAGGAGAGGTCTGCTGCGCCATGTGGGTAGCTCCCTGGCCAGGGATCAAACTCGTACTGCAGAGGCTGCAGATAGATTCACTATTTTGTGCTTAACCCCTTGCGCCACCAGGGAGGCCCCTGTGTTAAGTACTTTAAATACTGGGAAGACTTAAACAAAATGTGGCATATCCATGCAATGGAATAGTAGTCAGCGATCAAATGGAATGAAGGGCCAGCACATGCTATAGCATGGGTGAGACTTGAAAACATTAAGTGTGTAGTGCAGGTGGGCAAAGAGGGGGGGGTCTCCGGGTTCTCATGCTGTTCCTTCCTCTACTCTGGTCCTTGCCTCTCTGGGCTGTGGCCCTGGGAGTGCCAGGCAGAGCACAAGCTGCTTTAGGCCACCAAGGCCCACTGGCTACCCGTTGATTCTCACCTCCTGGGGTGTACAAGCAATCCCATCCAGCCCATTTCCCATAGTCAGAACATCAACCTGCCAAAGCTCCCCCTCCTTCTGGTGGGATTGTTAGTCCAAATCCATCAGTTCTTTTTTTTTTTTTTTAAGATTTATTTATTTTTATACAAGAACCAGGGTATAGGCTAGACGTGCGGGAGGGTGAGAGGATTCACCAGAGACAGAGCGGGGAACAGAACAGGCAGACTGAGGAAATACACTGCTGAGGGGAGCAGCGGGGAGACAGGAGAGGTCTGCTGCGCCATTTGGGATTCTCGCCAGCCGTCCGGGACCGGCGCTACAGAGGCTGTGGACAGCTTCACAGTGCAGCGCTCAACTGCCTGTGCCACCAGAGGGGCCCCTCCATCAGATCTTTATGCTTTCTTCCCAACGAGCTTGCCACCTTGGGGTAGTGGGCTGGTCCTCTCAGGCCGTCTCCTCCTCCACGTGATGCCTTGTCCCACAGCTTCTCAACCTTGTCCCACTCCTGTGCTGTGCATCGTCCCTAGCTCCTCTTGCTGCTCCAACTCCAGCCACCACCTGTGCTGCCATGGCGCCTCCAGCGTTGTCCTCCGCTGCATTTGCAGAGCTGTGAGGGAGCACTCATCCCCCAGCCCTGTGTCCGAGCAGGCGCCCTGTCCCTCCAATGCCTTCCCCACCACATGCAGTCCTCTCCACTTCACCGGAGACTCGGGAGGCACCCACAGCAAGGAGGCCAGCCGCCCCTCAGTACCTCCTGAGGTCTTCAGAGGCCTCCATACCTGTCTGCCTTGACCATCGCCAATTGTAGTGGAAAGCCAGCACAGGGCAGGTTGGGGGCCAGGGGGTCAGGAAGCTGGCAGGCCTCCCAGCCCCTGGTGAAACTTTACTCTCCCTAGGCTCTCTGGACAATCTGGTATTCCCTGCCACTCTCCACTGTACTCCACTGCATTCCACTGCACAGTCCTCCACCGCATTCTGTCCTCTCTGATGCTGCCCTTATATGCTCGGCCTCTAGGCTCAGGTGTACCCATTTACATATGCCCACATGTAGGGTAGAGAAAATATCAGGCTTTTCTGCCCTTCCGCCATCAGGATAGATGATGGATCCTTGTCCTGAATGCATGCCTGATGGCGGGCACCTGGAATAGGGTGTGGGCATAGGTAGATGGGATTCAGCTGAGCTAAGACTGTGCTTTTAAGGGCGGCGTCACGGGGACAGCAGCAGCAGCAGCAGCAGCAGCAGCAGCAGCAGTAGCAGCAGTAGCAGTATGAAGCCGAAAGAGAAGCCGAGAAGCAGCAGAACGAACGCTAGAGAGCCCAGATAGAGTGAAGACTTGCTGGGGGCTGGGAGGCCTGCCAGCCTCCCAGCCCCCCAGCCAGCACCCCTACCTGCCATATGCCTGGTGAACCCCAAATAAAAAACCTGCAAAACTACTGAGGACTTTGACTCCTCCTTTACCCGGTCTGCATGGGATCAGGAAACCTGCACTGTGTCCAGTTCCTGCCTTTACACCACACCACACTCCAGGTGTCCACCATCAGGCACGCGGACCCCGAGCCCACACTCCCAAGTGCCTCCTGCATTCAAGGCACAGATGATAGCTACAGAGGCCAACTGAGCAATCTTCATTTACCCTACAACATGAAATAAGCCAAACACCAAGGGTCACATATTGCATGATTCCACTTTCAGGAAATGCGGAGAACTGACAAATCCATAGAGACAAAAAATAGATTAATGGTTGGCAGGAGCTTGAGGGGAGTGGAGAATGACTAATAATAGATGTAAATTTCTCCACAACATGGAGAAGTTAGCTATATCCCAAAGGGCAGGCTTATTATAAAAGGGAGCAAAGAATAAAGGACACTTGCTGTAGGGTAAATGATTATCAGGCTTTTCTGCCCTCCCGCCATTAGCGTTGATGATGGATCCCTGGGATCCTGAATGCATGCCTGATGGCAGACACCTGGAGGGGGGTGTGGGCATATGTAAGTGGGTACACCTGGGCTGAGACTGGGCCTATAAGGGCGGCATCACAGGAAATGGAACCAGCAGGAAGAGAGTAAGAGAATGAAAGAGAAACACAAGAGCGAGAACTAAACCACAAGAGTGAAGATTCGCCCGGGGCTAGAAGGCCTGCCAGCCTCCTGCCCCTACCCCCAGCACCCTGCCTGCCATGCATCATGGTAAAATCCCAATAAAACCCTGAAAAAGCCACCAAGGGTTCCAGGACTCTCTCCTTTACCTGTCTGCTCAGATCATAGAGATCTTGCCCTGTTCCTTTCCGCTGCTACACTTGCATAGACACAAAAAGGCAGAAAGGGCTGCCCTGAAAGGGACAGGATTGCTGTGAGAGGTCTGCTGCTCCATGTGGGTAGTTCTCTCGCCGGGGATCGAACTTGTGCTGCAGTGGCTGCAGAGAGCTTCATAGGTTGTGTCTTAAGCCCTCGCACCATCAGGGAGGCCCTCCCCCCCAGCAGGTGCTGTTTTATAGCCATGCATTAAGTACAAAAGCATGGCTCCTGGACGCCTGCAGAATGGTGATCAGGGAACTCAAGAGTGACACAGGTTGTGTGTTTTGGAGTCAACAAGATGCTGCTTCCTACCTATGTGACCTTGAGCACATTACTTAACTTCCATGAGCTTTAGTTTTCTCCTCTATAAGTAGAATAAAACCCACCTCAATGGAGCCTCCCTGGTGGTGCAGGGGTTAAAGAGACAGCACTATCAAGCTATTGCCAGCCACTGCGGCATGAGTTCGAACCCAGCCAGGGACCTAACCCACAAGGCACAACAGACCTCTCCTGTCTTACCTGCTGCTCCCCAGTTCTTCTCCAGATATTAGTTCCTTAGTTTGTTAATTCTGAAAGTTGGACTGGATGTCCTTTAAGAGCCTTTCCAACTACACCATTCCAAGATGCCGCTATCTTAGGCAACCCTTTAGCCGTGTTAACAGGATTTAGGAGTCAGACATATACATTAAGTTGCCCAATGAATATATATTTATCACAGTTCCCATTGCGTGCAGGTGTATCCATCTAAATAAATTGTAGTGTTGGGGCTCCCTGGTGGCGCAAGGGGTTTAAACACAACCTATGAAGCTGTCCGCAGCCACAGCAGCACAAATCAACAACCGGCCAGGGAGCTACCCACATGGCGCAGCAGACCTCTCCTGACTCGCCCACTGCTCCCCTCAGCAGTGTATTTCATCAGTCTGCCTGTTCTGCTCCCCACTCTGTCTCTGGTGAATCCTCTCACCCTCCCCCACCTCTGGCCTGCACCCCAGTTCTTGTATGCATAAATAAATCTTTAAAAAAAAAATAAAAATAAACTGTAGCGAGAACTACCATCTCCAAATCCAGTTTTCTCTGTTCAGCAGAAATCTTCTCGCCAAGCTTAGCTCACGCACCTAAGACCAAGATCACGTGCGACTAAGCACGTGACTCCACGGCAGGGCGTTGCTATGGCGCCCAACTGGTCCAATCGGAAGTGGTCCTCGAAAATTACTTTCCCAGGACCCTTGCATTTGAAAAACAAAGAGCAGCATTTTGTTTTTCAGGAAATAAACTCGTAAGTAGAAATACAATTAGACCCTCGCTCTACGCAGAGCGAACAACGCTCACCTCCGGGAAGAGGCGCGTCCCCTCCAGCCCCCGGGGAAGTGGAACGGAACCAAGAAGCTCCGGGCACAGGTTCTCCGGGAGCGCTTTTCCCGAACGGACCAGTCCCCCCGCGCGGGGTTGCCGTGGAGACGGAGCGAGGTGTTTAGATGCTGAGACCCGCCGAGGCCCGGCCTGAGCTGCCTGTCTGCAGAAGGGGCTCACAGGACCGACGCCAAGATGGTTAGTGGCTCTGAACTTGGGGGGCTGGTGCTGGAGATCGGAGGCTCCCAGCACATTTCTGTGTTAAGTCTAAGAGTGTCAGGTCAGCCGTGTTGACACAGGCAATGGGGATGCAACTGTAGGTAGGTAGACGCTTTTTTCCCCTCCTAATTCTCCGTTGCCCCACACCTGAGCTGCCTGTGTGACGGGAGCAGAACGAGGGGAGGGTGAGACGACAGAAACTGCGCGAAAGCATCTCGTACTGTGCTCTCATGGAAGAAGATAAACAAGTTGGGAGTAACTGGCTCAGCTCAAGTATAAGGAGAGTGGGGTAGCCCTTATGGTAAAATATCTGTTATAAAGAGTTTGACTACGTTTCCCTGGGATTCGTTGTTAAGGATTTGACTTGTAAATCCTGGAACTGACGCTCTCGCGTTAATTTGGACCGCTGGAATTGAATCGAATAACTGCCTTTGTTGTTTTTTCACAGATGCTTTCAAGGGCCAAACCTGCAGTAGGCGGGGACCTACCAAACACTGACAAAAGAAAGAAGAAAGGTAGGAAGATTCCAAAACTAGAGGAGCTACTTTCACAAAGAGATTTCACTGGAGCAATTACCCTGTTGGAGGTAATGTCTGAAGAATGTTGCTTCTTAGGAGGTTAATACCAGAATATAGATGAATGCTGTTTTCTATGATAGCGGAAAAAGCAGGTGTGTTCTGGGGATTGTTCGAAGAATCACCTGTAAATCTAGTAAGACACTGATTCAAGATTCCAGGATAGTTCAAACCTGATTAGGGATTAACTAAAAAGAGAAATTTATTTCTTGAAGGGCACTTGTAATGATGTCTAGTCTTTTTTTAAAAAAAGATTGATTTATTTATGCATAAAAGAACTGGGGTACAGGTCAGGGGTGTGGGGGCAGTGAGAGGATTCACCAGAGACAGAGTGGGGAACAGAACAGGCAGATTGACTGAAGTACACTGCTGAGGGGAGCACCAGGCAAGTCAGGAGAGGTCTGCTGTGTCATGTGGGTAGCTCCCTGGCCAGGGATCAAACTCCTGCTGTAGTGGCTGTGGACAGCTTCATAGGTTGCGTCTTAACCCCCTGTGCCATCAGGGAGACCCAATGTCTAGTCTTTCAGGTGGTCTAGTCTTTTCAACTAAAAATAAGGAAGGAGATTTAATACAGTGTCAGTTCATGCATTATTTTATTCTAACCTCCAACTGATTTATGGTTTATTCCTATTATATGTTGTACAGTTGTCATCAGATTTAAATCTACATGCTTATAGTTTAAACATTATATCCTCAGAAAGTATTTCATACATCAATGGCAGTAGTTATCAACTTTTTTTTTTAAGGATTTATTTATTTATGTATACAAGAGCTGGGGTGTAGGTCAGAGGTGTGGGGCAGGAGGGTGGGAATGAGAGGATTCTTCAGAGACAGAGTGAGGAGAAGAACAGATAGACTGACTGAAATACACTGCTGAGGGGAGCAGTGAGCAAGACAGGAGCGGTCTGCTGCAACATAGGGCTTAGCTCCCTGGCCATGGATTGAACTTGTGCTGCAGTGGCTGCCAATAGCTTCACAGGGCTGAGACTTAACTCCTTGTTCCACCAGGGAGGACCTCCCCCCCATCCCCCCCCCCCCCCCCCCCCCGCCGCCCCAGTTCTCAACTTTTTACATGCATCAGAATCTCCTAGGGCACTAATTAAAATGTGTACTTCTGAGCTCCCTCCCTCAGTATTATTCTTTTTTAAAGATTTATTTATTTATTTATACAAGCACTGGGTGCAGTCAGAAGCGCGGGAGAGTGAGAGAATTCACCAGAGTCAGAGCGGAGAGCAGAGCAGGCAGACTGACGAAGTACACTGCTGAGGGGAGCAGCAGGCACGGCAGGAGAGGTCTGCACGCCATGTGGGACCCTCAACCGGCGGCTGGGGATCGAACTGGCTCTGCAGAGGCTGCGGGCAGCTTCGCAGCCCAGCGCTCAACTGCTGCGCCACCAGGAGAGGCCCCTCGGTATTATTCTTTACTGAAACAGTTCACAGTGGTGCTCAGGAGTCTGCATTTTAGGTAGGTAGTCTAAGTACTTCTTAATTAGATGGTTCAAGGACAAAACTGCTTTGTTGGAAGCATATGTTAGAAGACAATGAAGGGGGGCCTCCCAGGTGGCGCAGCGGTTGAGCGCTGGGTTGCGAAGCTGCCAGCAGCTTCTGCAGTGCCGGTTTGATTCCCGGCTGCTCCCCGGCCATCGGAGGAGAGTCCCACATGGCGCGCAGACATATGCCGCCCGCTGCTCCCCTCGGCAGTGTACCTCAGTCCTTCTGCCTGCTCTGCTCCCCGCTCTGGCTCTGGTGAATTCTCTCGCCCTCCTGCGCTTCTGACTGTACCCAGTGCTTGTATAAATAAATCTTTAAAAAAAAAAAAAAAAAAAGAAGACAATGGAGGGGTACACTTCTTACTTTGACAGCAAGACTGGTTGTGTTTTGCCATAATCGTTTCTCCAAGGGGATGATGGTAAGCAAAATAAGTCAGAAGGAGAAAGACAAATGCGGGATGATTTCACTCATATGTAGAATATAAAGAAACAAAACAAAGGAACAGACAAAACTAAACCAAAACAAGTCCTAGAAGTCTGGCTGCAGACTTGGGGCTGTTAAAGTGGGGAGGTGTGGAGTGGAGAGTGGGGGTAGGATGGTAACATACATTTGAAGAGGAATGAACCTGTTGCCCTAAAACATGTACAGTGTTATAAACCAATGTTACCTCAATAGAAAATAATACAATTTTTTTTAAAAAATGCACAACTCTGGCCATGTGAAGCCAAATCTACCTGTAATAATTGTTTTATTGAGTTTTGTATATCTTTTTCATTCTTCTGCATATTGTCCTATGTTTCCTACTAGTGCTATGGTATTGAGCACTAGATAAAAAGGGTTTGCTTTTTTAAAATTCATCTTTAAAGTGGGGAAGTTGACTTGGAAAAATATTCTGGCTCTGTAAATCAGTGAGCAGGGCTTCCCAAGTGATTCAGGGGTTAAAGACATAGCGTTATCAGGCTATCGCCAACCACTGCAACATGAGTTTGATCCCTGCCCAGGGAGCTAACCCACATGGCGCAGCAGACCTCTCCTGTCTCGCCTGCTGCTCCTCTCAGCAGTGTGTTTCAGTCTGTCTGCCTGTTCTGTTCCCCACTCTGTCTGTAGTGAATTCTCTCACCCCCTACACCTCTGGCCTACACCCCAGTTCTTGTATGCATAAATAAATAAATCTTTAATAAATACATAAATCAGTGGGCAGAGTGGTAGCTATGTATATGTCTAATTCTTCTCAGTCTCCGTTTCTCTTCTCTCTTTTCTTTAAGGAGGTGACCACATTTTCCTTATTGTAATCTCACACTGCCTTTCAGCTGTCAGGGAGCCTGTGCTCACTGCTTACATTCTTAGCTAGCCAAAGTACCATGATGTATGGCAATGGGAAGTGTCATGGTTTAGGCTGAGGCTGTCTCATGAGTTCTCCTGTGGTTGCAAAGAACTCCTGGGGCAAATTCAGAGGAGGATTTATTTTATTTATTTATTTTTTTTTCAGAGGAGGATTTAAATGAGAATTTCTCCAGACTTAAGGCACTGTACTCATAGCATTTGGTGAGATGAGGATTCCTAGTTATGGAGTCAGCTGTAGGAGTGACTATCCCAGACAAGATAGTGCCAGTCTTCATCTTGTGATGGCCAAGGCACCCGGTGTTGTGTAGCCATGATCTGTAAATATGGGTGACTTACTATTTAACCTTTCACCTTTGTTTTTGATTTATCACTCTGTAAAGTGAGAAACTTTAACTTTACCATGGTAGTTCGGGGTCTTTCAAAGGCTCAGTCCTTTTCTCTCAAACAGAACTGTTCTTCTGTTGACTGAGGAATTCATAAATATTTGTTCACAGTGGATATGAATGCGGACATCTTCTGAAACATCCATCACTCTTGCAGGCTCTCTTTTTTTTTTTTTTAAGATTTATTTTATTTATTTATACAAGCACTGGGTACAGTCAGAAGCGCGGGAGGGTGAGAGAATTCACCAGAGCCAGAGCAGGCAGACTGACGAAATACACTGCTGAGGGGAGCAGCGGGCGGCAGGAGAGGTCTGTGCACCGTGTGGGACCCTCCTCCGGTGGCCAGGGAGCAGCCAGGATCGAACTGGTGCTGCAGAGGCTGTGGGCAGCTTCGCAACCCAGCGCTCAACCGCTGCGCCACTGGGGAGGCCCTCTTGCAGGCTCTCATAAATCTGTTCAAGGGTATAGATGATTTAATAGCTTACGGTGTCCTCAGTGAAAATTGAACCTGTGAGTACATGTATGTGTGTGCTGATTGAAAGGTTCGGCGCGGTAAAGGAGAGGAGAGCCAGGCTACATTTCTCAAAGGGAGGGAAAGTTTATTGCGCCCGGGCGGACCTCACAGACCCAAGGCAGGGGTCAGTGGAGTCGCGCACGTTGTTAGGGGGAAGCAAGGTTTTATAGGGTGAGGAGAGGTCAGGTGGGTAGTTGGGCTCGTAAGGTGGGAAAAGTTTGTAGGGCAGGTAGAGGTTCTTTGTTTGAGAAGAGACTCGTGGGGGGAGGGGGGAGGCTCATTGTCTGAGTCCTCCAGGCAGGTATCCGCATTCCTGCCCCCCAGGTGGGCTTCCGGGTAGGCTTTTGCATTCCGGCCTGCTGCATGGACCTTTCACTGATGAGACAGGTTGTAGTATGAGGCTGGATGCCCCATGGTGAGAATGTGGACCTACTTCAGGCCACCCCCCCCCCCCCCCCCCCCCCCCCCCGCAATTACTAGCTGTGTGGCCTTGAGTTCATTGTGAAATCTCTCTAATCTTCAGCTATTTGGTATTAAGTAACAAAACATAATTGTTTTGTTCCTTAAATATCACCCAAAATTCTTAGGAGGATGACTCCTAAGTACCTTCTCTAAGTAAGGTGTTAGTAAATACAGGAAAATTAGCATGGACTACTTTAAAGTATAAGTTTCTGTGATAATTAGAAGATAAGTACTGAGTTCTAAATATATGCATATTTAGAAAAATTCTAAAAGAACACACTTAATTAAATTGGATATTATTTTGTTTCTGTTACTTGTGATTTTCATTGTTCATTGTTTCATTGTTCATCAGCAAGTTAACATAGCATATTTTAAAAAAAGAATTTACTATTCAAAGGTTTCCATGATTTCTTTTTTCATGAAATTTTAACCTGAAGTTCAAACGTCATGTTGGGGAACAAGAGGAGGATACCAGTTTGTGGATTGGATACTGTGCCTTTCATCTGGGTGACTATAAAAGAGCTTTGGAGGTTAGTTTTTAAAAATCACATCAGAAGCGTTTTGGAAATGTCTTTAAACTTTGATTTGTTTTTAAGCATTATATATGCATGGTAAAATTCAAACAATACAGAAGGGAACAAAGTGAAAAGACATAAAGCTACCCTGTCTGCTCTCCTCAATATTACTTATTTGTTAACAGAGACAACCACTAGATATATTGCTTCAGAAATGCAAATATGTTCAAATATATACATCTTGTTTATATATATATATACACACACTAATTATATATGTTTGTGTTTATATAATTATATATATTAATGAGATTGTGCTCCACAAGACAGGAAAAATGAACTACTTTGTAAAAATATTGTCTTGAGTCTTTTATCAAAAGTTTTTAAACATGGGAAAGATTATATTGTTTTTATATTTTTGCAAGTATAGTTTTGAAACTTGTTTTTCTTGGTCATTCAGAACCCTACCTTGCTGGCAGCTCTCCTGCCTGCTTGTATCTGTGCCAGCATCCTCTCCCAGTAAAGCTAACCTTTTTTTTGGCTGGGGCGGGGAGGTAGAGGGAAACCGCCTAGCTAATAAGTAAGCTACAGAATTGTGTATGTACATAAAATTACAGATGCCTTTATGTCAAGCAATTTTTAATTCACAAATGAAATTGCTTAAACATTTTCCACATGTTCTTACTTCCAACATGTAGTCTAAGGCTATTTGATTAAAGCTGTGTGACTGAAATGAAAGTCTCCACCATAAGGTAAGAAGGAGCTGAGATGAAGAGTAAAAACAAAATTAGGGAAGAAAAAGAAAGGGTAAAGAGGACTGAACAGGGGCTGGCGGTCTTTGTGAAAGGTGTAGGCGAAAAGAGAGTAACCCAAATGTGTAGGAAAAAGAAACAAAGGCCTCTGGTAAAGACAATAGAAAGAGTATGAAAATGTCTTTGACAAAATGAATATCACAAAGTGTCCCCTTGGCAGGAAAGAAATACCTTTTTAAAATGTAAGCCAAATAAAACCAAAAAAACAATTAGAATCAAGTGAAATTAGTAGTTACATTTCATTTCTGCTGTTTGTTAGCCCATACCAGAGTTAGAGAGGGCAAACAAGAGTAAAGTTAGTGGGATAACAGCCTTGCATGGGTGAATTGAGCTTTAGCTTCAGTGTTTAACCTTATAGGTAGAGAATAGTTGAGCGTATAGGATCTTCTAAATGTGTAGCCACCCAGGATAGAAGAACGGCCATCCATTACTTTACTGTCAAAATGAAATCACTGCTTAATATATATTTCAGGAATATGAAAATGCAACCAAAGTGGAAAATTGCAACCCTGAAGTCTGGGTGAACTTAGCCTGTACCTACTTTTTTCTTGGAATGTATAAGCAAGCTGAAGCAGCTGGATTTAAAGGTAAAATGGACGCTTTTGATACTTAGTATCCATCAAAATCTCCATCCAACACTGGAGATTTTAAGTTACTTAATTCCTTTTCCTATTGAGGAAAAATTATGACACTGGAAAGTTGTTTAATTAGAAAGATTAAAAAGTATCTTTACTCTTCAAAAAATATTGGATTTGAGCAAATTTATGTTTATAGTTGATCATAGTGGTGTCTACACCCCCAAGTCTCCACTCACCAACCTCTCCAGAAGCCAAAAAGCAGAAGGATGAGAGAAGAAAAAGGTCAAGTACCCTTTGTAGGCCCCATCATGATAGGATATTCTTGCTGTAGGTACAAGTGGAGTTTGTTATTCAAGCTTATATGGCTGTAGATTTTATAGCTGCTTTTCCAGCTTCTGAGTGAGGAGACAAGTCATTTCAGCTTGAAGATTCCAGACTTCTTCCCTTCGCTTTATTTGTTGTGATAGTTAATTTAGGAGATCTGCACGCAAATTTATAAGTAAGAGTAGGACAAAGAAGGAGATTTGGGAGGAGAGATTAAGAATAGTTACAATACTTAGAATCAAATTAAATTCAAAGAAATTTGAGAAAGCATGCGAGGGAATGTTTATTAGGAAATTATTAGGTAGAATGCATACAGGGAAGAATTCCTAGCAAATTAACTGATATATACAGATTTAGAAAGAAGTCCAGCTCAGATTCAAGGAAACTTGAAGTCTTTCATATTTTTAGGCTTTATACCTTTTCATGAATTAAAAAAAAATAGTTCCACTAATTAAAATAATTTGAAGAAAAGAATTGGTATGCTAAATAAAGTGCATTTATAGTCTGCAGGACTCCTGGACAAGCTAGGTTTTTATCCTGGATTTCACTGTCATTCCACACAGCTTTTCCTTCCCCAACAAGTGCTTTTCCTTTCTTGCAAGCTGAAGAACCACATTGCCAGTAGTTCTCAATTCTTTGATGTGGAAAGGGAGACAGTCTCTTTGCCTCTTATAATGTTAAACAGCTAAAAGAGGAGATGAAGTGAAGAAGACAGTTCTTAAGGGGTATACACGCCTATTTGCTGCACACACCTCATTGCAGTTTGCCTGCTTGTTCAAATCTTTCTTGATTTGTACCCGGATTGTTTCTTATATACTAGTATAGCTTTTCCTAATTTAAGTTAGTCTCATGTTTTAAGCTTAAGTTACTTAAGCTCATGTTTCTAAGGCTTTTCTGTGTCCAGAATGTTGTTAGATATAAAGAAGGTGATCCAGATACTAGTTTTCTTTCCATATTTTTTTTTCTTTTCTGTGCACTGAAGTATGACTTCTTACTATCTAAGTCTGCAAGGGAAATTTGAAACTTGAAAGGTCTTAAATCTTTTTGCTTGGCTACCTCTTTCAGAGTGACATATGCTAAAAGATCTATGGACTATAGCCTGGGCTAGTATTTAGGGGAATATGGCAGTCTAGTTGTGGAAAAGCAATTTCAGAAGGAATTTATAAAAATTTACAAAATACAGGGAATTTACAAAAATACAGGGAACAACTGAATGAGAGTGGATTCATACACACCTTGAGATGACCACAACCATCTATTTGCAGTCTTTGGTTTAGTATGTGAACAGCCTGGCAGTAGAATGCTGGCATAACTGTGTGGAGTTCTGTGCTGTGAGTTGCCCTGACAGAATCAAGTAAAACAGTGGTGGGAAGAACAAAATCTTGCAACCCTTCTCTTCTGGTTCTTGATGATGTTACAACTGCAGGTGGAGATCAGACTGAAATAACATATGCTGTAGCAGAGACGTATAGGTAAGGACTTGGGAGGATTTATCTGAGTCTCATGTCATTCCTGCAATGGAATAATGAAGCAGAACAAACTAGGGGACCAGGATTGACCCAGTTGGTGGATCCTTAGACCAGAGATTGCCGGAAATGCAACTTAAAAGCAGACACATTGTGAGAAACAGCAGTGACAGGATGTATTTACATAGGGAGTGAGAAAAGGGGGCCTGAGGGGAGAGGGGGCGGGTAAAAGAAATTATTAGCTGTACAATCCTACCCCAGATAGTGTCTGTTGAGCAGAAACCCTGCTCCAAGCCAAAGCAAGCTGGGGCTTCTCCACATCACCCCTAAAAAATCACCAGTGGTTTAATTGTCGAGGCACCAGCTATTTAGCTGCCAAGCCCTAACTGTTTTATGCTACCAAAGCAGCTCCAGTCCCATGTGGAGTACATCATAGGGTGGAGTCCAGAAAAGCTCCGCCTTCTGCTCTAGAGTTGTCTATGAGCGCCACCCACTGGCTCAGAGGTTACTCCTCATGTCCCTGCACTAAGACAATTGAGTTCTTTAATAAACAATTTGGATTTTTTTCCAGCTCCAAAAAGCCGACTTCAAAACCGCCTTCTCTTCCACCTGGCTCACAAGGTATTTATACTCTCATTTCACACTTTATACTTTTAAAATATTTTTCTTCTTGTTACCAACAATACTGAAAGATAACTCAAAATTCTTATTAATGGCATTTTTAGAGTAGATGATATATAGGTTTATAGGATTTTCTCCCCCATCACTTTTTTTTTAAGATTTATTTTTATTATTTATGCATGCAAGAACTGGAGTGCAGGGGTGAGAGAATTCATCAGAGACAGAATGGGGAGCAGAACAGACACATCCACTGAAATACACTGTTGAGGGGAGCAGCGGGGAGACAGGAGAGGTCTGCTGCGCCATGTGGGTCAGCTCCCTGGCCGGGGATCGAACTTGTGTTGCAGTGGCTGCAGATTGCTTCATAGTGCTGAGACATAACCCCTGGACCACCAGGGAGGCCCCATCACTGTTCTTTACTGTATTCAAAATGTTAAATTTTAGTTCTTCTTAAACAGTAGTCACTTAAGGTTCGTTTGTTTCAACTATTCTTTTCTCTTAGGAAACACACTCAGAGCCCCCGTGTCCTGACTCCTTGAATTTATCACATACTTTTCAGAATTGCCTTATAGCAATAAGGCTTTTTGATCATCATCATAAAATTTGAAACATAAAACTTTTTCAAATTATAAAAGTTGCACGTTAATTCTATTAAGTAATAGAAATATAATTAAGAAATAATAGGAAATAACTTCTACCATACTACATTCAATCTTTTGGTCTATTATATCTCAGGATTATTTTTATAGGCATATTTAATATTTTTTGCTCATTTATTTCGCAGAATGGCTCGTGTTGAATATGTATTTTTGTATTTTGCTTTCTTTTGCCTGCTTTTATACTATAAGCATATCCCCGAATCCCTAGTCCTCAAAACCATGACTTTTTAACTTTTATATAAAGATAGTTCTGGGCCTCCCTGGTGGTGCAGGCAGTTGAGCGCAGCACTGTGAAGCTGTCCGCAGCCTCTGCAGTGCCGGTTTGATCCTCGCCAGCCTCAGAGCAACCCACATGGTGTGGCAGACCTCTCCTGTCTTGCCCGCTGCTCTCCTCAGTAGTGTATTTCCGTCAGTCTGCCTGTTCTGTTACCAGCTTTGTCTCTGGTGAATCCTCTTACCTTCCTGCACATCTGGCCTGTACCCTGGTTCTTGTCTAAATAAAATAAATCTTTAAAAAGAAATAAAGATAGTTCTATTGCCAAGGATATGTCTCCAGGAGTTTTTTTTTTTTTTTTTTTAAGATTTATATTTATTTATTTATTTATACAAGCACTGGGTACAGTCAGAAGCGCGGGAGGGTAAGAGAATTCACCAGAGTCAGAGGTGGGGAACAGAACAGGCAGACTGATGAAATACACTGCTAAGGGGAGCAGCGGGCAGCAGGAGAGGTCTGCGCGCCATGTGGGACCCTCGCCAGTGGCCCGGGATCGAACTGGTGCTGCAGAGGCTGCAGGCAGCTTCCCAACCCAGTGCTCAACCACTGCACCACCAGGGAGGCCCAACCAGGAGCTATTTTCTTTCTTATTCTGAAGGAGAGGCAAAGCAGAAGACCAGGCACTAAAGAGAAGTCAGGAGACTGTAGATACACAGCAGTTGAATGAGGAGTTCACGTCTATAATATAGGTATTGCTTTCTCTGACTGCAATATGAATCTTTACATGTCTTTTTCCACTCTCACAATTTTAGTTTAATGATGAGAAGAAATTGATGAACTTTCATCAGAATCTTCAGGATATCACAGAAGATCAACTCAGTTTAGCTTCTATCCACTATATGCGATCTCACTACCAAGAAGCTATTGATATTTATAAGCGGATACTGTTAGATAACAGGTCTGTGCCTTTTTATCCCTACCCACATCTCTGATTTTGTTAGTTTCCTCTGTAATTGGCTGGGAGGACCTAGTATCTTATGGTGCTAAGTATCACCAGGTAATCACATCTGTTTATTCAATAATCTGGTGAGAGTAAGAATCCTATTGTGTAGATCTGGGCTTTATCTGCACCTTTATTTCATTATCACTCTTTTATGGTACCTTTTTAGACTTTCTTTTCCTAATCATCCTGCCATGAAATTTTAATACCATGGGATACCATATATCTATCTGTGTACGCTAAGTATATGTATGCTTTATGTTATATGAGTAGTTTCCCGTTCCCCCCACCCCATGAGAATGAGTTTTTGTCCTTTTGCAGGTGATATCAGCCCTTTTTTGCGTGGTCTCGATCTATCATTCTTGGTGTTGTAGTCACATGGTGGGTAACTTGCTGAAAAAATTAGAAATAAACCATTCTGAAGAAATAATATCCCACCTTTACCACAGATCGCTTGGCGTATCTCCCAGATCCTAAATACATCACATTCACAACCCTTCCCTTCCCCTCTTTTGCCTTGCCTTCTCAGTGTCCTGCCCATTCCCAGTCGCCAAGTCTGCTGGCCTTGCCTGTCCAGCCTCTGAAAGGCGTGCGCTTGTGCTCAGCTATAGCTTATGTTTGGGTTTTTTTAGTATCAACAGGTGGGAGTTGAACTTTTCCATTTCTCCTCTATTTATCATCTTTTATTTACTTACGTCAAAACATCAAATATTAAAATAAAAAAAGATTGTACTGATTATATCTTGCCTTCTTTCCCCAACTGGTAAATTCATGTCCTCTTTGCCTTATTGTATACTGGGGCCATTAAAAAGTGTTTGTAGTTTGACATTTCTGTGAAGTAGACTTACATTGTTAACCCTTAATTCTTTCATCTACTAGGGAATACCTTGCCCTCAATGTCTATGTGGCCCTATGTTACTACAAACTGGATTACTATGATGTATCTCAAGAAGTTCTGGCAGTTTATCTTCAGCAAATCCCTGATAGCACCATCGCACTCAATCTTAAGGCCTGTAATCATTTTCGCCTATACAACGGCAAAGCAGCTGAGGTAGAGGTGGAAATGTGTTTTGAGCTTACTTAATTCCTATTTAAATTACCATATACTTTACAGGTTATTCATGAAACTCATTATTTACAACTCTTGATTCAGTCCCTTTATCATTGTCAGTATGATTCTGTAAGAACCTGATTGTATGAATATTTTATCAGATAGTCTAAAAAGAATGTTGACTTCTGAATTCTTGGTGTGTGTCTAATATATTGTACGTCATTTTAGCTAGATGCCTTCCTTTAGCTTAAATATGTGAAAACTAAGCATTTTGGCTTCTTCCTCTAAAATGTATTCGTGGCTCTGTGGTTGAATGTCACCTTTGTGTAAATCATGTTGGAAACCTCATGTACTCATCACTGTCTCCTTCATCTCTCATCTACCAGTTCCCATCAGCTCTGTGGCCTACCTCATCTGTCCAAAGCTAGACCTTGTTGGCTGTTGTTCCATCCCAGGGTTCCCTATCTCTTACATTTCTCTTCAGTTTTTTATTTTTTATTTTATTTTTAATTTATTTTATTTTATTTATTTATTTATACAAGCACTGGGTATAGTCAGAAGCGCGGGTGGGTGAGAGAATTCACCAGAGCCAGAGCGGGGAGCAGAGCAGGCAGAAGGACCGAAGTACACTGCTGAGGGGAGCAGCGGGCGGCAGGAGAGGTCTGCGCGCCATGTGGGACCCTCCCTCAGGTGGCCGGGGAGCAGCCGGGGATCAAACCGGCGCTGCAGAGGCTGCAGGCAGCTTCACAGCCCAGCGCTCAACCGCTGCGCCACCAGGGGAGGCCCTCTCTTCAGTTTTTTAAACAGTTACCCTGCCTCTTGTTCTTTCCAGTCCTTCTACTGAGTTTGTTACTTACACGATACATTCCAGTTACCATAACTTCGCATATACCTTTCTCATTTCCTGTAATGACTGCCTCTGTTTGGTACACTGCAACTTCTCCTTTAAAATTCTCCTCAAAGATTATCTCCAAGAGGCAATAGTGTAGACATTTTATAGATACCTAGAAATTAGCTAGTTCATAAGCACTGTGTAGGATGCTTTCTGTTAATTAATTTCACTGATAATTTTGTAGATAAAATCTGTTACAGCTCTCATTTTATTGGAAACAGAAAGAACACAGGAAACCATATATTATGACCCTTTTTATGTTAACATTTTACACACACGTGTCTATACACATAAACATACATATAGATATAAGTAGATATATGGTTATATAGATAGACATCATGTTCAACGCTGTATCTATATATCTTGCATGTAGATATTTTCAGGTTGACCCTATGCAGGGGGCCATGCAGGGGGCCATTACTTTAGTTGATGTCAGAAGCCACCAAAATGTAAAATTTCGGCATGTCTCAAAATATTAATACCCCATCATTGCCCCCCAAAAAAGTTCCAGCTGTTATCATGCCGCCCTGAAATAGGGAGAGGAGGAACAGAATTCAAACTAACAAATTAATGTTTTCAGAGCAAAATTTATTGTGAAAATGTAATAATAAGGAGCACGGCTAACCTGCTCACACTGACAGATCAGCTCCTTAGTGAACAGAGTTTAGTAGCTGAAGGAGAGAGACAGAGCAGAGAATACTTGTCCAGATTCGGTCCCGTGCCTTATGTCAATAAAGGTGGTCAGTTGTGGCAAAAGAAATGCCCATCAATTAAATTGCTTAGTATACAACTGAGTCTATTTATGTATTATATAAAATACGTCTTGGATGTATTCCCTTTAACTAAAGAGTCCCCTGAGTCTGCCTATTTGGCAGGTTTCCTGCAGAAGCTGTAGGGGATACAGTGATTTCAGGACTGATCGGGGGAAGTATAGGATCATGCAGTGACAGTAGCACACACATTTTATTTGGGTGACTCTCTGACAGGTTGTTGTGTGGGGAAAGTCCATCACAGCATGTGACTATTCAAAGGCTGTGGCCTCCAGAATGGGAGAAGAGCAGGGTAACTCCCCGAGGTGGCCAGGGGTCAGGGGGGCGGACTAGACAGACAGCTATAGTGTTTAGGTATGTCACAGCAATGCACTGCAAAGTGTTTGGGTCAGATTCTGCTTGGGCTCTTTATTTGCTCATTTTTTTTTTTTTTTAATTTTTTTTTTTTAAGATTTATTTATTTATACAAGCACTGGGTATAGTCAGAAGCACGGGAGGGTGAGAGAATTCACCAGAGTCAGAGCAGGATGCAGAACAGGCAGAAGGACAGAAGTACACTGCTGAGGGGAGCAGCGGGCGGCAGGAGAGGTCTAGCGCGCCATGTGGGACCCTCCTCCGGTGGCCGGGGAGCAGCCGGGGATCGAACCGGCACTGCAGAGGCTGCGGGCTGCATCGCAACCCAGCGCTCAACCGCTGCGCCACCGGGGAGGCCCCTGCTTGGGCTCTTTATAAAGGCAGTAGCTGCAAGGGGTCTTCACAGCCCTGAGGTTGATGGTATCTATGGCCAGCAGGGCCTAGGGGATGTTTGTGAGGTACACAAAACAGGTGAGTTCTTAAAGGCTGAAAATCTGCTTGTTTGGGCTACACTTAAAAACAATTAGATCTATAAAAATTTGGTGCCAGAAGGCTTTTGAGCTAATGGGTCTCAGTTGCTTTGGGGAAATAAGCATTCTAGGGGCTAATATACAATGGCTATTTTTGGTCCATTTATAAAACACCTGGCTGTTCAGTTATTCATTTTATTCATAGAATTTTATATTTCTGGTTCTTTCTTTTAAAAAAATCTTTTTGCAATTTCCTGTTTTCTGCTTTTGTACTCGTCTTTTGTTTCCTTAAACATTGTCAGCATAATTGCTTTGTGATCTGAGGTTGTTAATTATAAAATTTTTGTGTGCTTGATTCTGTTTTCTCTTGTTTCTCCTGGCTCTCCCTCATAAAGACTAGGTTCTTTATATATCAGGTTATTTTTGTGTCTTCAATACAATATTTGAAAAATTACTTAAAGGGATAAATTCCTTATCAGGATAAGTGAAGACCTGCAATGACGACACTACTCTCCCTAAGTGAGGGCATTTGCGAGTAAAGTGAAAATAATCAAGGATCTAGTTATTTTATCCATAAAAGTTTAACTACCTTGTGATAGAAGTAGGAAAAGGAGGAGAGAAGAATTACTCAAAAGTGTAGTTTGGCAATGTAGGAATAACAGAAACCTGAGGTGGGTAGTAAATGAGTGTAGGGAAGACACTGTGGACCACTGTTCTAAGGGAAGATGGGAGGGGAGAAGAATAAAAAAGAACTGATATATTCAATAAGTAACCAGAGGGGAGAAGGTATTTTAATTGTGTTATGTAAAAAAAAAAAAAAAGGAAATTCAGCAATGGGGAGTGCTCTGACCACTCCAGACTTAAGTGGAATGGTCAGATTGAAGAATCAACCTCAATGATTAAAATGTAATTCTATTATTACCTTTGGTCCTGAAAGAAGACTAACTCTAGAAGTCTCCATCAGTTTCAAACTGCTTTTTGCAAGGTTCAAGTCACTTAACGTTTATAGGCCTCAGTGTTCTTATCTGTAAAATGAGGGTAATCATTATGATGACAATTTCTTAGAGTCCTAATGAACAAATAAAATAGCTTGTTAAATTCTTTGTAAATTATAAATCATTGTGCAAATATGTTGTGTAAGAACTATATACACTTGCCACTTTCATAAGCCTTTCCGTTTTCAATTTCAGGCAGAACTCAAAAGTTTGATGGACAACGCTTCTTCATCCTTTGAATTTGCTAAAGAACTCATCAGGCACAATCTGGTGAAAATAATTTCCTGTCTTTTTAAATTTATATTGAGGTTACAGTGTATAAATTTCAGGTACACAGTATTGTAATTCAGTTTCTGAATATCCCATGTTATAATCTCCACCAAAAATCTAATTTCTCTCCGCTGCCATACAATTGACTCCCTTTACCCAGTTTGCCAACTCTTCCCTCTTGTAGTTTCTTGACTGACTTGAATCCTCTCCTACTTTGCAGCTTCACATCAGTTAGAAAGATTAATGAGGGGAGATAGCTCAGCAAACATTTCTTTACCCCACCTAGCTGTGGAGGAAAGGAAATGAGGTTAAGTACTGAAGTACTCCCAGATGCCCCCCAGAAATCACAGGCAGCAGGAGGGGTTACTACACAAACAAGCAGCGATCCCAAGAGCAATGAAGACTGATATTCCTTAACTTTGCTGATTTAAGAGAAGAAACCAGGACAGTTGAAGGGCAAGGGAAACAAATTTTTGCAAAGAAAAAATACTTGGCAGCTATTAATGTGTACAACTTAGTCATAAGACTAATACGATTCCACTATTGTATTTGAATTGGGCTGCTTGCCACCTAAAATGAAAAACTTACACAAAACCTCTAAATATTCTTCTCAGGCCCTAGAATTATTGACACCAAGTAACGCAAGAATGAAGGCACATATATGACATAGAACAGCATTCTGTCAACTAGAGTTATGTAGAGCTACAGGATTATAAAGTTGCACTTAAGATTGGTTCCACTCAAAATTTTTCAAAAGGATACTGAAAAGATTAGGAGTATAATTCAAGAAATAGAACTAAAATTGATAATGACTAGGAATTGTTTTAAGTGTTTCCAAAATAGGCATTAGGAATCTTTGAACATGTAGTGGCTGATTTGCAGAATCACCTTCTCTTTAGCACTCTAGTGCTACAAAAGTCAAAATATTACAAATTTATAGAAAATGAAAAAAAGATGCATCCTTGCAAAGACTAACCAAGTACCAATTATAATAATTATGGTTCCAGGGGTTGAATGTATCCAGTAAACACAAAGTTCCTTGTCACACAGAATTTATGATCAGGTGGGTGTAACAAAAGACATACAAAGAAATGCAAACAATATAACAGGACACACAAAGAAGTACATAAGACAAAACGTGATTATGAAGCATTTATAAGACTGGTAATGCAGGCAGGTTTTAGGTAGAGTAAAACAATGAATGACTTAAATACAGCAGGGCTATTAATAGAAGGATCAAAATCAGGGAAAAAAAGAGAGGTGGTAAGAAGCACCAAGAGTTTCAATAATTAATTCAGTGAATCATGAAAGTTCTCCAGACATGAACTGATTCTGAGCACTATTTTTTAATTGGATATCAGATAACTCTTTTTAAGTGGCAGCCTCAGACATTTCCACTCACAAATGTATTTGTACTTGCTGCCATTATAACATAGTTTCTCTTTCTGTAGGTGGTTTTTCGAGGAGGTGAAGGAGCTTTGCAGGTTTTACCTCCCCTGGTTGATGTCATTCCTGAAGCAAGGCTAAACTTAGTGATTTACTACCTTCGTCAAGGTAAGAAAAATTGGTCTTGGTCTTGCTTGTAATGAGATATTTTAGAGCATTTAATCTCTTATTGAACTACTTGCTTAACTTTTAAAATCCATAATATTTCCAAAACATATTTGCAGCATTTTCATAGGACAGAACAAATTTATTTGGTATTTATTAGTGCCTTTTCTCTTAATTCTTTCTACTCTTTTGGTGCTTCCAACCGTCTTCCTTATTCTTTTTTTTTTTTCCTATTCTTTTTTTCTTTTGTTCTCTACCTGTTCTATTTCAGTTCCCCATTATTTTCCCTCCCCTTATCTTCTCTCTTTTTTCAGTGTTCCCCTAGTCACATTTTCTCAAGTATTTCTTTTTGTCATTATTTGTATTTTATTTGCTCTGTTTTCCCATTTCTTTGTACCTTTGGCTTTTAATTAGAAATATGATTCAACAAGAATGTGGTATTTATTACCCCTAATTAAGGTTGAAGTTGTTAGACACATGTCTAAAGCAGTCTTTTATCTACCAGTGTGAGTGCAGGGCACAGCTACCATGCATCGGTGGTGGCACTCTGCCATGGACTCGGACTAACAGTGTGGGCCTTTTTAGGTGCATGGTAGAAACCAACCAGACAACATATTCCTCATCGAGGAAAATGTAAGTGTTTATTAAAATAAGAACATGAACTTGCAAACAGTTCTCTATTTGACCTATAAGCTCAAAGAAATATGCTTTTGGATAAAAGTTTAAAAAACATTTTATAAATTGATTTTTAGTATAAGAATTTTCAAACATAAACAAAAGTAGATATATAAACACCCTAGTCTTTATCTCAGGTTCACCATTTTCAAGATATTCCCTATCTTTTTTCATATATCCTCTTCCTCCTCTCTCTTGTTGCAGAAGTGTTTTTAAAGCAAACCCAAGACTTCATTTCACTGCTACATACTTAATATGTATATCTCTTTTAAAAAATGGTTGTCTTGGGGCCTCCCCGGTGGCGCAGCGGTTGAGCGCTGGGTTGCGAAGCTGCGCGCGGCCTCTGCGGCGCCGGTTCGATCCCCAGCTGCTCCCCGGCCACCGGAGGAGGGTCCCACATGGCGTGCAAACCTCTCCTGCCGCCCGCTGCTCCCCTCAGCAGTGTACTTCGGTCCTTCTGCCTGCTCTGCTCCCCGCTCTGGCTCTGGTGAATTCTCTCACCCTCCTGCGCTTCTGACTGTACCCAGTGCATGTATAAACAAAACAAACAAACAAACCAGCAAACAAATAAATAAAAAGCATGCCTCTATTAAAAAAAAAAAAAATGGTTGTCTTTTTTACATGACTACAAAGCCTTTGGTGTATATATAATACCTGGTTCATTTTCTTAGCTTGTATTTTTTTAGGTGATTCATAACTTAATACGTATTCCCTAAGGTTATTTGATTATCTTTAGAATAACTACTCAACATTAACCTTGATGGAGAGGACAGATAATGCAGATCAAATTTCCCACGAATGTTTGAGTACTGAAGGATCTTATCTTACAGGGACTGTTTGATAGAGTATGCCGGCATACAGTCTAGTATAGCTACGTATTTCTTATATTTCAGATGATGTACAAGAGGCTTATAACTTAATTAAGGATCTGGAACCCACTACTCCTCAGGTACTTGAGAATGTGTTACATTTTTACTAACTAAGTTATGTTAAAAGTAGAACTTTGGAATGGTAGCTGGAAAGCATGTTAGAAAAGGTTACTGGACTTTCCTATATACAGGAAAGTGTGTATATACTAATTTAGGATGGTATGTGAGACTTTTGTTATGAGAATAAATATTCTGGACTTTTTGATATATTTTTTTAAAGATTTCTTTCTTTATGCATACAAGAGATGGGGTACAGGCCAAATGGGCTCAGTGGTGGAGCCAGGGGTGTGTGAGAGGACTCACCTGAGGCAGAGTGGGAACAGAACAGGCAGACTGAAACACACTGCTGAGGGGAGCAGTGGGCGAGACAGGAGAGGTCTGCTTCACCATGTGGGTTGCTCCCTGGCGGGCCGGGGAGTGAGCTGGTGCTGCAGAGGCTGCGGATTGCTTCAGAGTGCGGTGCTTAATACCTTGTGCCACCAGGGAGGCCCAATTTTTTGATATTTTTCAAGCTCCTTTATGTGTAGTCATTTTTACAAAAGGGCTGAGATTTGAAAATACTGAAATATAGACTTCTGATGAAACAAACATCAAGGTTAGACTATGTTACTGATATAATTGTCTTGAACTTATCTTTCTCCCCCATTACATTGTCAGCTTGTTGTAGTCAGGGGCTGACTGTATTTTACCTCCTCTAGCACGCTAAGCTCATAATAGGCATTATACTTACTGAATAAAAAGACTGATTGAAAAATGTTTCAGAACCCATGAAGTTTAAACAAGTTTATTTCTCAAGTATATAAAAACTTTAGCATCTTTTTGTGCTATTCTTTCTATGAGTATTTTTATTAGCGCCCACATAAAATTGTTAAAGATGGTAGAGGGCATCACTTAAAGAATATATCATTTGAGGGCTTCTCTGGTGGCATAGGAGTTAAAGTCTCAGTGCTATCAAGCTATCGCCAGCCACTGCAGCACAAATTTGATCCCTGGCCAGGGAGTTGACCCACATGGCACAGCAGACCTCTCCTGTCTCAACCGCTGCTCCCCTCAGCAGTGTATTTCAGTAGATCTGCCTGTTTTGCTCCCCGCCTCTGTCTCTGGTGAATCCTCTCACCACTTTCACTTCTACCTACCCCAGTTCTTGTATGCATAAATAAATAAATCTTTAAAAAAAAAAAAATATATATATATATATATATATATCATTTGAAAGGAATGTAGGTGATGCCTTAGGACTCCATTTACCTTGCAAATGGAAATCCTGTTTTTGAAAAAAAAAAATCACTAGCAAAGGACTTATTATGTCATTGGAAATGGAATATAATACACATGATATTAATATGGCAATAGCTAATAAGATGATAAAAATTATCATGCAAACATGTTACTGTTAATTTTTTCCACTGAGTGAAAATAAAACTTAACTCCTGAAACTTTCCACTGAGTTATTTCTGCTCAAGATTGAGAATTTATAAACAAATGAATTCTGTTATATGGATACTTGCTTGCTGGAAACCAAATGAAAGTCCCCTAATTCTTTCATTCAAATTAAGGATAGAACAGAGAGAAGTGACTCTGGGTAACTTTGAATTATATGTATAAAATACTACATTGGTGTCAATAATCACCTTGAAAGGCCTCTCATAACTTCCTGTAAAATTAATTAGTGTTCTTGCCTGTTTCCAGGAGTATATCCTCAAAGGAGTGGTCAATGCAGCTCTTGGCCAGGAAATGGGCTCAGTGAGTATGAGTTCCCAGGTGCTCCATAGTTTGCAAGGCTAGAGCATGTAGAAAAGATCCAGACAGATGTCAAAATTCAACCAGCGGAAAACTTTCAGACAGGTTTTTCTTCAGGTCCTGGTGCTTTTCCATATCCCCAATCTAGATTCCATTGTAAAAAGAAATCCATGTTATTTAAAGACAAAACAGCCTTAACTCTAAGATGCTTTTTGTTTAAAGAGCCAATTTTTAAAGTGTTTTTTCCCCTAACAATAACTAAGTATTACATGGTTGCATTGTTATTTTAAAAAACTTTTTTTTAACCTTATACACCTCTGAGTTTTAATTTTGGCATCTGTAAAGTAGAGATAATTATTTCTCTGGAAAAGTGTTTCATAAATGCACTACAGTGCTTTCCAAAATTAATATCTTATTCATTGAACTATAGCATATTAGGTTCTTTTTGGAACCAAGTGAAGTATAAACTTTTTTTCTCCAGCTGACTTTATAGTGCCTCACATAGTAGATAGTTATTGAATGACTGAGTATTTATTAAATCCTCCTATTATAACCTATACAGCTCCTACCATGAGATTGGCTATATGGTAAAAGAGTAATGAATATTTGTTGAATGGATGAATGTGTAAATAAATACTTCTAGGCTAGAATTTGGATATTTCTCCTTTTCCATATGACCTGCATACATTTTAATTCAGTTTTGGTTATCATTTTCTAGTTGCTTATGCAATAAGAATCGGTATTGTTGGGGAGGATTTAAAGCAAAAGGTGTATATTAAAGCCTGACAAATGTTACAGGCATGAACTTTTATGAAATATTTTTAACTTACTCCTCTATATCAGCTCTGCTTTGTTTTTCAGAGGGATCATATGAAAATTGCCCAGCAGTTCTTCCAGTTGGTGGGAGGATCAGCCAGTGAATGTGGTAGGTCTGAAGTCTGTTTTTAGGAGCATGATGGATGCCTGGAGTTGGTTGCCATTGACCCTGTGTCCGGGTGTACTCCTGTAGACTTCCCGTCATAAAGTGTGAGGGCAGAAGCAGGAACGAATATTGGAATTAGCTCTTCTCAACATCTCACCTAAAGAAGGATGAGAGAATATATAAATAGTATAGAGAATAAATGTATTTTTAGTTCATGAGAGTGCGAAAAATTTGAATATGTTTTTTATTTGTATTGATTTTTTTTTTAAGATTTATTTATTTTTTTAATTTATTTATACAAGCACTGGGTACAATCAGAATCACGGGAGGGTGAGAGAATTCATCAGAGCCAGAGTGGAGAACAGAGCAGCCAGAAGGCCCGAAATACACTGCTGAGGGGAGCAGCAGGCAGCAGGAGAGGTCTGCACGCCATTTGGGACCCTCCTTCGGTGGCCGGGGAGCATCCGGGGATCGAACCGGCGCAGCAGAGGCTGCGGGCAGCTTCGCAACCCAGCACTCAACCGCTGCGCCACCGTGGAGGCCCTTAATTGTATTGATTTTTAAGAGCTGTTTATGTATTAAACTTTTGTCATGATATAGATAATTTTTCCAGTAGGTCATGTGCCTTTTAACTTTATATATGGTATTTTTCCCCTACATAAAATATTTAAATGCCTTTTAATTAAATTTATCTTTTCTATTTTGACATGGGTATCAAACTTAGAAAGTGCCTTTTTACCCTGACAGACATATTGTCCACAAGTAATTTTATGGCTTCATATTTTTTTTTTCAAGTACTGACCTCATCTGTCAAGAGTCAGTGTAATCTGATCACTGTGCTGGCAAGATGGGGATATATAAATATTATTTCAATTAAAAAATTTTTTTAAAAAAGAATGTAAGATTTGAGAAAGGGCTATAAAAAAGGTTGATAGTTAACAGTCTGAATTGATAAGGCTGTCTGTGTTTTCTGTCTTGAGTGCAGTCTTCATGTTCAACTGGCCATTCAATATTTGTATCATGACTAAATGTCCATTTTCTTTCAAATGTTTCACCGAACTCATTTAATGAATAAGATTTCCTTTTTGGGCCTCCCTGGTGGCTCAGCACTGTCAGGCTATAGCCAGCCATTGTGGCATGGGTGCCATGGGTTCAATCCTCGGCCAGGGAGGTGACCCACATGGCACAGCAGACCTCTCCTGTCTCGCCCGCTGCTCCCCTCAGCAGAGTATTTCGGTGAATCCTCCTGTTCTGCGCCCCACTCTGTTTTTGGTGAATCCTCTTACCCCCTGCATGTCTGACCTGTACCCCAGTTCTTGTATGCATAAAAAAATAAAATAAGTCTTTAGGGGAAAAAAGTTTTCCTTTCTCTATTCCATCCATTCATACAAGAATTCATTGTGGTGTTGGGAATACAGTAATAAAATAAATTTTTTAAAAAGTAAATAAAAAAAAAACTCCCTTTTTTTTTTAAAAAAAAAAGGCTCTACCCTTTTGAAGTATACAGTCTAGTGGGACAGACTACAAAAATAGTAAACGCATAGCTCATATAATACAGCTGACTGTGGTCATTGCTATGGGGGAGAAATTGAACAGAGTGAGAAGACTGGCACCAGTGGCAAGGGGGGGATTTACTAATCTGTTACCTCAAATAGGAATCTGATACCAGACCAAAAGTTGGGTCAGGGTCAGATGATTCCATGGAAAATTATTTTTCCACTTGAGATTGGAAGGGCTAGGTTTTCTTAAAAGAAGAATGATGGAGACCAAGCCACATTAGTTGAGTGTACAGATGTTAAAGTTGGGTGGAAGGATCAAAGCCCCGGAAAAAGATCTTGGGATACTGTATCCTGCAGGGCATGTGATCACTTGGTTTTGAGAGTTAACCCAAGAAAACTGGTCACTCTCAAGTACTGTGATCTCTGCTGTGCTGAGGTTTTGTCCACTGAACAGAATGTGTAATTTCAGTATTTAAAAGATGTCAGGGAATATATTCTGATCTCTAAATTATAAAATAACTCAAATTTCAGCTAAAAATAATTTTTAGTTTCATGAATACACATGATTTCTTTTCCCATTCTGTATCAGATACGATACCAGGGAGGCAGTGCATGGCTTCCTGTTTCTTCCTGCTTAAGCAATTTGATGATGTCTTGATTTACCTCAACTCATTTAAGGTCAGTAGAATTTTTGAGATGACTCTGTGTGCAAAATTCTATAATGTGTCGGAGATAATATACTCTTAGAAAACTCCCTTTTACTAATGGTGGCATTAGTTACATCCACTAATTCCTTAATATTATTTTTGTTGATCTAAGTCATGTTTTATGTTTTATATGTTAATACTCATGTGACTTGTTCTTGGGGTGTCTTTCAGAGTTACTTCTATAATGACGACATCTTTAACTTTAATTATGCCCAAGCCAAAGCTGCAACAGGCAATACCAGTGAGGGTGAAGAGGTGGGTACCTGCTTTTGAAGGTATTTCGATGTTTCTATCTACAAATATTGTTCTGCTTTTCCTCACTGAAATAATATCTTCAAGAATAAAGATTATTAAAAGTTCTTTTGTTCCTAAGTTACATTCATTTTTATAGCCATTTTAGTGTTTCCCTTTTTCATAAATTTTATAAAAGCATAACATACAGAGGGAAAAGTATAAACACCAAACTATGTAGCTTGATGAATTTTTAGTGTGAACATACCAAACAGTCAGTAATCAGGTCATGAAATAAAATGGTCAAAACCCTAGATACCCTCTTGTGTCCTTTTTGAGTCACATTTTCCCCCAAAAGCTAACCACTGTCTTGACTGTTCACTCTGTGAATTAACTTATCTAAATTATCAAAATAATTTAATTGAATTAGTCAATTTTGTTATTATTCAAAATATCACTCAAATTCTAAATATTTCCAGATTTCCATTATGGTTTCTTCTTTTTGAGTTAAAACATATTTCATGGTTTTCAAGTATGTGTGCTATCTCTTCCAGGCTATTTTGTTTTGATCTCTAGCTTGCTTGTATTGTGTCATAGAATATGACGTATATGGGCACTCATCTTAAAACGGCTTGCGGCTTTATTGCCCAATAGTGTGGTCACATGTGCTTGAAAAGTGTATGTATTGGGCGGTTGTTGATTGTTTCATTCACATCTTACCCTTAGTGACCCTTTCTCAGCTTGTGATATCAGTAACTGAGACGTGTGTGGAAGTCACTGCAATTTTGTCCCTCACTTTTCTTGGCAGTTTATTTAGAATTTGGTCATTATAATAATGGTCATTATAATAATTTGGTCAATTATTACAATGACCAAATTCATGGTATCTATTAAAAAAAAAGTGTGCTTTTTAAATGTATAAGAAATACACTGCTTACGCAGTTGCTGAGGTGAGAAAATGTGCTAGTCATTAATTTAAGGCAAGTTGATGTGGTTATTTTTACACCAAAAGCATCTTCATCTTTATTCCCTTTCTTTCTTTGTCTTGCAGGTTTTCCTTTTAATCCAAAGTGAGAAGATGAAAAATGACTACATTTACCTCAGTTGGTTAGCTCGGTGCTGTGAGTTACAAAAGAATCCTCTTTTTCTTCTCTATTACATACCATTTGGGATAGAAATTATGTTGCATATTTTCTAGTTTTGTTTTGCATTTTATTCTGTAGAATGAGCAAGCACTGGGCCTCCCCAGTGACGCAGCGGGTTGAGCGCCGCGCTGTGAGGCTGTTTGCAGCAGTGTGGGTTCAATTCCTGGACAGCCAGGGAGATACCCACATGGTGCGGCAGACCTCTCCTGTCAGGCCTGCTGCTCCCCTCAGCAGTGTTTTTGGTCCATCTGCCTGTTCTGCTACCTGCTCTGTCTCTGGTAAATCTTCTTACCCCCCACACCTCTGACCTGTACCCCAGCTCTTGTATTAAATAAATAAATCTTGTATTAAATAAAAAAAAAAAAAAAAGAATGAGCAAGCACTGAAAATAAGCATTGTGAAGGCTAGTCATAGGGTGGCCAGGAATGTGTGTTATGTGTTTGCCCTGTGGTTAGTTCTACCGTACAACACTGACATAGCATGTACAGTCCTGAAAGATGCCGGCTTCTCCCTCTCGCCCTGTCAAAGTTTCCAGAGCCTCAGTTTACAGTGTTTTGTTTTGTTTTTTTAAAATGATATTATTTTGCTGTTTTTATCTTTTCATCATGGTGCAGGTCTAAAAAATGCCAAACTGTCAAAACCATAATTTTTTAAATGCATTACATTACCTGTAGTCAATATTTGTTTATCTTTCTCTTGACTCTCTTTTCTACCTCCTTTTTTTCTCTTGAATTTAAAATGTTTACTGAGTTTTTGAGGTCACAGGAATATTTTAGCATCACATATCTAAATCAGGCTACAGATACATGAGTAGGATTGAAATCAATGATAGGTGTCCTCTTTTATGCAGATGAATAAAGTAGAAATGACTGGAAATCCACCCAATTTAAAGAGACAGAGTGATGTGAATCTTAACTTAAATATTGTCAGCGTGGTAGAGTTCTGATGGGGAGTCTCCCCCTAAAAGCCGATGGTGCCCTGTGAGGCAGCAGTTCACCATGACTTTGTGTATTTGGAACATAGAACCAAACCCATAGAACAACAAGATGCATAGTATTTCTCTTCTTTTCCTTCTTTTTTAAAGTGACTGGCATGTTTGTTTGTTTTTTCAATTGAGACATGGGCTCAGGAGTACATTTTCTCACCTCAGCAACTGCGTAAGCAATGTATTTCTTATACATTTAAAAAGCATACTTTTTTTTTTTAATAGATATCATGAATAAGAAACCAAGACTGGCCTGGGAACTTTATCTCAAGATGGAGACCTCGGGCGAGTCCTTTAGCCTCCTGCAGCTCATTGCTAATGACTGCTACAAGGTGAGTTTGAGCGGGACACTCATGAAACAGAAGATTATCACATGCTGCTTGGCTGAGTGTTAGGGGAAAGTGTCTGCTGGTGAGAGGACTGACATGGGGATTATCAGACGTCATTCCTTTCGTGAAAGAGCCAAACTCAGAGATCACAAGATTTCAGATTTTATATGCCAAGGAAATAATGAGTTAGAAGGAGGTTTAGATTTTCTAAAGCCTGTATATCTTTAGGTACCATCCAGATAGAAATATTCATCTGTCAGTGGAACTTTGGTTCTGAAGCTCAAGAAAGATGTTTTTTGACATCTAGAGACAGATTTGGAGAAATCATCAGTATTTCAGTAGTAATTGAAGAACTGAAAAATATGAGATTACCCCAGTAAGGAATTAAAGTGAAAAGAGTAGAGGCTGCAAACCAAACCTTGGAAATATTAAGGTGTAAACAGCAAAAGGAAAGATGAAAGAACTAGAAAAAAAGAGAATAAAGGGCCTCCCCTGGTGGCGCAGCGGTTGAGCGCTGGGCTGTGAAGCTGCCCGCAGCCTCTGCAGCGTCGGTTCTATCCCTAGCCACCAGCGAGGGTCCCACATGGCACGCAGACCCCTCCTGCCGTCTGCTGCTCCCCTCAGCAGTGTATTTCAGTCAATCTGTCTGTTCTGTTCCCCGCTCTGGCTCTGGTGAATTCTCTCACCCTCCTGCACTTCTGACTATACCCAGTGCTTATATAAAATAAATAAATAAATCTTTAAGAAAAAAAGAGAGAGAATAAAAAGCAGTCAGATTTAGTAAAGGGGGGATGGGAATGGCAAAGACAGGGAGGTAGGAGGAATTTGGACCCCTATCCTAGAAATTAAAAGCTTTTTTCAAAATTAGATTCAAATCTCAGAAATTCATATTTTTTAGAATATTCTTACCCAAAAGATAGGAAAGTATCAGTTAAAGAGAGTCTGCTGTAAATCAATAATAGCTCATTTCAAATTGATTCATTGTAGAAATAAAGTGAATCACCACCAATGGAAAAGATTTTAAAATATAGGAAACTTGAAAATGTATGAGTTGGTGGATGAAAATGATGTGAAATGAGTTGGGGAGGCAGAAGGAAAGAAAACATTAAGACAGCAACTGAGTTCATTTTGCAGTGTGGTAAGCCTGAAGTGTGTTTGTGGCTCCCAGAGAGATATACAACAAGTGGGCAATTATCGGGGTGAGAGATGTAGTTTAAAAGTGAGTAATAGTTAATGGTGCTGGTGGTGGTAGCTGCAGCGGAGTGTGGGAGACATGAGCCAGTGCATGGGGGGAGGAACCAGGTGGAACTCCAAGATTTAAGGAATAGAAATAGAAGAGTCAGAGAAAGAGGGAGAACATAAAAAGGGACAGAAAGGAAAGAAGAAAGTGAGGAGAGAGGAAAAAGTGCTTGTCATTACTCATTTTTTTATTCCTGCTTTATCAAAAACCAAGGAAGGAGAATGTTAGATCTGCAACCAGATGGAGTTGCATGAGGTTCAAGAAAACAGTAGTATGCAGAAACGAGAATCAGATTAGAAACGTGATTCAATGAATGATGTTACGAAAACCAGTCTTTGAAAAATGGATACTGGAGATATAAAGGAAAATGTGATGCTAACTTTAAAGGAAAAATGGTGTTAGGGATGGAGGCTGCTCGGTCTTTTATAATAGGAAGTATGAATTTTTCTGTAGGGCCTCCCTGGTGGCCTAGTGGTTAAGTCTCAGCACTCTCACTGCTATGGCCTGAGTTTGATCCCTGGCCAGGGAGCTACCCATATGGCACAGCAGACCTCTCCTGTCCCACCTGCTGCTCCCCTCAGCAGTGTGTTTCAGTAGATCTGCCTGTTCTGCTCCCCACTTTGTCTCTGGTGAATCCTCTCACCACCCCCACACCTCTGGCCTACACTCCAGTTCTTCTACACAAAAATAAAAATAAAATCTTTAAAAAAAATAAAGAATGTAATTTCAGGCAGAGGACAAGGAATCATGGACAGGGAGAGTAAAGATTCAAGAGAATAGGAGCAGTCTTGGTGGACTAAAGCCCTAGGTGAAGGAGAGGGCATGAGGTTAAGATCAAAGGAGGATAACAACTTTCAAGAACAATTTGGTGTTACCTAGCGCCTCTGTGTCCCACAGGCACCCACTAGTTCAGTGATTCACTAGATGGACTCATACAGTCCAGTGTAGAGTTATACTCGTGACTGAGACTCACTGCAGCACAGGGCCCAGGAGAATGACATGTACAGTGAAGATGAGAGAGGTCAAGGCCAGCTTTCCTGTGCCTGCTCTGTGCATCTTTCTCCAGCTACAAACTCCAGAGACATGTATGAGATGTCCTTGTCCAGGAAAAACAGGACAAAGAGAGAAAAATGGCCAAATTAAGTCCTAACAGTCTGAACAACCTAATTCAAAGACAGATATTTGGGGGAGGAGGGTCGGAACAAAGGGGAAGGGCCCTGTGGCCCAGAGTAAAAGACTGTGGGTGCTTTGATGGTAGAGGTGATATGGTAACATACACCCGACGTGTGAACCTAGTCCCCTAAATCTCACAGTGCTGTAAACCAATGTTACCTCAATAAAAAAAGAAAGAAAAAATAACCCAACTCAAAACAAAAATAAATGAAAGGTAGTTATTGACAGTAAAGAGCCGTGAGCAAAATGTATATGCTCTCTAGAAGAAATTGCTTCGAATGTAACAATATAGTTAGGTTGAAAGTAATAAAAGGATTAAAAAGATAGACCATGAAACAGTTTCTTTAAAACACAAAACATACACTGACTAGATGATCCCACAATTGAGCCTCTGGGCATTTATCCCAGAGAAATGAAAGCCTGTATCCACACAAATGCTTTTTCACAAATGTCAATAGCAGCTTTATTGTAATCACCACAACCTGGAAACAATCCAAGTGTCCTTCAGGAGGCAAAGAGTTAAACCATGGTTTGGCATGGAATGCTGCCCAGTAATTAAAGGGGAAAAAAGGAACTGTGATGATGAGTCTGACTCCATTTCTTGCTGTTTGGCTGCTAATAAATTTTAACCTTTACCCCTTCGTATTTCTCTCATGCCCTACATCTGGAGAAAATGATAAGAATGCTTGGCACCCCACCCCCATTTCTGGAGCCATGCCATCAAGTGATTAAAACCACACAAGCCCCTACCCGAGATCAAGAGCTCTCACCCAGCTCCACCCACACTGAAAAACCCGGCCAGTTTTCTTTTCATGTTCCCAGGTCAATTTGGACTTGTTTATGAGACCCGTCCTGCTCTCCCTGGATACCTCAATTATATAAGTAAGAAACCTTTTCTTTTCCCTAAAGATTTATTTTACTTATGCATACAAGAACTGGGGTGTAGGCCAGAGGTGTGGGGTAGGGGAGTGAGAGGATTCACTAGAGACAGAGTGGGGAGCAGAACAGGCGGATCTACTGAAATACACTGCTGAGGGGAGCAGCACGTGAGACAGGAGAGGGCTGCTGTGCCATGTGGGTAGCTCCCTGGCCTGGGATCAAACTTGTGCTGCAGTGGCTACAGATAGCTTCATAGTGCTGAGACTTAACCCTTTGTGCCACCAGGGAGGCCCAAGAAACCTTTACACACCCTTTTGGTGTGTGTGCAACATCAACATTTTCAACATCCAAACCAAACTTGGGATGAAGGCCCCTCTTCCCTTTGCAGGGTTACATAATCAGAACAAATATCATGCTGAATAAAAAAAAAGGTCCCATACTACTTGATTCCATACACTTAACATTTTTAAAATGTCAAAATGACAGAGATGTAGAACAAATTAGTGATGGCCAGGGGTTAGGGCTGGTGGGCAGGGAAGGTGTGCAGTTAGGGGTAGCATTTGGGAAGTCTTTGTAGTGATGGAGCAGTTCTGCATCTTGATAGGAGTGTGCTTAGTGGTTACATGAAGCTAAGCATTGGAAAAAATGACAGGACTATACACACAGTGTAGCAATATCCATTTCCTGGTTTTGATATTGTGATATACTGGAGTTACTAAGGTGGGGGGGAACTGGGAGAAAGGTACATGAACCCTGTGTACTATTTTTGTAACTTCCTGTAATTCTGTATTTTAAAATAAAAAACATTTTAAATTAACTGACAAAAGTTGTACTCAACAATGTAGATGAATCTTACAAACATATAAAAGATACAAAAGAATATTTGAGAGTATTGGTTCATAAAGATAAAATTCTAGGGACCAAACTCATATCATGTATATATTGGGAAAAAAAGATGTGTGCATAGATGAGAAAATTATCAAAAGTCAAAGAAGTGATGACCATGAAGTATAAACAGGAGTTACTTCTGGAGGCAGTAGGTTGTAGTCTGGAAGGGGCACACAGGGAGCTTCTATTCAGCTGTCAGTGTTTTGTTTCTTTTTTTTTTTAATTGTTTTATTTTTTAATTTTATGTATTTTTTACATCATTTTTCATTTTTGCACAATGTATGCATTTTCATCTTGGTTATAGTCCCCATACAATTCCCACCCCTCCCTGTTTTGATCCTACTTCCTCCTCCCCACCAGTGTTTTCTTTCTTGACCTGGACTATGGGCACATTTGTATTCACATAAATAGTCTTTTTTTAAAAAAAGATTTTTTATTTATTTATGCATACAAGAACTGGGGTTTAGGCCAGAGGTGTGGGGGTAGGGAGTGAGAGGATTCACCAGAGACAGAACGGGGAGCAGAACAGACGGATCTACTGAAATACACTGCTGCAGGGAGCAGTAAGCGAGACAGGAGAGGTCTGCTGTGCCATGTGGGTCAGCTCCCTGGCCAGAGATAGAACTTGTGCTGCAGTGGCTGGCGATAGCTTTGTCTTTAGCCCCTGTGCCACCAGGGAGGTCCTCCACATACTTTGTCATTAAACTGGGGCCTCCCTGGTGGCCTAGAGGCTAAGTCTCAGTACAATCACCTGTATGGCCAGAGTTCAATCCCCGACCAGGGAGCTAACCCACATATGGCACAGCAGACCTCTCCTGTCTCACCCGATGCTCCCCTCAGCAGTGGATTTCAATAAATCCACTGTTTCTGCTTCTCACCTTGTCTCTGGTGAATCCTCTCACTCCCAGCACCTCTGGCTAATAAGCAAAAGAAAAAAAACCCTAATGAATAATATTGAAAAAATAGTCATTGAACTGTATATTTATGTTTCATGCATCATTTAACTGTGTTATTTCACCCCCTTGGAAAAAAATTTAAGAGAACTCAGGAATAAGATTAACCTCAAAAAGGTATCAGAACACTTCTTCCTGTGAGACAGGCAGAAAAGAAGGAAGGATGAATGAAAATTATAGGTATTGTTTGAACTGAAAGGAGGAAAGTTGTGGTGTCCCTATAACGCATAGAAAAAAGCTAAGCAAAGAATGCAATAGCGATCTGAGGAAATTGAAGGCGGTTTAGAGCAATAGTTTATAGGAATGGAGAAGTAACTAAACCACACTGGGTAAAGAGGCTAGCCTAGCTGTTCGAAGCCTTGGTGAAATTGGTAACACTGTATATTTTTGATTGCCAGTCAATAAAACTTATCTAAGCAAAATTTAATGATATTTTAGCATGTTCAACATGCTCAATCAGGCTAAGGAACTGTGTAGTCTGTTTGGGAAAGGTGTGTGTCAAAATGAAATAAATGTTTCAAAGATTTGTTGGTGTTTAGAGTGGCAGTATAGATCTAGGAATGCTGAGAATTTTTTTTTTTTTTTTTTTTTTTTTTTGCGTAGAACTGGGGTGTAGGCCAGAGGTGCAGGGGGTAAGAGGATTCACCAGAGACAGGTGGGGAGCAGAGCAGATGGATTTTTGCTGAAATATACTGCTAAGGGGAGCATTGGGCAAGGCAACAGAGGTCTGCGGCACCCTATATGGGTCAGCTCCCTGGCCAGGGATCCAACTCAGGCAGTAGTAGTGATAGTGCTGAGACTTAACCCCTAGGCCACCAGGGAGTCCCATGCTGAGAATTTTGGAACAAGATGAGTGAAGCACCATACTCTTGGGTTGAACATGATCAAATTAATTAATATAAAATGAATGATGGTAGTAACCTACAGAATGTATTGAGGAGACCTGAAATATGACCAGTTCGTATCAGTCATCAGAGTTTATCCTCAGGATCAGAATTAGAAGAAATGACCAATACGACTACAGCAAAACTTGACTGTAGATAGAAAAAACATTGTTGAAAACTGAATAAAGGGCCTCCTTGGTGGTTCAAGGGTTTAAGCACCGCACTATGAAGCAATCCACAGCCTCTGCAGCACGAGTTCGAACCCCCGGCCGGCCAGAGAGCAACCCACATGGTGCAGCAAACCTCTTCTGTTTCGCCCACTGCTCCCCTCAGCAGTGTGTTTCAGTTTGTCTGTTCTGTTGCCCGCTCTATCTCTGGTGGATGCTCTTACCCACCACATCTCTGGCCTGTACCCCATTTCTTGTATGCATAAATAAATAAATCTTTAAAAAAAAAACTGAATAAAGGTAAGATGATTTATATTAAACCATGTTACCTAAACTATTTCCTCTTTGTTTTAGAGGGAATTTAAATGTATCTAATTTTCTAAGTGAGTTTTGTCATTACCCACGCAGTGGTTTTATAAGTTCTGTTTTATGTTTGGTTTATGTTTGGTTTCATTATGTACAATTACCCCCATACTTTCTTTTACTCAGATGGGCCAGTTTTACTATTCAGCCAAAGCATTTGATGTCCTAGAAAGACTGGATCCCAACCCTGAATATTGGGAAGGCAAGAGGGGTGCCTGTGTGGGCATTTTCCAGATGATCTTAGCTGGGAGAGAACCAAAGTAAGTGAACAATAAGAGACACTACTACCTCTGGGTTTGCTGGTTTGCGAAGGAACAGCATTGTTTTCTGAGATGACATTTTCTTCTGAAAACTCAAAATTATAATGTTTTAGAATGGCAGTAAAAAGATTGAGAGTTTTATAGTTCTGTCTGGCCTTTTTCCTCCAGGAATTTTTTACTTTGTAGAATCAGATCATTCTAAAGCATATATTCTGGGGACACTGTACTATAGCGCTCTAAGAGCAAGATGTAGATTTGGTGCCAAAAGTGTTGCCCTTTTCACAAAATCTTTTTTCAGTCTCTTCTTTACCTATTGACTTTTTTGTGTGTCTTTCCATTTTAACCTCAAAAAATTAGGAATATGGTGGATAATTCTTTTTTTTTTCTTTTGCATTTTCATATCCCAAAAAACATTGAGACATTTGATTGCATACAATCAAGTGGCTTATAGCTCTCTTTGTGGCAAAAGTTAAAATATTTAAGACTAAGTTCAGTTTTCTAAAAATAACAATGGAACATATTTGTTATTAATGTACAGATAGGAAATGTGACTGTCTTCTAAGTAAATGCTAAAAATTATTTCCTGAAAAAGAAAAAAATTGCTTACTGCCCTGAGTCTACTTCCAGTCCTAGATAAAAATTTAAAGAATTTGATTGGGTGAAAGAGATTTCTTGTGGGGAAAAAAGTAGAAAATATGAGAGAACCTTAGGGAAAAGACACAGATCTGATAAGGTAGTAGGGATGTTTTTGTATGCATTACTGAAAACATGAATTTTAATTTTAATTAAATTCAAATAACTTAAAACATAAATATCCGTTATGTTTAAAACATAAATAACCTTTATGATATCCTTAACTGTCCTCTCATCTGTATTTATTAATGTATTATTTTTCTTGAAGAACACATTCATTTCTCTGCCTTTGTAAAATTTTACAAATATGGTAGTACCATCCATTTTTTTTAATGGGAAGGAACTTTAATACAATTAGGAAACAATACAGAAAAGGCAAAGAATATAGTTTCTAAATCAAGCACCCAAAGTGACCCGTCCCCTCGTGGGTAAAAGTCCACCCAAGCAGGATTGGCCCAGAGCAAGGCCCCAAAGCCTGGCACAAGTCTAAAGCACCTTCCAGTGGGGACCCACAGAAAAGGATCAGAAACCACCAGACAAGTCTGGAGGGAAAAGAGCAAAATCAAAAGCAAGACAAAAACCACCACTGTCACCTCCCCACGGGTCTCTCACCCACGTCTGTGTCACCCAGTCCACGACCACAAGGCAAGTGCAGTTTCTTCACGTGTCTCTCAGCTCCATGTGCCTCCTCCAGCTCTCCTTGTGGCTCCATCCTGCTTCCTCCTTCCTCAGTCTCCTCTGTAGCTCCTTCTCTCCCTACTCAACTGTAGCCTCCTTTTGGTTGTGGCAGGAAACCTGGAACCTTCCCTTTTCCTGGGGATCATCCTGTTACAATCCCCCCTTTTAATTTTTATTCCACCATATGTATGGTGGCACAGATCTCAGGGTGTAGTCTTAGGAGACAGTCATTTATCACACGAGTACCACCCATTTTAAGATGATTATCATCTTCAACAAAGGAGAATCTACAACTCAGAGAAATCAATGTCTTGTTAGTACAGATCTAGAATGAGAACCCAACTCCTTGATATGCTCTTTTTCTAGAGGCAAGATAGACATGGAAATACATGTGTCATGTTAGGGAGGTCAAAAAGATGAACAGTATATATGTAAACCATACAAGTAAACAAAGACAATTTGGGTTGATAAGAAGGACAGCACAGAATTTCCATTTTACCATGGAAATAGTAAGAAGACTAGGAAGTTGGTAACTGGTTTACAAATACATAGTGAGAAAGTATATTAGAAGTGCCACATTAGAAGTAAATGAACTGTTGTTACAGTGTGTTTTACTTGTTCATTTTCATTCTTTATTGAAAAACTATACTTTCAAACATTTTCCTCAGAGAGACCCTTCGAGAAGTACTCCATTTACTGAGAAGCACAGGTAACACCCAAGTAGAGTACATCATCCGGATCATGAAGAAATGGGCCAAAGAAAACCGAGTGCCTGTCTAAGATAACTCCAGAACCTTAGGGGCCAGCCACCACTTTGACATCATACTGGAAACCATTTGCCTCCAGTTTAATGTAAGATGCAGGACTCTATTATATTGACATGATCCTTCCTTGCTATTCAAGCCTCAAGATAGTGAATGACTTTCTTAGACCTCACCTTTTGGCTGAATTAAGTGCCATGGTCTGTACTGTGGCCCCTGTGTGATACGACTAGCAATACGACTTTGGACTTGTCTGGTGCCTTTCTTCCAAAAGTGCTCGGAGTACTGAGTCGTTAACTGACCTTAAGGAGAACAGCATCACTTTGCTCTGTTAGCATTCCAAGGCATTTTCTCCTAGCTGCAATAACAGATGCCTTGATGCTCCAGAGTCCCATCGTTCTGTCATCTTATCTCAGCTGTCTCTGTACATTATCCTGCTTTACTGCGGAGCTCCATAAAGAGTTTTGCAATGCATCTCTGACTCCTGGGAGAGCAGAAATTACACATAGTTTTATGATTCTGAGAATGGCAGTAAGAACCTTTATCAAACTGTTCAGTCATTAGAGGATAATAGGCTTATGGGATTACTCTTTCAGTAACTGATTCCTGGTGATAATAACACGTTACAGTGGAGTAACATGTGGCAGCTTTTAATAGGTGAGTACTATGGAAAAAAAAACAACTGTATGACGCATTTAAAGATATTCAGGAAACAAAGTTTATGAATTGCTGTAGTCACTTCTCTAGAATACTCTAGGTAACAAATCAGATTAGCTTTATCTTTATCTATCTTGTTGAATAAGCACCAGTTTTGAAAGTAGGATGACAGATTACATGTATGCATATGACATGTATGTATTATGTATATTCATGTGGCCATTACAGCAGTGATGCTGAGACACAGGTTGTGTGGAGCCCTTGAAGCAACCTAAAGCCTGGACTCTGTCCTATGTCACCTTCGAGTACTGCATTTCTGCGCACTGCCAACATAAAATCTAATTTACAACTGAGCTAGACTCATAACCGATTTTCAGAAAACAGACCCTTATCTTTTTACATACCAGATTACTGTTGTTTCTACACAATACAATTTCTTTCTATTAGTTCAGAGCAGTACCCAGAATTAACAGGGTAGAAAGTGCAGTGTCATCCCTATCCAGCATGACACCTGAAGAAAAATCATCATTCTTTGAAGCACTAAAGACAGAATTCCTGCAAGCACAGCCTCGGTTGTTCCACTGACTCCCTTAAACGAGGAAGTTGTATAGAATGGAGAGCAGCTAGGGAGAGAATGTTCACAACCAGAAGCCTTGGTTTCTGCATGGCTGCAAAGGGTTCTTTGAGCTCTACTCAGGCAGAAGGCCAGTTTTCCTAACTTTTATCTTAGTCCTAGTTCTAATCAATTCACAGCACAAATCAAAATAAGGTCACCCGCACAACTGCGTTTTAGAAAACAAAGTCACATCATTCTTCATAGACCAAAGCTTCTGTTTCCTCATTATGTTGTTCCTACTTCAATAATTGATTCTTGACATCTATGGTAATAGGTGGGCCAGATCTGGGCAGAACCTGCTATATTTAGAATCCTTCTTGTGACTGTTACCTCACTTAAAATGTTAGGAAACATAATAGTGAGAAAAGACAGATGGAACTCCACAGTGGCTTTTGGCAATGAAATCTGTCTTCCATTTAATTGCTATTTCAAATTTACTATATTTGCTATTTCAAATTTACTATATTTCTCACTGATGATAATTTACCTTTACATGAACTTTTGTTGAATTTAACACTAATTTCTCACTACTATTTTCTTTTTTTTCTGGGGGCGGGGGGGAATCAGATATTCCAAAAATAACAATTCCCAGAATTTTAAGGCTAATTTTCAAATCCTTTTTAATCTACAGAATTGAGCTAAAAAAGCTTAAAGACTAGTTTAAGAGAGATAGCATTCAATTCTGTTATTAAGAATAATGACTTCTGAAATGTCTTGGCAAGGCCTCATGATTACAGAGTAGTGTTGCACAGCTGTTTTTCTTACACGTGATGGTATTGTAGGAGGGGAAGGCCCTGGCTTAGGGCTATAGTGTGATGTCTACAATTCAGAAATCAATGTTCTATTTATAGTCTGTAGCAAATGTTACTTGCAAACAAAAAAAAAATTTACACTTATTTTTGTACTTTGAAAGAATTATTATATTCTATTGTAATATATTCAAATTAAAGTTTATTATTTGGTTCTCATAATGGTATTGTGTTGAGTGTGGTAAGTGTGAGTCTGGGGTACATCATGTACCTTTCTCCCCTAACCCAAGTGAAGAGGAAAACAGGTATTCCCTCAGAAGACCTGCTCACTGTTTGTGTTCAGTCATAATAGTTTTGCCTCTGCTGAATGAATCACAGTGCATTCTAGAAGTTGTGTGACCAGTGCATCACATAATACCTTGTACACAGAAAGCTCTCACATGCTTGTTGACTGAATAAGCATATAGTAGCTGCTAAGTCAGGGAACTTGTGAGATCTGACTATATATATCTATGCATCTAATCTATCTATGTGTGTATATTATATATTATATATCAGATATCATATATTATATAATATAAACATTTATTATTTAATATGAAACAGGCTTCAGGACTTCATTCTAGATAGTGGTAGCAACAGATGTTATGGCAGGGAATCCAGATGTTTAAACAGGAATGGAATTAAGGATCACCATTGCTTCAAGCTCAAGAAACAATTTGCTTTTGCCAGATTTCTTTGTTGTACTTGTGGCCAGGAGGACTTTGCCTGCAAACTTCACTTTCAGCATCTCAAGGTTCTTCTGCTCCTCTTTCTGTTTCTGCTTGAATGCTTTATGCTTTATCTTCCTCATTCATCTCTTCTGCTTCTTGGGCTGCTTCAAGGACTCCATTTGCCCTTTTCACAGTTGAACGTAACACCTGCTGCCCCTTCCCCCAGCCTCTGCCACTGGACTCCTGACCTTATATATTCTGGCTCCCATCTAGTTCTTTCATTGTGTGCCAAGCATATGGTAGGTGCCAGGGTACAAAGATAAATAATGCATAGCCCTGACCCTTAAGGAACTCAGGTTAACCAGTCTATACAACTAAGCACACTCATGTGACTGTCATTTTCAGTAGGAACAAAGTACTGAGAGAGAAAATAAGGCAATCGGAATGTTTGTGTCCATATAAATGGGATACATCCTGCCTCAGTTGGGACAAACAGTCAGAAATGCAGCAGCTCAGAGATGCCCAGCTCCTGCCTTGTGTGCAGCACACACAGCAAGCGTCCAAGCACACAGAGCTGAAGGATTGCTGTCCTTTCCTGCCTTGGTGCCCCTCAAAAGTGGCAAGTAGGGTCCTCCCTGTGGCACAAGAGGTTAAGCGTTAGCCCTATGAAGCTATCCGTAGCCTCTGCAGCACGAGTTCGTTCCCCAGCTGGCCAGGGAGCTGATCCACATGACGCAGCAGACCTCTCTTGTCTCGCCAGCTGCTCTCCTCAGCAGTATATTTCAGTAGATCCACCAGTTCTGTTCCCAGGTCTGTCTCTGGTGAATCCTCTCTCCCCCTCACCCCCCATACCTCTGGCCTGCACCCCAGCTCTTATGTACATAAATACATAAATCTAAAAAAAAAAGTGGCAAGCAAGTGGGCAGTGTATCTACTTTCTAGCGGCAAAGTGACTGACTTTTTCTATGTTTAGATGGCTAGTCATCCCCCTTATATGTTCAAATAGTGCTCTACCTCTGTAGAGACGCTGTCAGGGAAACTGAGAGACCTGATGATGTGCCTATCTCCACCTTGACTCTGAGCAGAGGAATATGTGAAAGGTCTGAGACAGCACACGATAAAACACGAGACAAATACAATCAGCTGGTGGGTGTGTACTGAGTGTGTAGTGTATACAATAGTTTGCACTTTTTCAAAATATGAAATCCCTCTAAGTTAAACTTACATGCCAAATGCAACTAGGGCTGTCAGTAGCCTCCTAGCTGAACCTCAGGTGAAAAGGCTTTGGGTGCCCGGGATTTAGTTTCTACTGTGTGATGCATTTTATCTGATTTATTGTAATTTTTGTATATTCATTCTTATATTCATGTATATTTGTTCAGTTATATGTCCCACTGTGTTTCAGAAAAGATTTGAGATAAATTACATATATGGATACATAACAAAATGTGGCTAGAAGACATTTAAAAGTAAAGGAAGCCAAGAGTAAAGTCAATACACAGAAATACATGCCAGAATTACTTATAAACAGGCCAGAACTATACCTTCAAGCTTCCTACTAGCCAAAGCAAAAGGTTAAACACAACCAGACACACAATCCACAGTCCCTCTGGGTGAATGAGTTCCCTAAGGGGAAGAGCCCTAATTTCTCAGTGATCTCTGATTATCTGTGGCTTCTGACATAGGCTTTCTACATACTAACTTAGATATAACTATATGCTTAACAAAAAGTTCAAGGGCATCTTATTGCTGCTTGAGACATGGGCAGGTATTTCTCACTGTGTACTGTTAAGTAATTATATTTGCCCGTCCATTTTTAATTTCCTCTATAAACATAATTATAGTCATCTTTGCTAGTTTTTGACTGAGGAGTAGTTATTAATATGGTGGAGCTGAGACATGTGATTCAAGTTTTTAAATTACAAGGATAGGATGAAAATATGGTAACAGTGACCTATAATTGCAAGGTACTATAGAAGCAATAAAGTGATGGGGTAGGAGAGCTTATACATTCACTGAGGAAACACAACTAGAAAGTATAGTGGAATAAGTTAAATAGAAAAAGCTATATTGGGGAAGTGAGTCTTTTTTTTTTTAATATTTATTCATGCATACAAGAACCGGGGTAAGGCCAGATTTGCGGGAGGGTAAGAGGATTCACCAGAGACAGCGCGGGGAACAGAACAGGCAGGCTGACTGAAATACACTGCTGAGGGGAGCAGTGGGCAAGGCAGGAGATGTTTGCCTCGCCATGTGGGATTCTCGCAGGCTGGCCGGGATCGAACCCGTGCTGCAGAGGCTGCAGACAGCTTCACAGTGCGATGCTCAACCGCCTGCGCCTCCAGGGGTGGCCCCGGAAGTGAGTCTTGAGTTGAAAATTGAAGTATAAAATTTAACGAGGTAGGGAATAAATTAGCAATCATGTCAGATGAAGATAACAGAGTAGTGGAGTCATGAGTAATATTTACAGACATTTAATCTTCAATTGTTCCTATTTATTTATATAGAGACATAATCTGGTCCTTGAAAAAAAGCCTGATTTTATTTGTAAATGTGTCGTTTCATGCTATGACTGGGCAATTCCACTCCCAGGTACATGAGAGCGTGCTGTACATGCTCAGGAGGGTTCCTGGTGTACAAGCACGATCGTCACAGCAGTGTCCCCAGGAAAAACCTGGCAACAAGCCAAATACAACAACAGGAATGAAACTTAGCAATATTGCTTACAACAATAACTTTATAAGTTAATGACAACTCAAATGTAAGTATTTCATCAAAGAGAAAGTAGGGGAAATATGAGCACAGAAATTAGAGTTAGTGGTTATCAGGAGTGGGGAGTAGGCAGGGGCTGGGTGGAAAGATCACACAGGTAGATGTGTTATCCTCAAGGTTCTAGTTCCCATGTTGCATGGGGGTTATACCTTAATAAAAATCAGCTAAAGAAATATAATATTAAAAATAAATTATAATTAAAGAGGGTCAACAGTGAGTGTATGTTTTGAAGTAAAAATTATGACCAACCAAATCGTGTGCAGTTGAGGTAAAGCCAAAAAATAAACAGCTAGAAGGAGTAATTCTAGTCATACTCCTAAATGGAAAGCATGATGATCTTCAGATAGTGGAATTAGGTAACTCTACTTCATATTCTTATTTTTTTCCATATTTTCCAGTTTTTCGACAATGGGCACATTTATTTGTATATCAGGGAAAAGACATTAAAACACTCTAAAGACTATGTTTTACAACCAAAGAGATCTTCAATTTACACCTAACAAAATTAATAATTCATTCATCTCATCTAATACCCACCCCCCCTCATTCAGAGTTCCCCAGTGGTCTCCAAAATGTTTTAGAATGAGGATCCAAACTAAATCCAACACTGCACATAGCTGTCATGGCCCTTAGACTTATTTTTTTTAATAGACTTCTCCCCTCCACTCCCACTCTTCCCTAGGTCATTGATTTGGGAGAAACTTGGGTCATCTGACTTGTGAAATGTTCCACATTCTGAATTTGGTTGACTGTTACTTCGTCTCATTATTGAACTTGTTCCTGTATCATTCAGATTACCTTTGAACTGTTACTTACATCTAGCCTGAGAAGATTCAGGTTTATGTTTCTTATAGGTTGATGAATGCATTCTTTTTTTTTAAGATTTATTTATGCATACAAGAGCTGCGGTGTAGGCTAGGGGTGGGGGTGTGAGAGAGGATTCACCAGAGACAGAAGGGGGAGCAGAACAGACGGATCTACTGAAATACACTGCTGCAGGGAGCAGCAAGTGAGACAGGAAAGATCTGCTGTGCCATGTGGGTAGCTCCCTGACTGGGGACTGAATCATGCTGCAGTGGCTGTGGATAGCTTCACAGTGCTGAGACTTAACCCCTTGCACCACCAGAGAGGCCTGCAATCTAAATTTCTTTTTTTCACTTATATTTGACGGCAGGAAATACAGAGGTAGAAGTACCTGTTGTGAACTGACATTCACCAATTTGGTCATGATCCACTCAAGTTCTTTTTAGTACATATGTATAGCCACCAAGATGTTTGAGGTGAGTCAAATTTGGATACACTCCATAGCCTTACTACCAAATTATAATGACGGCATCTCTCAGACTAAGTTTTTAAACTACACATTTATTAGCAAGCAAGACCAAAATAACCCATATAGTCCATTTTGAAGTTCAGTCAAGTTCCAACCATTTGTTCTTTTAAGTGTTCCAACCCTACTTTACATGAAAGCTTCATTCTGAGCAGATGAGACAACATTCTAGAGAAAGGAGTCAGCAAACTAGAAAAAGTAAGTACCGGATAACAAGTATGTTAGATTTTTCAGTCCAAAAGGCAAAGTTGATAGTTTCATGGAGCTCTGTATATGAATGAAAGAAAATAAATGTCCCCTGAATTTTATTGATGAAATTCAAAATACAATAATAAAAATAACAGTAACCAACTATGGTTTTTGTAAGACAGGTCTATTAAAGAGAATAATAGAATTCTTTCTCCAGGGGGTTTGAACAGCTAAGCCTTTTTCCACATGTATTTTTACCATCATTCATTTTAACACATGTGAGCAGAATCCACTTCAGTTTGTTTTCAAAACTTTGAATATATCTTGCCTGCAGTTCCACACAAACTGTTCATAGATGACAATTGTTCAGGTACTTCAAACTTGGCATTAACTCCTTGAGTAAATAACTGAGCAGTATAAATCTGCCAGGTCATCAAGGGCAAAGAAGTACTTCCGGTACCAGACAAAATGAATTACCCACATTTCACCCTGTTCTTCCTACTAGTTAGAAGAAAAAAACCTAGGACAAAATTAATAAAGCAACAGACAGAAGATCTGAAAGGTGGAGAGAAAAAAATGCAGACTGGCTGGGGACTTGGGACTAGAGGAATGTCCCAGTACTGATCTACTCTTAAAAATGGATAAAGGAAGTTCTTCAGACAGAAGGAAAACAGAAGGAAAGTTTTTTCATTCCTGAAGAGAAATGAAAAGGGACAATGTAGGATAAATAGACCATTTGCCTGCTCTTGATTTTTCATAATTATGTTTGATGGTTGAAAGCAAAGTTTATAACATTGTCTGTTGTGCCTCTCAGTGCATGTAGAGGTAATATTTAAGACAAGTGTATCACAAAGGAAAGAGTAAAGAGCTCTAAAAGGTAGTAAGTTTTCTTCAGTCTATCTGAAGTGGCAAAGTGTTGATATTAGTAGACTTTGAAAAGTAACATTTATTTTGTTAAGACCAGAGCAGCAGCCACACACAAAACTATCCAGAGATATACTATAAATACATCAAAATAGAGTGCTATAAAATGCATAGAGTGGAAAAGAAAAAATAAAACTTCCTATTTTCAAGATGATCACCTATGTTGAAAATCCCAAGGAATCTACCAAGAAATACCCTGGAACTAATAGGGGAATTTGACAAGTTTGCCACATGCAAGATAAATACATGCAAACTGTTATATTTCTCTATACTAGCTATGTACCTATGGAAACCAATCTTAAAAACACCATACCATTTATAAACAGTAAGAAAATGGGGCCTCCCTGGTGGTGCAAAGGGTTAAGACGCAACTTATGAAGCCATCAGCAGCCACTGCAGCACGAGTTCGATCCCCGGCCAGGGAGCTACCCACATGGCGCAGCAGACCTCTCCTGACTCGCCTGCTGCTCCCCTCAGTAGTCTATTTCAGCGGATCCACCTATTCTGTTCCCCACTCTGTCTCTGGTGAATCCTCTCACCCCCCAGCACCTCTGGCCTGTACCCCAGTTCTTGTATGCATAAATAAATAAATCTTTAAAAAAAATGAAATACAAAAACCAACTCCTGAAATCAGACAAGAGCTGTCGCTTCCAGAAAGGGTGTAAAGGGAGCAAAGAAGCCTATGGAATAATCAATTCCATCACCATCCTCATACGAATAACTAATAGAAAACCAAAAAATGGAAACCCTCAAAATTCGTCTGTGACGTCACACCGATTTAGCGTCACCAATAGGTGATAATCCGGTTAATGTAATTCAGAAAGCACGGCTTCCCTTCCTAACAGGGAGCGCGAGTCCTCAAAATCACTTTCTACTGAATGAAAGGAGACAGCCGGTTCTCTCTCTCTCAACGTGAATTCCGGAGTGTGCCCACAGGTGTGCCCCAGGTGTGCTCACAGGTGTGCCCACAGGTGTGCTCACAGGTGTGCCCACGAGGCGCGCCCGTCGAGGCTCCCCCGCCGCCGAGGGCTTATTCAGCCTTGGCCTCTCGGGGCACGCTCCCCAACAAGCCACCAGCCCTCTGGAGAATTTTCTGTTCATTTCGACAGCCGAGGCTGCGGGACCCGGCCCAGGCCTGCGCACTCGCTGCTCCATGTCCCGGGCAACGCGGCACCGGTTGCCGCACACCGTGGCCGCCGCGGCCGCCCGGGCGAGCTGGGGGCCCCGGGGTGGCGGGCGAGGCCCGCGGCGGGGGAGGCCGCCCGGCGAGTCCGGCAGGAGGAGCCATTTCCTGTCCGCGTCGGCCCCGGGTCGGCTCGCGCCCCCCGACTCCCCTCTCCGCCCCCCGCCCCCCCAGGCTCCAGGGCGGGGCGGGAAGCGCGGCCGGGCCGGCGGGCGCCATCACCAGCCCCCGCCCGGGCGCATCCCGGCGTCGCCCTTGGCGAGCCCCGCGCGCGCCTCGGGTTTCCGGGTGCGAACAGGAAGCCGCTCGGGAAACCCCAACCCCCTCCCTCCTCGGGACGGCGCAGATGGCGTCCCCGTTTCTAGGGAAACCGCTCCTGCCGCACGTCACTTCCGCCGACCTGTCCGGACTCCCGGCCGCGGGGAGGCGAGGAGGAAAACCGAGCCGCAGCCACGACGGTGGACGCGAGCGTGTCGGGTCTGCGCATGCGCCCGCTCCGCGGCCTGCTTCTATTTATGTGGGGGATCCAACATGGCGGCGGCGGCGACCCTGGCGATGGCGGCGGCGCCCGTCAGAACATAGTGGCGGGGCCGGGGGCACAGTCCGCACTCACGGTGGCGGCGGCGGCGACGGCTGAGGGCGGCGGCGGGACGAAGAGCGGCGGAGCGAGCGAGCGAGGGCGGGCGGGCGCCCCACCCGGCGTCGGGGCGAGCGCCGGCGCGCGCGGAGGCAGAGGGCCGGAGCGGGGGGCATGGCGGAGCCGCGCCGAGTGGCGCTCATCAGCCTGTCACCGGTGAGGCGGCGCGAGGCCGAGCTCCCGGGGCCCGAGCGCGAGCCCGAGCCCCCGCGCGAGCCCCCCGGCTGGAGCCGCCGCCGCCCCGCGAGCCGGCGCGGGCGGAGCCGCCGGCCCCGCGGGAGGCGACCCCCCGGGCGGACGCGCAGCCCCCCGCGCGCGAGAAGCCGCCCCCCCCGCGCGAGGCCGGCCGCGCCGAGCCGCCCATGGCGCTGCAGCGCGAGCCCCCGCGGCCCGAGCCCCCGCCGCCGCCGCTCGCGCCGCTGCTCGCGCCGCCGCCCCCGCCGCGGGAGCCGGCCGCCCGGGCCGCGCCGCCGCCGAGGCCGCCGCGGGAGACGGTGCGCCTGGAGCTGGTGCTCAAGGACCCCACGGACGAGAGCTGCGTGGAGTTCAGCTACCCGGAGCTGCTGCTGTGCGGAGAACAACGGGTACAGAGCCCCCCGCCCCCCGCCGGACCCCGGCGCCCCGCGGGGGGGCGGGCCGGGGCCGGGGCCGCGCGGGGGCGCGCGGCGGGCGGCCTCTCCCCGCCCGGCCCGGCCGCGGCGCCCCCCGGCCCCCCGGCCCCGCGCGCCCGCCCCGGACGCCGCCGCGGGCCGGTTCCTCCTGCGCCCTTCGCAGCCTCCGATTTTCCTCCTGTTCTTTTTGTCCCCCCACCCCGCCCCAACAAAATCTTGGGGCGCCGCAAGTTGCGTGGTTGGGTTTTCCTGGTGGGGCGCTAGCTGTCGTTTCGGTAAGAAAGGAAGGGAAAACCGTGGGGGACACGCCCCCCGATCTGAAGCGGAGAGACCGTGGAACCCCCTCGGGGATCGGCCGCGGCCTCGGCGCTGCGGCTGCGGAGCTGCGCCGCGGCGGGGAGGGCGGGGCCGGCCGCTGCGGGGAGGGGGTCAAAGTAAGCCAGGCCCCCCGCGCCCCCCGGGAGGGGTCCCACCTCGGGAATGGGGGAGACGCGGGTGGTCAGTTATCTGGTTAGTTTTCCCCGCGCGTGCGGGTGCCGGTCCGCCGCCGCAGCTTTGTGTTCTGGGGAGTTTGCGGACACGGTGCTGGTGGGGAGCGAGCAGCCTGTGTTACTTGGCGCCTCTCGTGCTCTCCTTCGAGTGTGTATCAGCGGCGAGGGCCCGGCCTGAGGGTGTTGCAGTTGGCCGTGGTGATTCTTGGAGAATGATGGAAAAATAGCTTTGGATTTTTAAAAACTTTGCTGAGAATAAGCAGGTATGCTCTGGGTGGGCCGACCGATCAGCAGTGGAGATGGGAAAGGGATTTGTTAATTATATGTTTTATTCTTGTGGGTTGGTGATCTTAAAAACTAAAAGCGGAAAACGATGGGGTAACTGCAAAAAGAGAACAGTTTCTTCCGTTTGGAGACTGGGATCTCTGTTAGGTTTTGCACTTGGATAGGTCTGAAGGGCTCCAGAAGGCACTTGTTTCCGTCCTCAGGCGTCTTTGTAGAGTTGTGAAGTGAATGACTCCGTGAAAAATTTTATTAAATAATGTACCCGGCTTTTATTTATTTTTTTTGGCCAACTAATCTTTTGATCACTATTTACAGATAATTGTTTTGTGGTCAAATTGTGACTGGATGGGTACAACCAAAATGGGCTATTAAGGGTAGAGATCATTTTGGTCACTTCCTGGTAACATTTTGCCCTTTAGACTCATTTTAGTGCCCCTGTGACATGTAACTATGATGCCATTTTTTTTTTTCCCCAAAGAATTTTGAAAATACTGGATTAAAGAATTTTTCAAATAAATAATACTTGATCTGATTTGAGTAGGTCTGTAATTTTACTCTCTAGTCGACTTCATAAGTTACAGGTGAAAACCACAGTACTTGGGTAAAAATTCATCGTAACTTACTAACATTTATTGAGTTCTTACTATGTGCTGGAAACAGTTCAGCTATTGTGTGACCTAGACTTTAGACCAGCAGATCTCCAAGAGATAGGCAGGACCCATTCTCCTCAGTTTACAAATGAGGCTAATGTGGAATGGTTATAGGTAATTTTATCAGTATTTCTTAGTAAAACATACTTTCTTAAAGTCACTTAGTATAGTTTAAGAGGATTCTGCCAAAATCACCTAAAATTAGAGTCTTAGAAATAACAAGAGTTCTACTATGATATTCTTCATGATGTAACATTCATGCCATGATAAATTAATATAGAAGTGTATCTTTTAATAAAAATTTTGATCTCCACTTTTTTTAATTGGTAATATTAGAAATACCGGTTTTATGAAATAAGAAAAGATGAACTTAGTTTTTCTGTTTATACTATCAATTTAGGGGTTTGTTGATTCAGTTTTCTTATTGTATATTCAGCTATATATCATTTATCATAGTTCATTGTATGAAAAATTAAACTGTTTATACAGTGCACATTTGTAACAAAAATGTGTCAGATTTTCCCATGGTTATTTCCAATGAAATTTCCAACATTTATTACATAAGAAAGACTAAAACATCTTTCTAAATAAAGTTGGTGTAGTTCCACGAGAGGAAATCCTAGGAAAAGAGACCATCAAAAAGCAAAATATGACCATTAGAATTGGTCTAGTGTCTCTTCCTCTCAAGGGAAGTCTAGTCACTTTTATTTTATTTTATTTAAAGATTTATTTATTTATTTATACAAGCACTGGGCACAGTCAGAAGCGCGGGAGGGTGAGAGAATTCACCAGAGCCAGAGCGGGGAGCAGAGCAGGCAGAAGGACCGAAGTACACTGCTGAGGGGAGCAGCGGGCAGCAGGAGAGGTCTGCGCGCCATGTGGGACCCTCCTCTGGTGGCCGGGGAGCAGCCAGGGATCGAACTGGCGCTGCAGAGGCGGGCAGCTTCGCAACCCAGCACTCAACCGCTGCGCCACCGGGGAGGCCCTAGTCACTTTTATTGATGTTGTAATATTTTCAAGATTTCATTTTAATTTTGAATTAGTGTAATTGAACAATATATCATGTAGTGCAGGGTAAGAGTAGAAAAGGAAGAAAAGAGGTCTCATAAAATTGAAAGAATAAAAGGTTTTAAAATCTTGAAGTAGCCACTTATCACCAAATAAGATTTTAACTCCAGATCCTCAAATTGATAGTTGTTGGTGTAAAAAAAAAATCGGCCACATTTGAATACCATCTTTATTGGTGCATTTAAATTATCCTCCTCCATAAATATTTAGTGAACAGTATAACCCCCAATTAACTGAATATAGTCAAGAGTGTTTCTATGCTCTAACTAATGAGGAAAAGTACAGTTAAGTGAGGGTGTGTTAGCAAAGTATGAAAAATGTAATCTCTTTCCATGTTTTCAGGGTACACATAGCTTCATATTACAAAACAGGTGTACACATTTCTGCTCTTGTTTTTTTTTTTTTCACTTTATCTTGGAGGTTTTTTTCCTTTTAGGACACAAGAGAAGTTGCTCTGCCTCCTTTTTAAAGGCTGCATGATAATCCTTTCTATGGACGAATCACAGCTTATTTAACCAGTCCCAGTTGATTTGGGCATTTCCAAGTGGTTTGCTTTTGGAAATAGTGCCGCAATAAGTTACTTAGTAACATGGCAATTCATACAATTTTTGGCTAATCAGAAGGACAAACCTTTCTTATGACTGTTGAGTATTGAGCCAGGGTTAAGGTGGTTCAGGGTCAAGGCTGAGACACTGCAGTCATCTCTATCTTGGAAGATAATTTGTTCACCATTTCTGACTATAGGCTACAATTTAGAAATAAACTTTGGCAATAATTGACCATAAATTCTTTTTTAATTCCTTGTAAACCAGAAAATCAGTTAACCAGAAAATTCAATTGTAAATGTGCTTAATTGAACATTTATCATAAAAAGAAAAATAACTTATGGTGATTATGTAATTATACTGTTAAAGAATCCTGTGGTATTTCATTGCTTTTCATGTTGCATATATTGGATAAGATAAAGAAAAAAATCTCTTGAAAATCTGTTAATGAGTTGACCTCACTGGACAAATGTATCAGTATTGTATGTGAGTAGTTGGTAATTTTGATATTTGCTAATTTTGCATCTATTTTTCACCTGAAAGAGATTTTTAAAAACCTTACTTAGAGGGCCTCCCCAGTGGCGCAGCGGTTGAGCGCTGGGTTGCGAAGCTGCCCGCAGCCTCTGTGGCGCCGTTTCGATCCCCGGCTGCTCCCCGGCCACCGGAGGAGGGTCCCACATGGCGTGCAGACCTCTCCTGCCGCCCGCTGCTCCCCTCAGCAGTGTACTTCGGTCCTTCTGCCTGTTCTGCTCCCCGCTCTGGCTCTGGTAAATTCTCTCACCCTCCCGCACTTCTGACTGTACCCAGTGCATGTATAAACAAAACAAACCAACAAACAAATAAATAAAAACATGCCTTTAAAAAAAAATAAATAAAAATAAAAACCTTACTTAGAGCCTTGATTAGGGTCAGGGCTCTTTTTTTTTTTTTTAAGATTTAATTATTTATGCAAGAAACGGGGTACAGGCCAGATGTGCAGGAAGGTGAGAGGATTCACCAGAGACAGAGTGGGGAGCAGAACAGGCAGACTGACTGAAATATACTGCTGAGGAGGGCAGTGGGCGAGACAGGAGAGGTCTGCCACGCCATGTGGGTATCTGCGGCCAGTGGGGTTCGAACTGGTACTGCAGAGGCTGTGGACAGCTTCACAGCAGTGTGCTTAACTACCTGCACCACCAGCGAGGCCCCAGGCTCTTTTTTAACTAAAAGAAAAGTTTGTTTTTGTAGACTCAACAGTTTACTTTTGATGCCTATAGAAAGTCCACATGAAGTATTTTAGAATGCCTTGTAAGGGGATTCCTATTAAAAATATATGTCCATGTATTTATATTTGCACATATTAAATGGGCCAGGCCTGAAGTAAGACCCAGTGTTTGGACTTCACAGTGACATGAAGGAACAGTTTATAATGGGAAGGATGGTGGTTGTTCACTCTCTTTAACTTTAGTCTCAAGATGGTAACTTCTGTTGGGATAAAGAATTCTATAGTTGTCTTTCTTATTACACTAGGTAATTTTAAAGTTGATTCTAAAATTAATTCCTTTATTAATATTGTCATATTGCATACATTGGATGAGAAATAGGAAAGATGTATTGAAGATGGTGTTGGTGAATTATCTCTGAATTCTAACATGCTGAGTGTGATGAATCTGTCCATGTTTTTCTGTCATATTTTTTACGCTGATCACATCTTGGCCTTTATATGCAAGATGTAATTTCTCAGTTCCAAAGTGTGCGAATCTTCATCCCTTCTGCATTTTTTTTTTTTTAAGATTTATTTATTTATTCATTTATTTAATTATACAAGCACTGGGTACAGTCAGAAGCGTGGGAGGGTGAGAGAATTCACCAGGGCCAGAGCGGGGAGCAGAGCAGGCAGAAGGACCGAAGCACACAGCTGGGGGGAGCAGCGGGCGGCAGGAGAGGTCTGCGCGCCATGTGGGACCCTCCTCCGGTGGCCGGGGAGCAGCCGGGGATTGAACCGGCGCTGCGGAGGCTGCGGGCAGCTCCGCAACCCGGCGCTCAACCGCTGCGCCACCGGGGAGGCCCCCCTTCTGCATTTTTTTTCTTGCCCTTAAGGAGCAACAAAATCTATAGTATTTCAGTTGTAATATACTTTCATATTTAACTACCTGAAGATACTGCAATTGAAAATATCCAGCCTTCCTTGTTTTTTTATGTTTATTTATATATTTTTTAAAGATTTATTTATTTATGCATACAAGAACTGGTGTACAGGTCAGAGGTGCGAGGGTGGGGGGGGCAGGGGGCAGGGGGAGAGGATTCACCAGAGACAGTAAGGAACAGAACAGGCAGATCTACTGAAATACACTGCTGAGGGAAGCAGCAGGCAAGTCAGGAGAGGTCTTCTGCTCCCTGGCTGGCGGGGGGATGCTGCAGTGACTGCAGATCGCTTCATAGTGCTGTGCTTAATCCCTTGTGCCACCAAGGAGGCCCCTCCTTGTTTTTTTAAATTAGCTTTCTAATCAGTTTTCATAATTGGATATAAATAGCATTTTTACCCATATGTAGCTCCTTGCTTTGGTTTTTTTGTTGTTTATCAAAAATTCACATATATGTGAAGTTTGTCTTTGAAAGTAGTAAACTTTAGAAAAGGATGTGATTTATTTTTTTCTTTAGGTAAACAGGTGTGGGCTTGGTGCTCTGTTTTTAAACCCTATATTATAAGCATCCACTCTCCCCTGCTCTGAGGAGGTGGCCATGGTCATCAATTTGCAGCTTTTTCTATTTACACTTTTCTGGCTTTCTTAAAAGTATTATGTGTTCCTTGAATGACTATCCAATGCCTTGATGTAGATGATACAGAGGTTTTTGATGGTAGGCTTCAGCAGAGGTAGCTACTCAAGTGATAACTCAGGATATCACTCAAGTGATGACTCCAGTAAATAAGAAGGAGATCTGTTTAGAAGCATTTCCTGACCACAGCAGTTTGCCTTTATTAGGGAAGATCTTAAAATAGAGTTATAAGTGGGATTTTCATTTTCACCTAATTTTCTTGTTTTTTTTTTTTTTTTTTTGACTTTGTTATTTTGATTGGAATGATGGTATGATCATTTTGCAGTGGAAATCTTTTGGATTATTGAATTCTTAACCACCAAAAAATTGTAGACTACGAAAGAGACCATTAAAACTGCAAATATTTCTTAATACAACATTTCTTTTTAGTTACTTTTAAGACTTTTATGTGTTAATATTTGGAAAAATTGACTATTAAATTTAAGGGTGTATTTAACTCTGGTTGAAATAATGCTAACGCTTTCATATCTTTTCCCATTTACTTTAAATCAGAAGAAGCCCATTCACACAGAAGACCCATTTAATGATGAGCATCAGGAGAGGCAAGAAGTGGAAATGCTGGCTAAGAAGTTTGAAATGAAATATGTGAGTATAATAAACTCTTCATTTAGGTAATTTTATCATATTGGCCTGTTCTTTCTGTGACTGGTTGTGAGGGCCTGTTAAATCCATTGTTCCCCGTCTCCTGTTCTCACAAATTGAGTCTAAATGGATGGTTAGACAGTCATAGAGTCTGACTGGTTTGTATTCCCAGAGTCCAGGCAGTTACCGCTGATCCTTATAACAAACTATAAGGTGAGTTATTTTGACCACCTTTTACAGATGAAGAAACTGAAGGTCTGAGTTCAAGGTTCAGTACCTTATCTAATGTCAAACAGTGGCAAGAACACGCCTGCATATCTAGGTCTCTCTGGTTCATCCTTTGCCCTTTCTAGTGACATTGAGAATGCTGCTTTAGCTCCCGTGGTGCAGTACTTCTTAAACTTTCTGCCTCTTAAGAGTTTGAGAATGAGTGTGTGTGCTTCCACGCACCTGGGATCAGAATCAATCAGAGGCAGCACAGAATTTCTTTAAGCGTTCTGTTTATGTTAAAGATTCATGTACATTTTATATTCTTTGTCACAATAGATCTGTGTTTGTTTTCAAGAAATTTTAATTACCTGATTATGAAGTTCTTTACCACGTTCCTCAAATTTTCTAGTATAATTAGCTTTGTCAAAGACCCATTCCCCATCCCATGTTTATCCTATGTTTTTATTTTTTTTTTTTTTTTTTTTTATAGAGGCATGCTTTATTTATTTGTTTGCTGGTTTCTTTGTTTGTTTTGTTTATACATGCACTGGGTACAGTCAGAAGCGCGGGAGGGCGAGAGAATTCACCAGAGCCAGAGCGGGGAGCAGAGCAGGCAGAAGGACCGAAGTACACTGCTGAGGGGAGCAGCGGGCGGCAGGAGAGGTCTGCGCGCCATGTGGGACCCTCCTCCGGTGGCCGGGGAGCAGCCGGGGATCGAACCGGCGCCGCAGAGGCCGCGCGCAGCTTCGCAACCCAGCGCTCAACCGCTGCGCCACCGGGGAGGCCCTATCCTATGTTTTTAACCACTTCTTGGCATCTTGTTAAAACATAAACTTGTGGGAAGCAAGACCTTACCACTTCTGGCTTCCCTGTGAGCACTGGAAAGCATCTTACAGAGATTGAGGGTCAGCTCACCTATCCCTATCATACATGTTATCTTTAAAATGCAGCTAGGATATTGCTTGACATTTGCTAGCTCCTTGTGGAAATGAAGAAAACAGGGATAGGGGAACTAATGAGAATGGTTGGAATGTGTTGGGGTGGGGTTCTAGCCATATTTTGCTACACCCTTTGGTAAGGTCGTTTAGCCTCTTTGGGCCATAGGTTTTTTTGCAGCCTTTTATGGCTCTGTATTCTATGACTGTAAATAACACATTTAGGTATGGATTGGTGGTGTTTTTATAGAATAGTAAAAGTTGTTACAGTGTTCTCAGATTGTAATATATATTTGGATATATATGTATTTCTTTTTGCCTACCCCACACCCCATTTTTAAACATACTGCAAAATACTATACACATTTCTGCTCTTGACTTTTTTTACCTACTTTATCTTAGAGATTTTTTTTCCCTCTTTTTTTTTTTTTTTTTTTTTTTAAGATTTATTTATTTATGCATACAAGAACTGGGATATAGGCCAGAGATGCGGAGACACGGGGAGGTGAGAGGATTCACCAGAGACAAGAGTGGGGAACAGTACAGGCAGACGGACTGAAATACACTGCTGAGGGGAGCAGCGGGCGAAACAGGAGAGGTCTGCTGTGCCATGTGGGTAGCTCCCTGGCTGGCCTGGGATTGAATTTGTGCTGCATAGGCTGCGGATTGCTTCATAGTGCGTGCTTAACCCCTTGTACCACCAGGGAGGCCCAATTTTTTTCCTTTTAAAAAAGACAAAAAGATCAGTCTTGCTACTCTCTTGTTTTTAAAAGGCTACATTACATGTACTCCATTGTATGGAAGTACCACAATTAATTGAACTAGTCCCCAAGTGATTTAGATTGTTTCCAAAGAGTTTGCTCTTGTAAATGGTAGTAAATTACTTAGTAGCATGGTGCTTTGCTCATTCTTAAGTTTATCTGTAGGCCAGAGTTGGGAAGTTGAATTTTTAGATCAAAAGATCTGTGCATTTATAGTCTTGGTATATGTTACCAAATGACCAGTTTCATCTCCACCCAGTGCTATGTTGGAGTGCCTGTTTTTCTGTAGGCTACGAAACCCAGGATTAGAATTGCCCTCTGTAATGGCAAAATGCCTGGCACCCTATAAGTAATGTAACTCAGTATATGATGTACTACAGAGTTAGCATTAAATCTTACTGGCAAGCCCTTGACTGGTACTTAGAATTGAAAAACCAATGTTCTGAAGAAGTTGATTGGTGTGCTAAACAAGTTGGCTATATCTAGGCACTGTCATTGTATAGGGATAAAATATTGCTCTTGTTATCATCCAAATTGATGGGCTATTTTTTTTTTTAAAGATTTATTTATGCATACAAGAACTGGGTTACAGGCCAGAGGTGCAGGGGGTGAGAGGATTCACCAGAGACAGAGTAGGGAACAGAACAGGCAGATGGACTGAAATACGCTGCTGAGGGGAGCAACGGGCGAAACAGGAGAGGTCTGCTGCGCCATGTGGGTTACTCCTTGGCCAGGGATCGAACTTGTGCTGCAGTGACTGTGGATTGCTTCATAGGTTGCCTCTTAACCCCTTGCACCATCAGGGAGGCCCAGTGGGCTATATTTCTTCACTAGATTTTTGTTTTGCCTACTCCCTTATTTCCATTCTTAGTAGAGATTTAAAATATTACAAAGACTTGATGTGCATAAACAAAGCATGCCATGAGTATTTAGTATTAAATATTTATTATAACAAATTATTTAGACCTTTTTCATCAAGCTAAAAGTAAACTGGAAGAAGGTACCTCATCCAGGTTTAGGATTTAGGCTGTCACAGAAGATTATTCTTGGAAAAAGAATAGCTATAGGAAAGAAAAAATCAAAATCAACAAACAACTATAAACCAGAGACACACTATGTGGGGGGGCGGGAAAAGGAGGGATGGGGGTCAAAATAAGGGGGTTGCAGTTGTATGGGGAATATAAAAATAAAATTTAAAAAATATATAAAGAAAGAAAGAAGATTACTCTTAAACAACAAAGATTGTTCATTATTGGTGGTCAGGGTAGAAAATTAAGATTTCCATATGGTGTTTAAATTTTATATTTAAAGATGTTCTTATACTTAAAATATAAATATACATACTAAATATATATTTAGTAAATGTACATATGGTACACTATATATTTATAGTTTATTTTAATTTTTAAAAAGATTTATTTATTTTTAATTTTTGTGTAGAAGAACTGGGGTGTAGACCAAAGGTGCAGGGGGTGAGAGGATTCACCAGAGACCGTGGGGAGCAGAAAAGGTGGATTTACTGAAATACACTGCTAAGGGGAGCATCAGGCAAGATCAGAGAGGTCTGCTGTGCCATATGTAGTTTAGCTCCCTGGCAGGGGATCAAACCCAGGCTGTGGTGGTGATAGCGCTGAGACTTGACCCCTAAGCCACCAGAGAGGCCCTGTGTATTTTAAACAAAGGAAAATGTTTTAAATAATGTATGTAAAAGCTTGCAAAATGTTAGTTTTACTTTTTCTATTTTTCTTTTCAGATGTCAAAAGAAGGACTTAGTTCTTTAACACTTAAGGACATAAAATTTGTATCCCTAGCTACCTTTCCTTTAACTTTTATTTCTATAATGTTATAATTTAGATGTCCTTGTCACAATTTCTGAAAATCAACTAAGGTTTTCCATCCCTTTTTCCTTGGACAGAAATACAGTAATTTCTTTCTTTTTTTTTTTAAAGCTGTTATGCTGGGATTTTATTTTTTATTTTTTAAAGATTTTATTCATTTATTCATAAAAGCACCGGGTACAGTCAGAAGCGCGTGAGGGTAAGAGAATTCACCAGAGCCAGAGCGAGGAATAGAATAGGCAGACCGACAGGCGCGGCAGGAGAAGTCTGTCGCTCCATGTGGGACCCTCGCCGGTGGCCGGGGATTGAACTGGCACTGCAGTCTGTGGGCAGCTTTGCAGACCAGCGCTCAACCGCTGCGCCACCGGGGGAGGCCCAGAAATACAGTAATTTCTAAGCTCTGTGTATAAAGTATTTGAGCGTTTTCATTGGCCTTCAAAGGGCATGACAGTTGCCTTTTCCTGGAGAAACTTTCAAAATAAATGGGATGACAAACCATATGAGGCACACAAATGCCATGCCAAGCAGTGCCAACAACGATGAGCGACTCAAGTGTGGGGACTTAAGAGTAGAAGGACTATGTCTGTGCTTGAAATTTGAAGGGATTTTGGACACTTTGGTGCAGCAATGTTGAATGGATTCTTCCAGTCTCCTGTGGCTCCGAATTTCTCTGTAATTCCTGGGATAGCTTTGTAGCTGTGGATTGAGGCAGCGGTGGCAGTGTATTGTAGTGGAAGGAGCACAGGATTATAAGTAAACACAACTAGGTTCTGGTCCTAACTTGGCCATATTAACTATCTGGGTGACTATATATTAATTATCTTAGTGAATACTCTTGCTTTTTTATGCTTTGTTATCTATGAGGGGAAATTAAGATCTGCCTAATGAACTTTAGAGCGCTAGGTGTTTTGTCAATATCTTGAGACATCAATGTCTGTGAAAGAATAGATTTTTTTTTTAAAAGATTATTTATTTATACAAGCACTGGGTACAGTCAGAAGCGCGGGAGGGTGAGAGAATTCACCAGAGCCAAAGGAGAAAGCAGAGCAGGCAGACTGATGAAGTAAACTGCTGAGGGGAGCAGCGGGCGGCAGAAGAGGTCTGCACACTATGTGGGACCCTCACCCGGTGGCCGGGGATGGAACCGGTGCTGCAGAGGCTGCGAGTAGCTTCGCAACCCAGCGCTCAACCGCTGCGCCACCGGGGAGGCCCTATTATTATCATTTAATGTGTTATATAAATGTGAACTACTATTTAGT